TCCCATTGTATTTCTGTATTTTTTTTATTCTGTCTAGAGCAGTTTGTACTCTATTTATATCACTTTGTTACTGTTGCAATCAGTTCTTTTTAATTCCATATTTGAATGTAAGTGATAACTCTCACATACAACTGACAATTTACTGAGACTAATGTTGGCCCGGGAAAGTTTAATGTCTCTATCTACATTTGTCATATTTCTTGTATGGCTATTCAATGGTTTCACTATGAACAAATTCCAGTTCTTGCTTACACAAGTTAGTAAGAGGAGTGAAAATGAAAGGTTTCAATTGAAAACCTTTCAGAATCTTAACTGTACAGTAAATACAAAATATTGCGGCATCATTATACACAAGGGAAGTAATGTCATCAAACTTTATGATGAATACTTTAAATAAGGTTAACTCCCTTATAAGAACTAACTATAGTTGTAATGGTTAACGTTAAGTTGGTGATTTGTTTGTAACCATAAAGTGCATGCATAAAAATTATTAAACTATATAAACAAAGTTTGACTTACAAACTAAAATTTTTTATTCAAATAAACATAAATTAAATATCACATAACACGTTAAATCAAACAGTTACAAATTAAAAAAAATTGACGCATTTCATTGTAAAATAACATAACTCTTAAAATGCTTGTGGTGAAGTAATTGTTCACTATTTCCCCACTTGTATATGGTAATTCCAGTCATAAATTATGTGGGGGATACTGCTAGAAGAAACATTTGAGCATTTCTACAATGAAAGTTTTTTAATCTAAATATGGGAAAGATAGATGTGTTATATTCGGTCCCAGTCTAAATTTACTGTGTATCATGTTTAGGACAGTGCTTCAGTCAATTACAAAGCAGTGTTTGTTTGTTTGTTTAGTTGGGCTTTACATCACACCAACAAAGTAAAGGTCAAATGGCGACGTTCCAGCTTATATGGTGGAGGAAGACCTCAGGTGCCCTTTTGTGAATTATTTCGGGCACGAACGGACACTTGATTAGAACCACCGAGGTTCCGTAAGCTAGCTTCCTCACATGAAAAAATCCAAAGTCCCTGTCGGGATTTGAACCCACAGTCCCTGTCGGGATTCGAACCCATAGCGGTGAAGGGGCAAGTGGTTCAAAGTCAACGACCTTAACCAGTCGACAAGGGACTCCCCGTACAAAGCAGTGTATTATAATTCCATATCAAACTAACCAAAACATGGGCATATCGTTTTTATCAAAAGTCCAAAAAGTAACGCCCAGGAGATTCAAACTTGCATTGTGCGCTGAGGTAAATAAATCACACATACTGAAATTAGACAGACATGCTCAACTGTTCTGAAGAAGACGCCTTACCAGAAAAAGAAAAAGAAAAAAAAATGTTATTCAAATATCAATGAATAATGTCATTTTATATTTCAGAACCATGACTTAAAAAAACTCCAATTCAATTTATCATTTAGTAATTCCACTTCAAATATAAGAAAATATATAACAACTATGAACTCCACTTTCAATGAAAAAATAAAAAAAAAAAGTTTGAAAATCTTGATGAAGCACCACAGAACATATCTGAACAAGAGATGTCAATAGGACAGCACCCTCGACTATCCGTATTTGATAGGTAAATAATAGCCTTGATAATGTGGAAATTAACTAAGAGCAAGATTTAATTTGAATAAACATGCATAATAACTTGAATATCGACCAATGAAACTAGTGCCATATTTCATTTAAAATCCATGCCAGAGTTGTGGGTCTTGGACATGAATTAAGTTTCATCTGAGCACAATCACTAGTTTTAAAGATGAATGTTGCAAGCAAATTCTTAAAAAGAGATTTTCTTAGTTCATAAGGCAATAAATCTGTCAAATTCCATTCCAGAGTTATGGACATTGGATAAAGATCTCCTGAAGAGATGCATTTAGTTTCATGTTAATTCTTTTGGTAGTTTTGAAGATTGATTTATATGTACTTAACTTTAAACAGGAATTTTCTTAATTGACGAAGGGCCATAAATATGTCAAATACAAACTAGAGTTACTGTCCTTGAATAGTGACCTACTGCCATGATATCAAAGACATGGTTGAAATTACAAGCCAAAATCTTTAGAGGTTGATAAGACATATTGTACATGAAGTTGAAACCAAACATGTTCATGTAGTCCCACAATTCTTGAATAGTCAAGCTAAATAATGCAAAAACAATCTAGTACATGCATGTAGATGTAATAATAATACAGTTTATAAATGAAGAAACAAGTAATGAGGTAAACGTAAAATGAGCAAATAAAAATAACACTACCTTAATATATACTAAATAAAATCAATGTCCTGGTTTATTTTACATACATTATGTCAACAAATGAATATCTTAATAAAATAACTGAAACAATATAATACACCATCTATGATTTACAGACAATAAGCAGTCGAAAACAAAAATTGCATTTAATTCTTAAGGTTAACATCCATGCATGCAAGGCTTTTTAATAGTTTTTATATCTGTATATGCCATTTAGTTGATATCACTTGACAACTGTCCAATCCCAATAATCAAAACACATTCTCATACACATTTTCTGGAAACATCAATATAAAACCTTTCTTTTCACAAGATACAACAAGAGGGCCATGATGGCCCTGAGGTCGCTCACCTGTATATAGGACCCCCAACCCCCACTCCCCCAACGTTGCAGAGCCAATTTAACCAAAGGGCTTTTATTTGCACAAACTTGGTAGACACCCATAAGAAGATGTTTCATGCTAAACATTTAAGTTCTAGCTCATTGGGCTTTTTAAAAGAAGATTTTTTTTAGTTTTTACTATACACATATAGTTAAAAACAATGAACACCCCTGGGGCCGGGCCAGTTTTGACCCCAGGGCTTTTATTTGAACAATCTTTGTAGACACTTACTAGAAGATGTTTCATGCTTAATATCTAAACTCTAGCTATTTGGGTTTTTTCAAAGAAGATTTAAAGTTTTTGCTAAACACATATAATAAAAATCAATGACCCCCGGGCGGGGCCAATTTTCACCCCTGGGCTTGTATTTGAACAAACTTGGTAGACACCTATTAGAACATGTTTGATTGCTCAATATCTTAGCCATAGCTCTTTGAGTTCTTTAAAAGAAGATTTTTTAAGTTTTTACTATATGCATATAGGGAAAATCAATGACCCCCCGGGGCTGGGCCAATTTTCACCCCAGGGCTTTTATTTGAACAAACTTGGTAGACACCCATTAGAAGATGTTTCATGCTAAATATCTTAGCTCTAGCTCTTTGGGTTCTTTAAAAGAAGATTTTTCAAGTTTTAACTATATGCATATAGGGAAAATCAATGACCCCCTGGGGCGGGGCCAATTTTGACCCAAGCGCTTTTATTTGAACAAACTTGGTAGACACACACTAGAAGATGTTTCATGCCAAATATCTAAGCTCTAGCTGTTTGAGTACTTTAAAAGAAGATTTTTAAGTTTTTACTATATGCATATAGGGAAAATCAATGACCCCCGGGGCGGGGCCAATTTTCACCCCAAGGCTTTTATTTGAACAAACTTGGTAGACACCCATTGGAACATGTTTCATGCTAAATATCTTAGCTCTAGCTCTTTGGGTTCTTTAAAAGAAGATTTTTTAAGTTTTTGCTATATGCATATAGGGAAAATCAATGACCCCCGGGGTGGGGCCAATTTTGACCAAAGGGCTTTTATTTGAACAAACTTGGTAGACACTCACTAAAAGATGTTTCATGCCAAATATCTAAGCTCTAGCTCTTTGAGTTCTTTAAAGGAAGGTTTTTTAAGTTTTTACTATATGCATATAGGGAAAATCAATGACCCCCGGGGCGGGGCCAATTTTGACCCCAGGGCTTTTATTTGAACAAACTTGGTAGACACCAATTAGAACATGTTTCATGCTAAATATCTTAGCTCTAGCTCTTTGGGTTCTTTAAAAGAAGATTTTTTAAGTTTTTACTATATGCATATAGGGAAAATCAATGACCCCCCGGGGCGGGGCCAATTTTGACCCCAGGGCTTTTATTTGAACAAACTTGGTAGACACTCACTAGATGATGTTTCATGCCAAATATCTAAGCTCTAGCTCTTATGGTTTTTTAAAAGAAGATATTTAAAGTTTTTTCTTTTGGTTGCCATGGCAACCAGAGTTTTGCATGGAATTAAATTCTTTGAACAATTTTTAAAGGTGACCACCAAAGGAACATTCCTGTGAAGTTTGGATGAAATTGGCTTAGTGGATTATGAGGAGATGTCATTTAAAGTAAAAGTTTACGGACGGACGGACGGACGACGGACGGACGGACGCCGGACGAAAAGCGATCACAAAAGCTCACCCTGTCACTTTGTGACAGGTGAGCTAAAAATATAAAAAAAAAAACAGTGAAAAATTTAATACTTTTTATAAACAAGGGAAAAGAAGAAAGTACTTCTTTGATAAAATGATATCACATTTTGAAAGGAAATAATTATATAACAGTTCATTAATCATTTATATCTTGTCCCGTATACATACTTTTGATCTGTCTCATTTTAGATGTTGTTCATGTCAGTTGTTTTTCAGCAACAAATATGATCATTATTTTTTGATACTACATTAATAATACTGATACTTCAGTCAAAAAACTTTATGACTATGCAGGCTTCTTAAAACGCATTCAAACAATTCTAACCAATTTGCTGTGTGGTGTTTACTTGAATTTTACAGGATAAAAAGTGTTAAGAAATTTACTACATTTTTGAAAAGTTATTCATACAAGCCGATAATTAAGTACTTAAAATGTTCCTTAACCAATGACCTGGTAGAACCCTTTGTCTGGTTTTAACCTAGTTTAAAGCCAGGTCAACCTGCACAATCAATATATGATTTAACCCAAGTTTTGTATTTTGATATTGAAATCCCTTAAACTTTGAAAGGACTCTTCCATATTCAAAGATTGGCAAGTCCATTATGAAAATTCCGCTGACTGAGGTCTACAGAGATCATTCAAGCTTCAGAAATGATTCAAGCTTCAGAAATAAACAAGAAGTTTATTTAACAGCAGCAGCTTTAATCCTTTATCAAACTTGTGTTATGGGATATTCCTCAAGGTCTACATCTGTCTCTACTCTCTTTAATTCAACTTTGGCTAGCTTTTCATTGTCCACATGTTTATCCATTGTGTCTAAATATTGGTTCAATAACTTGTTGAAGTTTTCAGATCTGTCTGCATATACATGATGCCCTGCACCCACAATTATCTGCAAAATTAAAGTTATAATTGTATAAATGCCAAAACTGAAAATTTGAAAATAATACAAAATATGTATTTATTCTGTTTAATCTTTTCTTCAAAGCTAGTTTCAGTGATGATTTAAATTTTTTTTTTTTGGGATGGGGGGGGGGGGGAAAGCTTACATTGTAATAAGATTTAAGAAATATATTTTACCAGTGTAACTTTGCTCAAAATCAATCACTCACTTATATCATTAGAAAGTATATATAAATATACATTAGAAAGTATATATAAATATACATTAGAAAGTATATATAAATATACATTAGAAAGTATATATAAATATACATTAGGAAGTACATATAAATATTAGCTGTCTTTTTAAGGGAGGTAATCACTGAATAATTTGGCAAAAAGATAGAAACAGTTGCCCTGATATTAAAATACAAGTCCAGTCACATTAACAGTCAGGTCAAAAATTGTTGAAAATGTTATGAAAGTCATAATATGTATTTCTTAGGTAATGGAAAAAGATTTTTGTTGACAGGATGGGGTTATACATCCTGAATATAATTATTATATATTTATAATATAAATGTAAAATATACATGTTTATCACATAAACCGCAGCTCAGGAGTGTAATAAAGCCATTTAATAAAAACGATATTACACTAGTGTAATAACACTTTGACGTGACGTCATTTGCGCTATATAGAAACATAGCGTTAAAACGCGCTAATGTTAGCGTTACACTATAGGCGTGTCATTGAAAAATTACCCATTTTAACAGTTTACTGTTTTTATATTATATATGTGATAAATAGAATATTATATTCGTGTAGATTCAATACTAAATTTATTGAACTCGTTCAATAAATTTAGTATTAAACTACACTCATTCAATATCCTCTATATCGTCATTTTATCACAGGAATTCCTCTGAATTACAGGTGCCACTTAATAGACTACTTTATAATACTGTTTTTGAAAAATGAATAGTTTGTACATGTAGCCTAGAAAATACTGCATCAAACAACAAGAGGGCCATGATGGCCCTGAGGTCGCTCACCTGTATATGGCCCCCCCCCCGCACCCGGGCCAATTTTTACCCAAGGGCTTTTATTTGTTTATTTAAACAGACTTAGTAGACACCCATAAGAAAATGTTTAATGCTAAACATCTAAGTTCTTGCTCATTGGGTTTTTAAAAGAAGATTTTTAAAGTTTTTACTATACACATATAGTTAAAAACAATGACACCCCTGGGGCAGGGCCAGCTTTGACCCCCAGGCCTTTATTTGAACAAACTTTGTAGATATTTACTTAAAGATGTTTCATGCTTAATATCTAAACTCTAGCTATTTGGGTTTTTTCAAAGAAGATTTTTAAGTTTTTGCTATACACAGATAAGGAAAATCAATGACCCCCCCCCGGGGCGGGGCCAGTTTTGACCCCAGGGCTTTTATTTGAACATACTTGGTAGACACCCATTAGAACATGTTTCATGCTAAATATCTTAGCTCTAGCTTATTGAGTTCTTTAAAAGAAGATTTTTTAAGTTTTTACTACATGCATATAGGGAAAATCAATGACCCCCTGGGGCGGGGCCAATTTTGACCCCAGGGCTTTTATTTGAACAAACTTGGTAGACACTCATTAGAAGATGTTTCATGCTAAATATCTTAGCTCTAGCTCTTTGGGTTCTTTAAAAGAAGATTTTTAAGTTTTTACTATATGCATATAGGGAAAATCTATGACCCCCTGGGGCGGGGTCAATTTTGACCCCAGGGCTTTTATTTGAACAAACTTGGTAGACATTCACTAGAAGATGTTTCATGCCAAATATCTAAGCTCTAGCTCTTATGGTTCTTTAAAAGAAGATTTTTTAAGTTTTTACTATATGCATATAGGGAAAATCAATGACCCCCCGGGGCGGGGCCAATTTTGACCCCAGGGTTTTAATTTGAACAAACTTGGTAGACACTCACTAGAAGATGTTTCATGCTTAATATCTTACCTCTAGCTCTTTGGGTTCTTTAAAAGAAGATTTTTTTAAGTTTTTACTATATGCATATAGGGAAAATCAATGACCCCCTGGGGCAGGGGCCAATTTTGACCCCAGGGCTTTTATTTGAACAAACTTGGTAGACATTCACTACAAGATGTTTTCATGCTTAATATCTAAGCTCTAGCTCTTACGGTTCTTTAAAAGAAGATTTTTAAGTTTTTACTATATGCATATAGGGAAAATCAATGACCCCCGGGGCGGGGCCAATTTTTCACACCCCAGGGCTTTTATTTGAACAAACTTGGTAGACACTCACTAGAAGATGTTTCATGCCAAATATCTTAGCTCTAGCTCTTTACGGTTCTTTAAAAGAAGATTTTTTAAGTTTTTACTAATATGCATATAGGGAAAATCAATGACCCCCTGGGGCGGGGCCAATTTTGACCCCAGGGCTTTTATTTGAACAAACTTGGTAGACACTCACTAGAAGATGTTTCATGCCAAATATCTAAGCTCTAGCTCTTAGGGTTGTTTAAAAGAAGATATTTAAAGATTTTTCTTTCGGTTGCCATGGCAACCAGAGTTCTACATGGAATTAAATTCTTTGAACAATTTTTAAAGGTGACCACCAAAGGAACATTCCTGTGAAGTTTGGATGAAATTGGCTCAGTGGTTTATGAGGAGATGTCATTTAAAGCAAAAGTTTACGGACGGACGGCGGACGGACGACGGACGGACGCCGGACGAAAAGCGATCACAAAAGCTCACCCTGTCACTTTGTGACAGGTGAGCTAAAAATGAAACCCATGTAAACTGCTTCATTAATATTCAGTGCCCGGACAAAGTTGAACATCAAACTTTAACATTCCTCCCATTCCATAATCTTAATAAAACCAAACTAAAGTGGCAGCTGAAGATGTCTGCAGCAGAACTTATGTCTTATGAATGGATTCAAACATTACATTTATACAACCATGTTTTCTTATAAAAAAAAAACCTATGTTTGTAAGCAACTATTGTGACAAATAAGTTTAGATTTTTATCTTATTAAATTAAAATCATAAAACAATTTTGATATATCTTTTGGGAAAGCTGCATAAGTTTAGAACTTGCATTTCTATTTATTCTAAAAATGTTGTACTTAAAAAGTGCATTTACAAATCATTAAAATTTTGTTACCTCAACATCAACTCTGCTTTCAGTACGCAAGTATCTTGATTGGTTCCCACATTCTCTGTCCATCCAAGTACGGGAACCGTAAATGAAAGTGATAGGTAAATTCTTGTCAATATCAGCTATGCGCTGTATCATAGGTCGTTTGGCCCATCCAAGAGGTAATGAGAGTGTTTTAAAAGCTGTCTCACCACTGTAATTTAAAAATAAAAATACATTTTCATTATTTAAATGACTTTTACGGTAGTAACGTCCCCATTTTTTTGTCAAATTTTCAAAATGTAGTGCATATGATTGTGCATTCCTGGATTGTTATGGAAAAAATTTATTTTAGGTAATTTCTTAACATCATGAGTTAAACAAAGTAACAATAGAAATTTACATATGGAAAAGGATCTTACAAACATTAGTTATGTTGTGCACATTTGTTAGGGTATAGTAGGCAATAAACTTTGTCATTCATACACAGCAACTGTTAAATGATAAAAGCATTAAGTACTATACAACATAAACTTTTGGGAGTTGTGTTTCTAAATGGAAAAAGAAATGTAAATATATGGCATTCAAAATAAAAAAGAAGGCATAACTTTGAATTTATTTATTAAAGGCAAATCTATTCTTACTAATTTCAAAGCAGTTTCTCCAAAGGTTCAGTTAATAGACATGATAGAAGAGGTTGTATAAAATATTCACCAAAATTTGAAAGGGACATAATCATGTAAATATCTATGACAATGTTAAACTCTCTAGCCAGACAGAGCTTAGGTGATGGTAGTACTATTTTGCTCTACAAACTGCCTATCCAAATGTTATAAAAAGCCATAAATGAACAACACATTTAAAGGGCTTGTAACAAAGGGTTGTAACCCAAATTAAATAACGAAGGCATTACGACCCTTTCACATCAAGCTGTCAATTTGTCATTTTTAATGGCATTTAAGAATAAACATAGTCTAATCAAAATACAGTTACATGTATATCAATTTTAATTTAACCACTCACTTATTATAATACATGTAAATAATCATGTAGAGTTTAATAGAAATCAAACCAACTAAATGTTAATTTTCCTTGAAAAATGGCTTTTTTAATAACAAAATGTTTTAGCTCAAGAACCCAACTGTGGATTTTAAAGGGACTCCACTGCGGTTTTTTGACTTGATGGGACTGAAAATATTTTTTCTAGATAAATATACCATTTGATGTAGGTTTTAGACAACTAAATTTTGTGCAAAATTTCAGATCATTTGTGCACTTCGTTTTTCAATAATAATTATTCAAATTGTAAAAAAATGACCGGAAATTAAAAGCTTTTAAATGCTTCTCACTCAAATTGGGCTAAGAAAACCATAAAAATACGATTTTCAATTTATTTCAAAGTATATTTCTTAACTATCTTTGCATATATTTCTGTTTAAAGTGCCCCAGTTCATTTCAATTCAAGTTTTATGTTTTTAGGCTTTTGAACCTCAGTGGATTCCTTTTCATGGCAGTTTGTGATCTTCATTCCACTTTTCATATAATACATTAAGAAGGGTACGTTACAGGTGGTAAGGCCTACCTGGTTTATTAAATAGAGTAACCACCAAGTACCCTTCTGTATGACTCCTCAAACAGTCGGAGATAAATGACAATCATGCTTTATCAGACATACTTACCTCGGAACTTGTGCATTACAATGGTATATGTAATCTAATATGGTGTCATCATCAAACAGGTGAGAGAACTTTGCCTGAAGATCTGGACGAAACCTTTTGATTAAACCAGGACCTGCAATAGCATGAGTGAGAGTACAAAAATATCCTTATGATCAGCTGGAATAGTCAATTAACACTGTGTGACAGTAAAATCAGTTATTGTCACAAATGAATAATCTTTTTAAGCAAAAACATAAAAACAATCTCATATTTAGCAATTAAGATATAAATGAAACCATTATCATATTAAGCAATATACCTTGTCTCATGAAGTCTGGAAATGATGAATATATTTCTATGAAAATGGAGCTGTTTATACTAGTGTACTCAATTTAACTGTTAACCACATTTACACTCAGTTTACTTTAGCAGTATACCAGCTGGAAATTTAATTGATTATAAATTTTGTATTATTACCCCTCACTTTTTTCGTAATGCTAATTTCCCATAGGCCTCTGGGAGTTATTTTTACTGTTAATGCAAGTGTACCACGTGACTACGAATTTTGTACTGTTACATAGGTAACAGTATTTTTTAACAGTATAAAATCTGGTCATGTGGTCTATTTTCTAAATAAAATGAAATAAAATGGCTGCCATTTTTTTCTCGATTCATTCTTATTTTCGACGTTAAACCCCGATAGGACATCAATTTCTTCTCTGGAGTAACTATGACAGTGACACTCATAAAATTTAGTTGTTCGCACCCAGGTGTGCTTTTCGTGTATAAAATATCTTTTTGTTGAATAGTTAAAAGGTGAACATCCGTTTTCAACGGAAGTAATTGCAATGTAAATAATTAGGTGTCAAACTGGCACATGCAGACGATTTAAGCATGCAACAAAGGATTATTTAACAATTTTAATCAGTGAAACGTTACAGATATGGTGGACAGACATAGGATATCATCGTTATTTTGTCAAAAACCATGCTAAGAATATTCTGGAAACAGAAGGATCAGATTTCACAGATCATAACCGTGTAAATGGATTAATGTTTTGTTTTCTAAATAAAACCTAGCTTATTGTATGTTTATGATTTGTAGATATCATCACTTGCTTAAAGAATAAAAGAAAAAGAAAACTTCTCAAGTAGGCCTAAAGTACACTTAAAACTTAAAGTAACATTTAATAAATTTAAAAAAAAACTAAATAGCGACATTTCATTAATAAATTGGGTTTTATATCGTCTCCAGGTCTTATTTTGGTGTCCAAACAACCAAAATTAGTTTTATTAGCATAAAAATAGGTAACCTCATTGTGGCGAATGGGAAGTACAATTTCAGTTTGCATGAGAAACTCCGCCTTCGGGTCATCCGTACATCAATATTAAATCAACAAACATGACTATAAGTGGCAGTCCTAATTTAACGGTATATTTCCGCATTGTAACAGATGTTTTCATACAAATTTAATCTTTTTACGAGATTATTACTTTTACTGAACCCCAGGTTTAGCGCACCGTGAAGCTTAAACGGTTAAAGTGTGTCTGCACAAGAAAATATCACATTTGCTGTGTTCCGGATAGCAACTATAAAATTGTGACGTAGCGCATACACGAGCTCATTATAGTCTTATTTGCATGTTAAAATTCGTATACGAACTTTAGTGTTACCATGGGGTTTCCCGTTTAAAATCCTAATTTATGAACAATATTTGATGAGATTTACAACAAAACTTTTAAACAGGTTAATGAAACTGTAGAATGTTTGATTTTTAGGCTGACGGCAAAATATTTTTTACATATTTATTTAATGTAACTTTAAAAGGTAAGGACAGTTTAGTTATTGTTACTCTTGGTTTATTTTTGTTACAGTTAGATTTAGTTGACAATTTCAGATCATCACAGTATTTTTGTTCGGGGTAATAAAATAAATAACACATGGGTTTGTGAGTAACAGTAAAAATATCATCCCTCGTAAAAATATTGTTACCCTCGGCAGTGAGTACGCCTTGGGTAACAGTATTTTCCTCGGGATGATATATTTACTGTTACCCACAAACCCATGTGTTATTTATATATTATTCTGATGATGAGCAGGAAATAATATAATGTGAGTTACTTTATTCTCATCACTTTATACTTACACATAAACATCTATATTATATACATAATACTGCATATATGTATTGTCGCTTTCATCAGATAATCATGATGCTTTAAATAATTTAAATACACAGTCAATTTATGAGAAAATCTCACTTTTTTCTCTAGCGGCTCGGCTTATATTTTTCCAAGCAACCCTTTATATTGGGTCATATAACCTGTCAAAAGTCATAAAAACTTATAATAAAAACATGTACTGACCCCAGGGTCCTGATGCTCTAACTACAGCTAAAGGATTGAAAGGTGACAGCACCTTGGCTACAGCACGCACCCACACTGGTATTCTTCTACTGCGATCATTATCTTTTGGCCTGTCTGGAAATCCCCAGGGGTCCACAAGAAACAAGTGTTGAATCTTTTCTGGATATTTTATAGCATATGCACTTACAATGTAGGCCCCTAAACTATGCCCTAACAATGCCATTTTATCAATTTTCATTTCTTGTCTCCATTCCTCTATAGATTCAACAAATTCCATCTCAACCAGTCTTGCACTTGTACTTAACTTTGGTCTGGAACTTCTACCAAAGCCTAACAAGTCAAAAGTATACACAGGTCTTTTTTGGGCAAGGGCATCAATGTTTTGAGCCCAGAGTCCGACCCCACCTCCCATCCCATGAACCATAACTAGGGGTACATTTGGCTTGTCTTTGTTGGCAATAACTGTCCATATTCTATGTTGACTTTGAGGTAAAGTTACAAATTTTTTCTCAAAAGCACTTTTCAAACCTGTAAAGAAAAAGAAAACCTGCTGTTAAGGAATGTTTGGAATCATAAAATTGACTTCTTAATCAAGCTAAACTGACCTACAGTATATTTTAATGTTTAAACAGCATTTAACCTTTTGTCGATTTCTAGCTAGCATTTAGCCAATTTAATGTAAGTCATATGACTACATTATGACATTATTAGTGGTCGAAGAACTAAGGTTTACTATAAGAAAGAATATAATGTCAGAATCCCGGCCATCGTTTTTAATTACTTTTATTTTTTGGTTTGGTTATATGTCACAATAAAAATATGAGGTCAAAAGGCTTCAAAGCCCTAATGGTTGGAGAAGACCTAAGGTATCCCGCCTAGCTTTATGCAAGACAGCTCCTTGTACCTAATTAAACACCACTTGACCATGACTGAGGAAACCCTAACCCATGGCTTTGTATATCTTATATGATATAATTAATGATATTCAATGAAGCTTTCACAATCTGAAGATAAAGTGGGGAAGAGTAAAATATAAAATGGTAACTTTTAAAAAATAACTATTAAATTTTTCCCCAAATCTTATAATGAAAAAATTCAAATTGCTGTAGAATTCTCTTTGTGTGAATTTATAAAATATGTTTCTTTGCCAAAGTGGGGACTTAACTAACAATGAAAAGAGTAAAGTTACTTGTACACTAAGTGAAAGACTAGAGATCAAATAGCATAGCTATGAAAATCAAATAAATCCATATGTTATGTTACTCTGGCTAAATATCAGTATACTCTGAAAAGAGACATACTGTACAATCATGTATGTGTAATTTATTAAAATCATGGTGCTCAACAAGATTCAAACCTATGCTGCATTTGATACTTTTAAATGTCAAACGAGAAGTTTATACATATAATATAATATATATATATAAACGAGAAGTTTATACATATAATATATATTATATATATATAATATATAATATATAATATAATAATATACAATATATATATAATATGAAAAACACCACACTCAGGATCTCTTTTTCAAACAAATGTATTTAAAATTTCGATCAACATAATTATTCAAACAAGTAAAAATGTTGAATCATTTAGTAAGTCAGACTCGTCCAAGGGTAAAATCCTTCTAAAGTGTAAATATCGCTGCTGCAATAAAAATTTCAGTTTAACACTTACTACTGAAAATGCGTGCTTCTATCTGTACTAACTGAGACATTGATGTTGGAACCCACTTAAACCAACTTTCACTTTCTTCAGCAACAACTTGACTGTGAATACAAACAAAAGAGTCATTTAATAATTAGTAATATAATATCTGGAGTTGTTGAAGTTTATTTCAATACATCAAGTATGAAGTAAAAGTCCACCAAAGTTATGATAATTCATTACAAATCATAGAAATAAAAGTATACTGAACAGTTCATTATTTATATACTTAGTTTTTTGGTTGTAGAAACCGAAAGTAAAAAATGTATTCATGTTAACATTTTATTGGATTTGGTTATAATTGTACATCAGTGGGCATTTATAAAGTGATCATGATTGTCATACATAATTTCACTGTTGTTTCAAATGGACAGACTTTATTTCCCTCTGTATGTTAAAGCTAAATTTCTCCAAATGAGTTAAAATATTTAAAGAAACGAAAACTTGAAAAAATGTTTTAAGATTTTAAGAAAAGTTAAAGATTAAAGTTTACATGTTGTGTGCAATTAATTACTGATGCGGTATTTATCACTTTATTTCTAATGTGTGCCTTACAAAATAAGGGCTAGTTTTGCGTATTTTGACCTGTTTACGAGATTTTTATAATTTATTTGGGATTGTAAATGAAATTTACCATGGGTAAATTACTTTCTTTTCCACTTCACAACCATTTGACTTTACATGTAAACACATTTTATAAATTTTCATGAAAATTGGCATGAATCTGCAGGCAATTGTAGTTGTAGTTAGTGTTTGAAATTATTTTTTGTCCAATAGGATTAGGATTACAGTATTTCAAATGAATCGTAACACATTTACTTTGGTAAATCGGCAAACTGTGTATCAGTCTAGTAAATCAACTGTTTATAAAAATAATTTAAAACACTAAGTAGGTTAAAGTTTATAAGTTTATATCTGCCGCGCCTGACCTATTTAGTTTTTGTAAATACCTACTCATAAACTTTAACCTATACTTAATAATATTATACATTAGTGTATTATTGGCCAATTTAATGTAATTTGACTGTGGACACTTGCTTGTCCCATCAATGTTGCATGACCTTTTTCACGGGTCATTTGTTGCTAATTCATGAGTTTTTGCAATCAGTCAGAAATCTGTTCACACTTCATCCCAGAACTTTTATCATTTAATTATGTTTACAAACAAAAAAAGTTATGACCACCAAATTTCTCCGTAGATTTGCATCATCAGAAAACAATTGGCAAGTATAAAAAAAGAAAATTGTTCTCGAAATAATAATGAATGATATTTAAAGTGATTAATGAATCATGAAATAATTTTACCAATAAAGTATCACATCTATGATTAAATGCAGCGAGTTGTGAAAAATCAACAGCACACCGAGAATTGTCCTGCAAGCCCGCCATGTTGAATTGACCGACGTGGAGAAATCTTATTATTTCTGTTAAGGTGCCCTCACACATAAAACCACGACCTTACTGCGACCTGAAAACTAGTAAAATAGCATTTTTCTTTCGAAAATCGTTGGTTTTCTTTCAAATTACTCTCGCAGACGGTCCGGGGCTCTGCAGTCTTGTGTTCAGTACGTTTTCTCTATGTCCTCAATACGACCCTTCTACGTCCATGGCGTTTCCACTGCGACTGTATTGCGTCCCCAAGGCGACCCCATGGCAATCATCGGCGACCCAGCTGCGACTGTGCTATGTTCTCTGCGTCCTTACGGCGACTCTACGACGACTATTGCGTTTGTCCGGCGACTGTCCTGCGACTGTACGACGACCCTACTACGTTCTTGCTACGTCTATAAAAACAATACTTTTTACCAGTAAATTTCATTCTGAGTCTGACCTTCAATGAGTGAAGACGTATATTTAATTAGTATTAAGTTAAATCAACCATATTATTCGCGTCGCCAAAGGTTTCCGAGCAATTTCTTGTAATTTCATCGGTGACTCTACGGCGTCCTTAGTACGAGTGTACTACGTCTATTGCGTTCTTATTGCGTCCTTACTACGATGCTGCTGCGACTATGGCGACTCCACTGCGATCCCATGGCGACCTAACCAGGACTCAGCAAGAACGCAGAGTTTCTGCGACTGTTTTGTGCATGTTCAAAATAGTCGCCAACGGTCTGCGACCTTGTGCGTCCTTGGGTTCCTCGCTACGACCTCGCTGCGTCCCTGCTGCGTCCATGGCGACTGTGCTGCGTCCTGGGTCGTAGCAAGGACGCAGTAAGGTCGCGAGGTATGTGTGAGGGCAGTATTACTGATTAATCATGTAAAAATGAGTTACAAAATGACATCATTATAGATATTTTTTTAGTATTGTTTTATATCAAAATATTGATATATATGTAATTATTTCTTAAAATAATTATATTGGCACATTTCCTTTTAAAATTGAACAGGTCTGCCTTGCTTCGGCTTATTTTTCAAATTCTAAAATAAAAGAAATGGGTCTTGTTTTTTATCAATGCTTCAGATTTCAATGAAATATTGCATTTAACAGTAGAGTCTAGAAGTCAGACCTAATGTTAAATAATAGTGTACTGTATAAATTATAATATTGTATTGCCTTTGTAAATTTTTCTTATTAATTAAATAAAACAGAAATTAATTTGTAATTGCTACATTGTACTAATGACCATAAAAAAACCCACAAAACAAAGCTGTAAACTCTACACTCAATTTTTTTATTTTTAAATGATAATAATTATGATATACATACATTTTTTTAAATTGATAAATAATTATCATTTTCTACTGACTGTCAATATTTTATTTTTTCCAGATGCATGACTGAGTCTTACAAAGGGACTGTCAGCATTATTATGATGTTTTATATCATTAACAATAATGTAAGCCTAAAATTTTTTGGACTACATGTGCAACAAGTTGAAAACTAAAAATCAACAAAGGGCCATAATTCTGTTAAATTTGGTTGCAGCAAAAATTCTTTCCTTTACTGCCATCTACACATTAAGGTTGTTCGTCCCTGGAAGTTTAAGCAAAATCTGCCATCCGGTTTAAGAGGAGTTGCATTCACAAAATTTCTACATAGTATTACTGTATATAGTGAAAAAATCAACAAAGGGCCATAATTCTGTAAAATTTGGTCGCAGCAAAAATTCCTTCCTTTACTACCATCTACACATGAAGGTTGTTAATCATCCCTGTAAGTTTAAGCAAAATCTGCCATCTGGTTTAAGAGGAGTTGCGTTCACAAAATTTCTACATAGTATATAGTGACAAAATCAACAAAGGGCCATAATTCTGTAAAATTTGGTCGCAGCAAAAATTCCTTCCTTTACTCCCATCTACACATTAAGGTTGTTCATCCCTGTAAGTTTAAGCAAAATCTGCCATCCGGTTTAAGAGGAGTTGCGTTCAAAAAATTTTTACATAGTATCTAGTGAAAAAAATCAACAAAGGGCCATAATTCTGTAAAATTTGGTCGCAGCAAAAATTCCTTCCTTTACTACCATCTACACATTAAGGTTGTTCATCCCTGTAAGTTTAAGCAAAATCTGCCATCCGGTTTTAAGAGGAGTTGCGTTCACAAAATTTCTACATAGTATCTAGTGAAAAAATCAACAAAGGGCCATAATTCTGTTAAATTTGGTCGCAGCAAAAATTCCTTCCTTTACTGCCATCTACACATTAAGGTTGTTCATCCCTGTAAGTTTAAGCAAAATCTGCCATCCAGTTTAAGAGGAGTTGCGTTCACAAGATTTCGGGACGTACGGACGGACTGACTGACGGACGGACAAGTGCAACGCTATATGCTCCCACATTGTGGGGGCATAAAGATCTCTTAGTCTGAACTCTCTTACATAATCTATACGACTACGAGTATGAATAGTCAATCTACATTATTTTACCTTTGATTTAGCTTCTGAACGTCCATTTCTAATAATTAAAATTTGTAATATATCACATGCTATTTCAAAGAATCCGGATTTATCAAAAATAGAACAATATCTAGGACGCAAAATGTAATATTTATTTATACCTGCTTATCTTGTCAAGTTGAACGTCATCCGCCATTTTATTCTATCACATGACCTTTCTAATTTGTCTAAAACCCGTACCAGAAACCGGCATTAAATTTTGACGTACTAAAACCCGTGCTCGAACAAGCGTCTACCTGTTTTATACTGTGATGCTGCATCAGACGAAAAAAAATGTGAAAAAAGCGACTTGTAATGTTTTGGAATAGGGACAAAAAACAGAATCCCTAAGTCCAAAACAACAAAATTGAAAATGTTGCAGGCTCGATTTGATTGAGCCTGTTCATGGACGGTACTGGTAGGATGGTCCCCTATGGTACCACTGTTCTTATTATTTTCAGCATATTGTACAAATAAAAAGAACTTATATTTACTATTTTATTGAATCGTGTTTAGCTGCCGCATCTTGACTGTAAAATACACATGTCATTCATAGAATAACTCAATGATTTTAATTAGAAACATCTATGGTCGTTCAGTCATGTTTAGAATGGGACCTTATACGGAGAGCACTATGGTACCGTGGTATGTTAATTGATGGCCTTTTTTGGCTTCAGTATATTTTTTGTAACAGAATATGCTGTCACTACAGTTTCAGCAGACGACATTCACTTGTGGGAACATGAAATTGTAAATTTAACCGTTAAATATGGGAGTAAAATAAAGAAGTTTTTTCAGCACACACAGGCAGCTTTGGATTTTCCTATCAATGACAGAATTTATTTGAAATGAAAAAATTTCTAACAATTTCTTTCCAAATTCACAAAAAGCAGCACTTCCACTTTCACTTTAACGGTGGAAACAGTATTTGGTGGCATTCAATGTGTAAAGAAACAATTTTTCTGATTACATCGGAATGGGCAAGGACGCGGTACCCGCGGGAAGTACTATAAGTGCAAGTTACCGTCCACATCCCATAGCACGGGTTTTAGCAGATTACAACATTTAAACACGAAAATGGTGAAATTTCGAAGCCAGAACTCCCTGCTCTCGAGTTCGACACATAACCAGTTATGCCGTCTCAATGGATGCCAAAAAAAGACTGTAGGTCTATATGCATGAATATATATAGTGTCATTATTTTCTGCGATCTGCAAGCAAATCGTGACTATATTGTGGTGCACTGGCACACCGTACCAACAAGTCACGGTTTAATATGGGCGAGGGTCACGAGCAATACAAATTACTAAGGGATTGAACATTTTGTAACATCATAGAATAAAGTATAACATTGAGAATAATAAGCTACATTACCTCATTAAATAGAAAGCAATATATGTTCATTTTAACCTGGAAGTTATGTTACAAGTCGACTTGGCTTTATAGAAACTAAATAGTTTGCAGGATTGAAAATAAATTTGAAAAAATATAAAGTTCAACACAATCCGAAATAAATTTTATTTTAAGCTGGAAAGACTTGACGAACAAGCATACATGTACCAAACATCACTATATATCTATTTACATGCGGTTTGCAATTCATGTTATTATCAAGTGTAGGTATATTGTGCTCCTGTTAGTTCACGAACAAGAAAGAAAACAACAAATGAAACTTACGGTACAAAAACTGCCATAAGCTGTAACATATAATTATAGGGATTTTCAAGTATGACACAAGTAAACAACAATTATATTAAGTCAAAATCAGTTTAAATGGGCCAGACGTAGACCATATGTCGGCTATTTTGAAAACAGTATGTCATCATTTAAATCGCGGTAAATGGTGTTACGCTATAGTTTTTTTCATGTTTCAGTTAAAATTTCTACATGGTATACTGCTCAATTTTAAATATTAAAACTATCTTTACTTTGTTACTCAAAACTTATTTTTTAACAAACAAGAACAATTAGAAAATGATGATTGTTTTAGACGTATGCACAAATTTAATGGACTCTTGTTGCTTTTTGTAGAAATTTGTTGTTCTTTTTTACGTAAAATCTAGAGATTTAAAATATTTTGCATAAAAACTTTGTTGTTTATTTGTATGTATAAATCATGTCAATTCTGATCAATTTTAACACTGGTCACGTGAATATATGCCATTTCGATGAAATAATTAAGTGATGACGAGGAATTAGTGGTGTTGAGTATATATACTAAGGCTCCACTTCTTTTTTCGCTGGAAAAGGTCATTTCATTTGACTCTGCTTTCAATGGTCATCGTATGAAAAAGAATAACTAGAACACCATTGCCAATAACAGTTAATGCTTTTGTGTTGCCTTATTTGTCTAGATGCCGTCCTGCATTCATTATCAACAATTTTGATAAAGACATTTCAGACATCATTTCTTATAGAGGCTTGTAATAGTTCAAAGCGTTTTCTTACAAACGTTATATTCCCGTAACAAAATTGTCTTATATGTATACAGTATCCATATTGGAAATAATTATATAACAAGAGCACCGCTGAGGCAATATACGCTAAAATGAAAATTATTTGAGAAATAAAAAATAATCATAATTAATACAACTTTAGTAGAAGGCTACAAATTGATGTTATTAATGCCAAATATCAAAGTTCTGGGCTAGTTGGGTGGTTCCAATATTCCTACTTGAATAATGTTGAATCACCCTTAGGATATGTTGCCTGCTTTTTAAATTTGTCTCTTGACGTCTTATCTGTGATATGCAGGCTTAATAACCTCTGATCCCCTTTCAAAATTCCATTTTAATTAGTTCCGCCCATTGCTTTCTCGTTTAGGGCACACGCTTTTTATTACTTGGGGACCATACGCCGCTTTTTATGGAATGGCACGGAAGTGTCACATTGAAGGTTCCATGATAACCGCTGCGGATGTATCAAAATTCAAAATTGTACTACTTCATGTTTAAATGTTGAATTCTGCTTAAGCCGGTGCTATTTTTTTATAGTGTAGGAGTAAATAATTTCAAGGTATGTTTATAAAATAGAGAAAAACTGAATCCCTAAAGAAAGTCCAACACAACAAAATTGAAAATGTTGCAGGCTCGGTTTGATTGAGCCTGTTCATGGACGGTACTGGAAAGTGCAATTTACCGTCCACGCCCTCTAGCACCGGCTTAAGCAGAATTCAACATTTAACACGAAAATGGTGAAATTTTTAATTATAAGTCGACATTACCTAAGAGATCCCCAGGATGGGCCAATTTTCACCCCAGTGTCATAATTTATAAAACTTTTGTAGATGTCAAATAAGCAATGCTACATGCTAAATATCTAAGTTCTATGTATTATAGTTTCACATAATGTGGCTATAAAAATTAATGTGTTTCCCATATAAAATCTATATTAATCAAGTAACCCCCGGGGCGGGACCATTGTTTAGAAGAAGCCCACACCTGCGTTCTGCACATCGTCTTATTATAAGTAACATTTCTGCAAAATAGTTTATATTTTCTTCTATCGGTTCAAAAGATAGAGAGCGGTCACAAAAGTTTGAAATTCATACACAATCACTACATGTGACTTTGACTTGGGAGAAGGTCATACCTGCCAAACCTGCATGTGCAAATCTTCTTATCATGAATTTACTTCCATCGGCTCAAAAGCTTCAGAGCAGAAACGAAATTGCTAACAGACGGACAAACGGACTTTTAGGTATATACAAACATACGCCGTAATTTTTTTCAGGCTTATAAAAATGTATTTTCGTGTATAGAAAACAGAACAATTCATGCATATAGTAAAAATTTTAATAATATGTGAAAGCATTTTGTATTAGAAAAATCAAACAACAGCATTCTCACAAACACAAAAAGATACATGTAAGATCGTATTGGCAAAAACAATTTGTTCTATTGATGTTTTGTACTTTTTCAATTTATATTCTGCTTTTGAAAAGAGTGGGCTAATACTGTATATTTGGATGGGATACATGAATTCAGTGCAGAGCTGTGTATTAAGTAACATTTTATCACATTTTACAAGTTCTTTTTAATTACTAGTACAGTAACTGTATTACAAGTTATTCCAAAGTAGAGGTCCACTAGGCATACACAATATTTAGGCTCTGAGTGTTGTAGTTTAAAACCAGAATATTTCAACAAGCTTTTTCTTTATAAGTCTACATGAACTAAGTGACCACAGGGAGAATGCCTCTATTGCATGATTCAGAGCCATACTGTCAAGGATTACAAGTTATGCTAGATGCAAAATATCTTAGCTCTGAACATTGTAATTTTTTGAGGCGAGATTTCTCAGGTTTGCTTTTTAAAATCTTTTATAAGCCCTTATGACCTACTTAATAATCCACCAGACTGGAACTATTTATAGAACTATTGTAGGGAGCAACTTAAGATTCAAGAGAGTATATTTTGAGATGTTGTTCACGAACGGCAGCCAATTGCCACCACAATAACACACCTCTGAGCACTATATCTGCTCAAGTGAACTAAACAAAAAAAAAACAAAAACAAAATAAAAACAACCAAAAAACAAAATAAACAACAACAACAAAAGACAAATAATAATACAGTTGATTGTAAGTTAATACAGCTACTTCCCTTAAATAAATGTCGATTCGTTCTAAAGTATACAAATATATTGACGGAACATTTTTTTTTTATTTTTAACATTCAATTTAGCTTTCTCCTGACGTTTTGTATTGTTTTTCATTGATTATGACACTGAATTCAAACGCATAAAACATTGTAATTACAAATATCTTAATAAGATGGTAAACATTACCAGCTTCATAATAATTTATATTGTTTTTTCTTCTTCAAATATTGTACAAAAGACATATTAATTACTTATGTTATGATTATTAGAATACAATACCCCTCAGGGTATGAGATTACACACCTTACCCAATTGTGAAGAAAAAGTACAGATTAAAAATAAGATTAAAGTTATCAAAATACATTTGCATAGAACTCAAATAATTTTCAGACAAGAAAAAACCCATTACCTTTATAAATATATATCCCGAGTCTAATAAATATAATTAACTAACTAACTATTATTCTTTCCAAAAAATGTTTTACATATCTCTTTTGACTAAAAATCTTACATGGCTTTGTAACCTACACTACAAATAACAACACATTTGTTAGTTAGAAATGTTGTTATCTGATATGCTAAATATATTTATTTCACACCTATCAAAATGCAACCAATTTCAGCCTTTGCACCTTGTGATCTTTAAATCTAAACCACTATTGGATCCAATATCATCAATTTAAACTCGTTTTCTTTCTACGAATCCAAAAGGTCCGTATCAAATGCATAGTCGTACTCAATTTAGCCTCGTTTTCATTTTCCGAGTAAGATAATCCATATTAAAACAATATTGTACGCTACCTATCCTTTCTTTCATCTTTCGAGTTCAATAGCTCCATATTAAACCATATTGGCCAAGATGTAGCTGTATATTTGATATTATACAATAACACCATTGACTTTGAGTGTTTTTTCTTGAAAGAAGTGGTGGCGTAAATTAGTATTTATTACACACTGTTGGATGTAATATCTACTTTTCGGGATTCGTAGTCAAACCTATATTGGACAAAACACTAGCAGCACGTCCTAAACAGGTTTTACAGTTGTATACTCTTCAAAAGAATTTAGTTTAGTTCTCAACATTGAATAATTACATCATATCATTTCACAGCTTATGACATGTAACGATTGAAGTTTCAGCGTTTGCGCCATGTAATCTCCCAATATAAACCAGTATTGGATCCAAAATTAGCGATTTAGCCTCGTTTTGTTTCTTTTTTTTCGAGTACAAAAATCCATATAAAGTCTATTTTTGTGCTCAATATTTGGCCCTTGTCTCTATTTTCCAGATCTAAAAATCTCACATCAAATCACATCAAATTGTTCTCCTTCTAGTAAGTCCAAAAATTAAGCAAGTCCAAAAATCCATATCAAATCCTTACTGATCATTGTACTAGATGTTCAGCCAAAATGTAAATAATGATGGTGTGAAATAAAGATTTCATTATAAATTCTTGAATACAATAATGATTTTATTTGACTCGCACAAAGCTGTCAAGACTTATATAAGCATGATAAGACTCGGCTAGCTCCTCGTCCAAAATCAGGTTGCCAGCTGTTTGTTCGTCCAATAGAATTCACTGTTATATCCAACAATGTATTAAAATCTTATAAAATCCGTAATAAGAGTTTTCCTTTTTGTAAAAAGTACACTACCTTTACAATGAATGCACACATACATTCCAAAGGCGTTCGGCACATTTGCCATGCTAATTATGGTCAAATTATCATAAAATAATTACCCCTTGATAATCAAGAACAAAATTGCTATCGAGCACCGGTTTACTATGGCAAATGTGTCAAATTCCTGTGATAAATTCTAATTATAATTGAAAAATAATGTTATAATATAGGATTCACTATCATCATGTTTTTATGATAAAATTCACCTTATCATCAAATAAGCAGGTCATTAAATGAAATAAAAACACACTAGGATATATCATTATCGTCGTTTTCATTTTTATAAAAAAAAGAACACCCCTATGCATTTATCTTTTATAGAAATATACACTTATACATTTAAATCAAAGTTATCAAATTATAAAGTGAAGGATTCACCTTTATCACATTATAATGACAAAGTACACCCCCTTGTTTGTTATAGTTTTCTTGATAATAAATTACACCAAAAGTTTAAATCAATTTTATCAAAAAAATTAATATAAGTTTTACCTTTATCATCTTCAAATGACAACGTACACCCCTATGTTTGAATATGAAAATTAGTATAAGATCCACCTTTATATGACAATAAAGTACACCCCTATGTTTAAATATGAAAATTAGTATAGGACCCACCTTTTTATGATAATAAAGTACACCCCTATGTTTAAATATGAAAATTAGTATAGGATCCACCTGTATATGATAATAAAGTACACCCTTATGTTTAAATATGAAAATAAGTATAGGATCCACCTTTATATGATAATGAAGTACACCCCTATGTTGAAATATGAAAATTACTATAAGATCCACCTTTATATGATAATAAAGTAAACCCTTATGTTGAAATATGAAAATTAGTATAAGATCCACCTTTATATGATAATAAAGTACACCCCTATGTTTAAATATAAAAATTAGTACAGGATCCACCTTTTTATAAAATAATAAAGTACACCCCTATGTTTAAATATGAAAATTAGTTTAGAATCCACCTTTATATGATAATGAAGTACACCCCTATGTTGAAATATGAAAATAGTATAAGATCCACCTTTATATGATAATAAAGTAAACCCCTATGTTGAAATGTGAAAATTCGTATTGGATCCACCTTTATATGACAATAAAGTACACCCCTATGTTTAAATATGAAAATTAGTGTAGGATCTACATTTATATGGATATAAAGTACACCCCTATGTTTAAATATGAAAATTAATATAGGATCCACCTTTATATGGTAATAAAGTACACCCCTATGTTTAAATATGAAAATTAGTGTAGGATCCACCTTTATATGATAATAAAGTACACCCCTATGTTGAAATATGAAAATTAGTGTAGGATCCACATTTATATGGATATAAAGTACACCCCTATGTTTAAATATGAAAATTAGTATAGGATCCACCTTTATATGGTAATAAAGTACACCCCTATGTTTAGATATGAAAATTAGTATAGGATCCACCTTTATATGGTAATAAAGTCCACCCCTATGTTTAAATATGAAAATTAGTATAGGATACACCTTTATATGATAATAAAGTAAATCCCTACGTTGAAATATGAAAATTAGTATAGGATCCAACTTTATATGATAATAAAGTACACCCCTACGTTTAAATATGGAAATAAGTGTAGGATCCACCTTTATATGGTAATAAAGTACACCCCTATTTTTAAACATTTAAATTAGTGTAGGATACAACTTTATATAGTAATTCAATTATTAATTAAAGGGTTCGCCTTTATTATCTTCAATAATAAAGTATACCCCTATGTAAGAATATAAATCAAATACAAAAAGTACAAGGTTCACCTTTATCCAAAATTATACTATTTACATGTTACAATTACAATAATGGAATAAATTTCCAAATTATACTATTTTCATGTAACATACATGAAATAAATATGCAAATATACTTGTTACACGGTACATAATGACATACATTTTCAAAATATACTATTTACACGGTACATATTGATATAAATATGCAAAATATACTGTTTACACGGTACATACTGACATAAGTTACCAAAACATACTATTTAGATGTTACATAATGATATACATTTTCAAAATATACTATTTACACGGTACATATTGATATAAATTTGCAAATTATAGTGTTTACACAGTACATAATGACATAAGTTACCAAAACATACTATTTACATGTTACATAATGACATAAACTTGCAAAACATACTATTTACACGGTACATGACATAAATTTGCAAAATATACTATTTACATGTTACATAATGACATTAATTTGCAAACTATACTCGTAACACCGTACAGAATGACATAAATTTGCAAAAAATACTATTTACACTGTACAAAATGGCATATATTTCTAAAATAAACTAAGTATTTACATGTAACAAAATGACATTAATTTGCAAACTATACTCTTTACATGTTACATTATAAATGACATAAATTTGCAAAATAAACTATTTACATGCTACATAATAACATACATTTGCAAAACATACTATTAACATGTTACCGAATGACATACATTTGCAAAATACACTGTTTACACGGTACATAATGACATAAATTTGCAAAATAAACTATTTACATATTAAATACATTATTAAAGCTGTGTACTTTACATACATTATTAAAGCTGTGTACTATATATTCCTAATCACATTCATGTAAATAAAGAGCAATACGCATGTATTTAATAATAAATTTTACCAGCAAAGGAAGAAAAAACACTTAAATGTCCCTTTTTTAAAATGTCAAGGCGTAGCCAAAAGAAACGCTCGAATGTTTATCAATGGCTAAAACATAGATGGTATATATGAATACCAATATCTCATGAAATTATATGTGTATCAATATATGATTGTAAATATGTGAGTATCTATATATTAGAGTGAATTCATGAATGTCTGCATCGGAGTACAGATATACGAGTGTCATCATATGACTTTCGATATAAAACTATTTTGATATAAGAGTGTCAATATATAATTTTCCACATATGAGTGTCAGTATATGGCTGTCAATATATGAGTGTCAATATACAAATGTAAATATATGAACGTAAGTATATAACTGTCAATATATGAGTGTCAGTATAAAACTGTCAATAAATGAGTGTGAGTAAATAAGTTTTAGTATATGAGTGTCAATATATGGGTCACAACATGTGAGTGTCAGTATAATAATTGCCGAAAAATGAGTGTTAATATAAAATTGTGGATATGAGTGTCAATATATGATTTCAAATATATGAGTGTCATGTACAAATGACATTAATGTAGTTTGTGTGTTCTGTATAAAAATAAGCGGCAAGTTTAACAAATTATTTAATACAGCTGAGAAGTAAGCAGTTCATCATTAAGTTAGCTTTTTGAACACCTTAGCAAAAATTTAAAAAAGTTATTAAGCAATGTATGATTGCTTCATGTTTATTAAAAGAAAATATATGTGAAAAAGATCTAAGTATGCATTATTTCTATGCATGTGTGGATTAAGCAAAGAGAATGTGTGGATTAGACAAAAAGGAAAAAAATCAAAATATTTGAGTTAACACATCAACTATTGAAACCACTTATTTTACACACATTATAAATATCATTTTGCATATACAGTTAAACGCTAAAAGTGAAATTTTACGAATGAGAACGAGTATGGCACAGTTTATAGAAAACATTATCCTTAACATTTTACACTAAACCTCACCACGTAAAACATTTTTATCACAAAAAATAGTACGCGTTACATCACGATCGATACATAAACAGTTTTACCAAAAACTTTTACATTAAAATAAAAAAAATATGTACATTTCAATAAACAACAGTGTTCCGTTATCTAATGTGGATCATAAATAACATAAAAAGAATGACTTTAATTCAAAACCATACGTTAAAAAAACAAAGTTATAAAACATAAGTACAGTCAAACTTGTGAATAAAGGCCACCCGAAGTAGCGACCTTTTTAGACAAATGGCCTTTATTCGGACTGTAGTATTTCATCAATAAAGATTTGTCAAAAATATGCTTGTAGATGTGCCCTGAACCAGAAAACAACGGGTGAAACTAAATAAAATTGAATTTGAAAGGGGGCTTTGAAGCCGTTTTCAATATAACTACATTATGTCACTTTAAATTCAACAATTACATTAAATTTACATTATTGAATATTATGCACATTGAATAATTTGACTTAAACTAATCTATAAATACAATATCATGAAGAATATTAGATTATTTCACTTTAACTAATATATGAATACATGTTAAATATCATTTATATAAAATCAGTTGATTAATCATGCTGCTATTTCATACGTTCACTTATAGCACTTCACAAACAGGAAAAACGTTACATATTTGTTTTAGTTTCATTCCGTTGTTTTTTCCTCATTTATTCATTTATTCTAATCTAAAAGCCAAGCACATATACTACATTCACAAAAAGTAATGCATTTGAAAATAAAATCCATTCATCTCTTTTAAACAAAGTAAAACATATACAAATATAAGTTATTCTACTTCAAACAAATCATTTCAATCATCCAATCATCATCATTTTTAAACAATTTCCGTCGAGGCATCCAAGCATACGTACACAGTAAATAAAGTTCTATGCTATGAACTCCTCTACCAAGTTTAAAAGTGTTCCTGTTGTTTTTATAGCAAAGTCAGCATCTTCTTTTTTGAACAAATCGGACGGAATATTTGGTCTGGAAAGAGCGTCTGGATACCGTAACCTGCTATTGTCTCCAAATTTATCTTCCATCAGCCTTGCCTAGTAAGTGAAAAAAATCTATAAACTCTCAAGAAGAGTAGTCACTTTTAACAAAAATAACAAAAATAAAATATATCTTTTAAATTAAAGTAATATAAACATTTCATATTTGCCAGTTGTTTCGGTAACTCGTGAATGTATTGCCTTATAAAACGTCAGTATGACATGGAATTAAGTAAGCTTATCATTAGTTCTCTATATGTATGGTACAACAATACTAAGGTACCCTTTATTCTTAAGAAATTACCAAATAAATCTTATGAAGGCAAACATGGCGCATCAATTTCAACATATTACCGACAGGACGATTCTTCTATATTTCTGTTCTTTGGTAATTTGTTAAGGTTGAACATTGATCATATTTCTATTTCTTGTCATATAATGTATATGATATAAGGCAACAAACTTCCAAAGTTGTAACAAAAACTCAAAAACCCCAACAAAGTTTCAAAAACTTTGGTGTGGCGCCATACATTTCCGAGCATATGCAGTTTAAATGTTTTGAAATACATGTTTATTATGTTATACAAAACGACAGATAATTATGGAAAACGAAGACCTGACGATAGAAACAGATAAATATCCCCAACCCCTAAAGATGGACCTAGTTTAAGTACACGACCTTTCAATTATAACAAATGCATGATACTTCGGTATATATATATATATATATATATATATATATATATATATATATATATATATATATATATATATATATATATATATATATATATATATATATATATAATATATATATATATATATAATTTATATATATTGTTAATTAATTGTAGATCGGATGCATTGCGTACTGCTGAATATTATGTTAATGGTATCGTGATTTAGACAAAACATGTTTACCTGTTTACGCATATCATCATCGAGAGCCAGTAATGACAGTCTATGACTAGAACTTCCTCTAGGTACATTGTCTGCATCTCTTGCATAGTATGTCGATTTTAATGCCTTTTCACACGACTGGAGATGTTCAAAAATGTTTAAAAATACAGTTTTTATAACAGTTTATGCTATGTTTTTATGCTATGTTTGAAAGACATGTTCAGAATAAGACATAAAATTGAATTAATTCTGTTAATGAAATACGTAAAATAGAAAAAATTGAAAAAAGAAAAAAGTTGAAAGCTTTTTTTAAAAAGTAAGATAGTGATGTTGAGTATACACTTTTTCATTCAATATTTAATAAATATCTAATAATTGTTCAGTGATATCTCTACATACGGTTTATGCTACATATAATAAAAATGGCTCTGCAATAAATACTAAATTAGAACTTCTGACATGACTTTTAGATTTTCAAAACACTCTTATTTTTAAACATTTAAAGATCCTGTATGTTTTAATGGAGGTTGCATACCACACTTAAGTGAACTTATATACATGTATATGTATATAATTATGCTTATAAAACAATTTTTAAACATCGAAGAATATGTAAAATATGTACTGCAAATATTTGTACATTTCTTATGTAATCATTAAAATATTTGCATTCATTTCTTATTGAAAATGTTACTTAGATTTTATAGAAAATAAGTTTTTTATTTTCTCCCTTTATTAACATGAAATGTTAAATTCTTATATTAATAATGCTTTTTGAACATACAAAATTATTAAATCTAAATTTGAACATCATATTTATGATATAAAACCATAAAAATTTGTGTTACATGATCTCTAATATAAGAAAAAAATTACCTGATGACAAGTGTAACAAATCCAATTAAATCCGTCAACATCTTCAGCTACCACTGCGAATGATTTTGCAGCTAAGAAATCGCATTTTGCCTGCCGAAACCACCTTTTAGCCTCCGTTATATCCTGTCGTTTGGAGCGCTGTACCTGTGCATGACAAAACAACCCTTGCCTGCTTTTATATGAATGTCTATATTCCTTTATGTTGTCATCATACGCCTGAACATAAGCCTTCGCTCTTGTCGTTATGTTTGTATAGTAAAACGATGATAATGACATATTTGAAGGACCTCTAACAATATCTGTCCTAACATTCGTGGCGGGTACTTCTTCGTTTTCAAGTCGACTTAAAACAATTTTGATATAATTAAATACTTCAGAACAGTAATCACGGTTAACTAAATTTCTGTCTGGATACCATTTTAAGTAAAGGCGACGAATCACACGTTTTTTATCTTCTTCAGATAGTTGCCATGCTTCGAGTAATTCTTCTCGTATTCGTCTGCAATTTTCATCAACTGGAAAGGCAAATATAGGCTCACCACTACACCGATCGATGACATTGCCAACATCTTCCTTTTGGCGGACAAATCTAAATAAACGGTAAATTGGAATCGTTTCTTCTTGAATATCGGGATTACCTGTGTCAACAAGGTAAATATGCGACAGGTTGCTGCAATTTGGCGGAGACAAATCGCGTATGATATGTACGTAAATGTATACAGGATCACGATTGCTATCTTTATCGTTTGCTGTATCATCAAGATCCAATACAACACTCTCAAATTCATAATCTTTAAAGGGGTATATTCCCTGCTCTAAAAAAGGGAAAAATATTTTATCAACGGCTGTTCCGGGTTTCGGGAAATGGTCACGCATTTCTGCAATTGGTACATCAAACTGATCTATGCCTAAATCATCAAGAACAGATTGAATATTCATAGGATTTTCAATTTCCTGAAGCATTTGAGTTATAATTAAAACAGATTTATCGCCGAGCCCAGATGAGCAGGATAAAATGAGTTTGGTCAGCCCGGGAATCAGTTTGTTCAAAACAAGCTTCTTAGAGTTGATGTCATCTTTGAAGTAAAATACTTTCTTTTGGTCGTTAGATTTTATATAAAAGTACAACTCTTTGTCAGTGTTAGGAATGAGACGCTTTTTGAAATACAAAACAGTTTTTAAATCCTTTACTTCACAAACTTTAATGCCATTGAGTTGAAGATACAATTCTTCAAACCACTTATCGCAGTCTCGTTTATCGTTGGTTCTTGAGTGAAACTTTAAAAGCCTACTGAGTCCGTTCAATAGATGATCTGAGTGCAGAAAAGTCTCTATTTTTCTAACATTTGAACTATTTTCGATTACTTCTATGCTATCAAGACAAATCTGTTCTGTTGTTGCTTCTGTAAGTAGAACAGGTCTTATATACCCTGGTAGATTGCAAATAGCAGCAGCCTCTGTACAGCCCAATTGTATTTTCAAATTATGAAATCCAGAAAAATACGTTATTTCGTAATTTCCTGAGAGTCTTTTCTCGTATGAATAACGATCCGATACCACTAAATCTTTAGCACTCATCAGAACCATATCTCTACTTGGGAGATACAAGCATTTGCAATTGTCCACATTTTGCTTTGGCGTACAATTTGATATAAACAAATGCTCAATTGCCTTTCTAGCTATATTAAGTTCTTTCAACATCATTGGTTTTCCCTTTGTCTCATTCTTCAAAGTTTCCAAGACTCTAGCATAGTGATCAAAACCTACAGTTTCCTTGCACCCGAGACATTTAAATAAGTCAAAATATTTTCCGTAATATACAGGGGCAGCATATAGGTAAGGTTTTATCTGATAATATTTTGGTAATTCAATAACAACATCATTGATAGTAACAAGTTCGCCATCGTCTGGCAGGTAGATAATTGGAGTGTTAGAAAGACGTGATTTCAACTTATCATCAAAGTCTCCATTCTTGGCAAAGTATTTGTATATTTTTGTCATTTGTTGTATAATAAATTTATTTGCTATATCATTATCTGTGCTTTTAAGAAGACCTTTAAAACTGTCACAAACGTTCTGACAATGAAGTATAACTTTTTCTAGTGGTGGACGTCGATAAAATTTTGCAAGTTTTGCAAACCCCTTTTCTAAAACTGTATACTTTTCGTTACCTAAAATTAATTGACTGCTTGCCCAAAAAAAGGATTGTTGTTTTTTCAGATACCGTGTTCTCAAAGTGTATCAGATTTTGCCCTTCATCAAATTGACGAAAAATGTGTTTCTGAAAATTTGATACTTTGTATGGTAAAATAAATCTAACTGTTTTCAAGTTGTCGAGTGTCTCTGTCTGCCAGCCTTTTCCTTTGTTTAACTGAAAACATTTCAAAAGTATTTCCGATTTATGTTTTATGTCACTATTTATTTGGTGAACACTTTCTCTCTGTATTTCGAGAGCAAATCGTAGCAACATTTCATCGTCAACTTTAGTTTTTAAATCAAGAAGTGTCAAAAAGCTGTACCACTTGGTCGTAAGAAATGGACTTGGCGGGAAATAGTCCTCACCTAGCATAGAAGCAAATACGTCATTATTTGGACTGAACAATTCCCGTGCTCGTTTAATTTTAAGACCGACTCGGATAAATGGAATACATTTTAGTTTCTCAATGATACGTTGTTCTACAGGCGATCTTACTTTTTTATTGATAATTTTTTCCCGCAGGAAATCTATGTGAAACGCAACCAATTTAGGAGCATTGGCATGCCACACAAGGCACAAAGCTAAAAAAACATACCAATAAGTCCTCAGGAAAGGGTATACAGTGGCCACCAAAAACACAAAAAAAACAAAACAAAAAACAACAAAAAAAAACAAAAAAAAATCAAGCAAAAACAAAATAAAAGTCAAAAAATTATATGAAATTGCATACAAATCGGAAATAGTATTTCTGTACAACGGACAACTACTCTGAATCTCTTGAGAAGTGCTTTTTGTTACACTTAAATCAGCCCATTCCCTGTACCGCCATCCAGGGGGAATTTCTTTGGGAAGAACGATCACTTTCATTTCTGTCAATAACGGATGTGAAGGGGAAAATTTGCTGAGTAAGAAAGATTGGCAATGATTTAAATTTCCTCTTGAAGTTGTTTAGTATCTTAATTATTTTTTTCAGTTACTGAAAATATGCTCTTTTCAAAATATTGGGGCAAAATATTTTTGGGGACGGGTGGAAGTTAAACGGTTTTTTCTTTGATATTTTTTGTTGAAAAGTGAAACAAGAAAACTCAAAAAATAAGACATTTGGGGAAATTGGGGGGTTTGCTACTTTGTGTTTTTATCATCCCCTTTTCAAATATCGGATATTTACAAAGTTTTTTAAAGTCTTAAAAACCCTAATTCAGGTAAAAACAAGTTTTGGGGGTGATTTTCCCAACCCCTTTTTTGAAATTATGTTTATGTATATGTATCCCTAAAAGAACTTTTTAAAAATGCCCAAATGTCCCTTGTTTTAACTTCATTTTCTATAGCAAATCTTAGACTCGTATATGGTAAGAAAGACCAGTCCCTTAACATTTTGAGATTTCCTAAAAACTTTGCAGAATCAATAATCATGTTTACATTTTCATGATCAACAAATGTATTTTCATCAATTTTCACTAGAGATTCTGACACAAGGAAATCATAAAACATGCATAACCATCCGTGCGATATATTCTTGTTATCATTACACGTATTGGATAGTTCTACCTCATTCCCTTGAGCAAATATATCCTTATTCTTATTTTCCGGTAGCATTTCGACAAATTCCTTCATTTGCAAATACTTAAAACAGAGTGATTCTGTCGCACTTTTATCTTGAAATAGGTCAAGAATATCCGCATGAATGAAATATTTAGCTGACCGAGGAAGCAATTTTGCAAACTCCGAAACGTAGACTGGGTATTCTTTTGTACAATATCTCAAAACTGAATCAGCTGTTAATAGAATTGGGAGTCCCTCTATCCGCTGGAAAAATTCTCGGTCTCTCTGCAAGAAAGTAATCAGTTCTTTCAAATAAACTGGAGAAATATATTTTGTTTTACAGATATCGGTATTAACATTTCCTAGTAAATGCACTTTGTCTGGTTCAGAAATATTTTTGAAATGATTAATAACCAAATATGGGGTAGAGATTGGAATGCGTGGATTTATTGTCTTGATAAAACGCCAAATTTTGGATGGAGTGCTCACAAGTTTCAGTCCAAAGGATTTCAACATACTTTCCAACAGCTTCGGTTTCAAATTAAGTAATGAATCAGGCACATAATAGTGGATGTTGTTAAATACTCCTGATTCAAAATCATGTACCGAATCGTTAGACACATAACACCATAAGATATGAAATCTTAATCCTGATCCTTTAAGAAGATAGTCTGCAGGTGGTGTTAATTCACATTTTGTGTCCAAGATGCATGGAAATAGTCTTTTCTTTTCATCCAGTACTTCTTTGTAAAATTTATGAATCAAATTATTCCAGAACTCTCCATACGTATTATTTAGAACGGGGAATATCCTGTGATAAGAATCAACTATAGACACGATCTCTTTCCATGTTTTTGCATGGCTTACAGCTTCTTCAATATCTGATTGAAGGTGAAAAAGCCCAGTTATCCAAGCTGGAATGATATTGTTAATTGCAATGCAATCATTCCATTTTCTTTTATGTCCTTCTTTGCCAATATTTAGCCTTACCTCGTGGTCTAAAGCAAAATGACCGTTAACATGCAAAGGGAAACCTGATCGCAAAGGCAATGGCAAAAAGCAAAATACCCGACCATTTATTGATATATCTTTGTTGAAAACATTTTCCTTTTTGTCATCAAGAGGTAAAGCTACACCACCTAAAGGTAACTGTCCAATTTCACCAGCTTTTATTTTTGTAATAATCTCATCATCTGCCATTTCTTTAAAACCAAATTTCTGAACAATCATCCAATTTCTAGAAATGTCACAGCTGTCAGAAATTGTCATGTTGTACACTGTTTCAAAAGCATGAGCCTTCAAGTTAAGAACTTTATTATTTTCATTTTGTTTCACTATATAGCGTAGCTTAGAATTAAAATCAAAATGTTTTCGTTTCTCTTCCACTCCAAATCTAACATGTACTGAATATTCTTCACAATACTTGCCACTTGTAATGTTTGATATCTTGATACAACATATATTTTTCAAAAAAAGTAAGGAATCATACATATCGTCTTTAAATGAAAGCAATATCTTGTCCATTCTTTCAATATCAACTATGGTATTGCTTATTTCAGACTTTTCCCTTCTGAGTGGAAAACGGAAGATAGTGCCCTTTCTATCATTTATCAAAATATCAGAACTAAATCCAAGTAAATGATCTGGAAAGTTCCTCTGAACACCGTCAAAAGTAACCATTTGTCCTGGTTCATCCGGACTTGCCTTTGGAACATGTTTGCAAAGAGGATCGAGGAATACTAAAAGGCCACCATGCAAATCTTCGGGCCCTTTTGTAAAAAATGACGGGATGTCTGTTAAATGGTAAACTGCATTGAATCCGACTCCATACTGTCCGGTTTTTGAGGGATCTTGATGTTTGCTTCCTTGCCCGAGATTATGTATTCCTTCAATATCTTTTTCAGTAAAAAAACTATTGTTATAAACACATAACGACGGTCCCTGTAAGGTTTGACAAGAATCACTAAATAACTGCTTTGTTGAATGGTTTCGGTAATCTTTAATAAAGTTTATTTCTGTTGCACCGGCATCGTCTGCATTTTGAAGGAGCTCACTCATTATGCTAGAATCGCAAGGATATGCGTCTAATAGGCCTCTTATACGTGTTCCAAGCTTTTCATTTTGACCAAACGGGATTCCTTTAGATATGTCATGAAAACATCTACTTTGCTTTGTCGAAACACCGAGAAAATGTGCAGCAGATGGTACAATACCATGATGCAATATGTTCATGGAATCAGTTGTAATAAACTGTTTGTTTTCAATTACAAGGTCTTTGGTAGGTATCAACCTGTGTAAAACGTCAGGTGCATATATCAAGTCATGTTTTTCTGATATACTGTCAAATGTTAAGTTTGAACGTTCCATGCTATACTGTAAGTTCTGCAACATTGCATTAGCGTTTTCAATGTCTTTCTCTTTATTCCGACCCCACGATTCCTTAATAAAGTCAAATGCTTCAAGAATATTGTCGATATTGAAATAACTTTTAATTCCTAAAACTTCATAAACAGAATTAAAATGTTCTTTTGCAAACTTTGGGACAATGTTAAGTAACGGCGGAATTTCCGCCTTCACATTAAAAGCTACATTACATGTTTTTACAAGGTTCCTATGAACAAGAACCACTGGAACTTCATTTAATCTTAGAATTGCATTTATGTCCTTATCAGGATGATATTCGTTTCTCAAATACTTTTCAAATTGTTGAAACAGGACATTGTATATGCGCTTTAACTCATTATACTGTGAACGGGTATTTTCGTATCCGGAAGAAATACTTTCCATTTGCCTAACCATTGTTGTAACATTGGTGTCTCTTATTTCTTTTACCTTAAACATTGAAATAATTTGTTCCTTTATTGAGATATCGTTTCCAAATATACTTTCATCTAGTACACATTCCACAGTCCCAACAAAATCACATAATTTTTGTCTGAAGAGATCTTTTGCTTTTCCAAATCTGTGCTCAATAGCAATATCATGATTTTGACTACAAATCTTCATGTCTTTCTGCCGTTCATTTGCTTTCCATGAAAAAGCCCATTTGTTGGGTTTAGGTAAAATTGGAAACATATCTATGTTTGAAATTGAATCCAAAGTATATTTATCTTTTTCTAATCCTTCCAGAACTGTCTCATTTGACATATAGTTAAATAACTTCCTACATCTGTCAGAAACACAAATACAACAGCTCTTAGCAGCTTCTGATATTGAAACACACCGATCTAAAAGAAGGTCGTGGGGTATATACTTAGTAATCATTCCATTCTCAATTAATCTGTTTAGTGTTTGATCCTCTCGAAATCCATGGTTCTTTATTGGAAATCGTTCATCGTCCACATTGAAAAGGTTAGCAATTGTACAATGTGGGTTTATTACTTCTGAAGGTTTACGAAGTTTATTTGAAGGAAGCGTTGGAATGCAACTTGTTTTTTTGATCACTTTATTAACAATCTTATCAGACAAATCTAATGCGTATTTCACCAATTGATTTCTCATGTCAAACTTGTCTAACCAGAATTCATGGTCAATATTACGTAGAACAATAAGACTTATTTCCCGTCCATTTATTGTTTTTGACTCAATATATTCCAACATGTCTTTGTTACTATTTCGTATGTTTTCTAGAACAAGACATGGCATCTCTATTACTATTTTGTTAGACCTTACTGTAAAGTATGAAACGAAACGAAACATTATATCACCGAGTGGTCCGTCCCTCAAAGTCGGATTTAGATATATGACATCTTTGAAGGCAAACCATGTGTTTCTTACGCAAAACACAATTGGATTTGTAGTAACAATGTATTTGTAGAAAGCAAGCTTCAGAGAAATAACTACCTTTTTACTGTTCATTGGCCACAGGTCGTAATACTTGAAGTTGCATTCTAAATCGTTTGGATGAACTGATTCTAGCAAATTAAAGTAAGCATTCACCAAAGAATCTTCCATGAGTGCCTCGTTCCATTTCTTTCTTGATTTATCTTTGTCATCATCAGTGACAGAAACAAACTGACGACGGTCACTTGTTACTGAGAAACATCCATTTATATGAACCGGTAATCCAGTTTCCAAAGGCAACGGCAAAAAGCAAAATACGTGACCTGACCGATAAAAATATTTATCAATGGAGCCAAGACAAGAACATTTTAGGTCTTTTTCATTGCTACAAGGAACCGCTACGGCGGCAACAGGCAACGCGTTGTCTGATTTCTGTTCATTATACATTTTAAGTGAATGTTTGGTACCAGTAGCCCACGAAACAATCCAATTTGTTTTAGAATTAGATGGTAAACTGTCTATTTCTATAAGTGCCCTCACAATGTTCCGAAAATTCTTTTGCTCAAAGGAATATGTATGAATTTTCTTTTAAAATGGACATTTGTTTTCATTCAAATCCGGTACCCGAGGTAAAAACTGGTCCAAAGGAATGAGTTAATTTTTGTTCTGTATCTAGTATATTCCTCTCTTATACCGAAAGAGAAAAATCAGGTATAGTTGAATCACATGCATTTTCTGCCAAGTGATAAATTTGAATTTTCCGTACATTTTGAGTGAAAAGCAACATGTTGCCTGCAGCGTTTATTGTTAATTGAAGAAGATTTAGCATGTCATCACGTGTGTATGATTGACTGAATATTTCGCTTACTTTGGCCTGATCATCTGTGCGTAGGGGAAGCCTGAATAATGTACCCTGGTATCCATTGCTAGGAAAATCTATAACGTTACAATCAAATATACCTTGATAAGGTTTAAACTGATCAAGATGTCGTTTAACTAATGTCTGATTATGTAATGTGTACTTCAGTCCTGTACCTTTCTTGTTGCCAAGATATTTCTCATGCGGATCAAAGAAAACAATATCTGACCCCGTGATAAAACTTGGTAAATCTGTAATGTTATAAACTGAGCAAAATCCTAAACCAAATTTTCCTATTTTTTTCGAATCCTCCAGCTTTGTTCCTTCATTTAATTTTCTAATATTACTGAGATCATCTTTCGTAAACATCTGATCATTGTATACCCAAAGAGCTGGTCCTTGAAAACCTCGCATTCCTTTGCTAAGTACACGTTCTTTTGACTCCCTGTTCAATCTTTCATCGTACAGAAATCTTACCTCAGAAGCTCCTGCATCATCTGCATTCTGTATCAACTCCTTCGGAACAGACAATCCATCGGTATAATTCCTCACGTAACAATGTGTGTAAATTTTTGCTTGTAAGCGCTCTTTTTGACCAAAAATTCCCTGTAAACACCTAATTCCTTTTTTTCCTCCCATCTTAAAACAGCTTTTTCTTGGGTTATAAGGAAAGTGGCACACCTAAGTTCTTCCGGCAAAGAATGAGGGGTAATCTCCATGAACAAAAACAAACATTATCGGTCAAATTCGCTGGGAATGAATTAGGAATCATCAATCATATGTTACATTTACTTACGGGATGAAAGTTGTAGGGGAATTAATAGTTCTATCTCGTCCATAAATCAAAACTCAAGATTGGTGTTATTATTTAAATGTTCAATCCCCCTTGTTCTTTCATTCTGCTAATTTTGTTAGAACATTATTGACAATCAATCTATCCCGCTTGACAATTTGTTCTGCTTGAGCTATGCAGTGTTCATCTTTAATGAATGTAAGTACGTTTCGTAACACTGACTCATCTTGCTTACTTTTACAGCAAACTGTTTCAAATAAGGCATGAAAACTATTATACTCTGGAGACAGGCTGAAGAAGTATGGTCGCAAATCAATATCGTCTTCGTTACTGATAATTATAATCCTTTCGGCTGAAACAAACTCTTCCCCAGTCCACATCAACTTTTGATTTCTAAAATTCAACTTGTATTCTTCTGCATAGTTAAGATGTTTACACATATGTTCAAATATGTTTTTAATGGATGGCATAACTTCTGATTTATTCTGAACTGAAAAACAATCACGAATAATGCGTAGTTGTTCCAGAATTCTTTCAAAAGGAGGGGACTTATTCCACTGAAAACTTTCGCACAATTTGTCTGACTTGCAAACAACTATGGGCATTGTAGCACCGACTAGCAGACATTGCTGAAAGTCTATGACCTCTGTTGGCCTACAAAGTTCCTTATCATGTTCGTACCATGGAATGCATTTTGGGTAAGGTTCGGTTGATAGCTTTTGTACACAAATGCATGACAGAGATGCCAGATGTGTTCTGAGATTGTGACCGTCGGCACACAATTCATCTAGTACATGGGGATGGTCAGTTAAATGCCTCATGAATGACTCTGATTTCTTTTTATAATTGATATCTTTTAACTTTTTTTCAGCCCATTTATCTAATGTTTTTGCTACTTTAAAAAGTATTTCAGCATCTACACAAGAACTATCCTGCAGTCCTATGGCTCTAAGAGAATCAATGATTTCATCACTTAGGGGTTCTTTTATTTCAGGTGTAAGAAATTCATCATACAACAAATTTTGTATTTTTGAATTGGTTGGATCGAACAATTCACATGCCTTGTATCTTGCAGAATTTGATTCCTTGCTAGTTAATAAAAATGGCACATCTCTTGCAACATTAATTGTAGCTGGATTATTTCGAAAAAGGTGAAAATTCTTCAAAAAGAAATCCATAAATACATACAAACAATCTCCATATTTTTCAAAATGTTTTAGGACTCCATATACCAGTTCATCAAGTTTTACCTTCCTTGCACCTAAATAGCACATAAGGTCATTGCACGAGGAATCCACTAAAAGGCAACGGAAAGGAAAAGCTATATTCTTTGGGAAACATTCGGTTCCATTGATATATTCTTGGCACTCTGATACAGATCCAAAATTATCTTCACAGGCCCCATTGATACGACTAACAATATAAAACAAGCTTAGTTGTTTCACGATATTCCGAGCACCTGTGTCTAGCGATACTTCAAATTGACATCCTTTAATAAAGTCCCGCAGCTCATGTTTAGAAATGCTACAACTCGATCTGTTAAATATAGCTGCTGTTCTACTTGAATCCTCCCTTGCATTTATCTTTGAGAGAAGATCAATGACACCCTTTCTATTTGGCAAGTAGAAAAACCTTTTCAGTTCATGAAATGGTACCATCCAGTCTGGTAAACTTCGTAGGACAGTCACATTCATCATTTTGAAGGAATCACATATAGCATCTGATAGTGTTTCTCCATCGTAGGTTTGGACAAGCAGTAGATCAGAGAGTTTTACTAAATTCAGGGACAACGGCTGCAACCATGTTCCATCAAGTAAAACTGGAACTAACTGAAGTTCCGAAAAAAGGTTTAACTCATAACCTTCAGAATTGACGATAAATTTCCACACAACGTGAAGCCATTCAATTGTCAAATAAGTTGAATTCGTCATTTTGTATCCTTTCAATGTATCAAGGGTACATTCAAGCAAATCTTTGAAATCAGATGGTAGCAATTCTTTAAGTTGGTACAAACCTGAAAATACAGTATAAATAGTGTTAAATACTATTTCCCTACTCTGAAAAATCCAGAACACTTTCATTATATTAGTATTAAACTCAAAACTAATAACAGTTGATTTTGAGAAAACCAGTTTCGAAGAGGGCCAAAATGCCCTATATATTGTTCCCTGAAAGAAAACGAAAAAAAAACAATGTTTGTTCAAGGCATATAATGCTTAGGTGGGTTAATATGTCACAGGGTAAAAAACTGATATCAAAGTTCAAATCTGTATTTGAGACTGTAGTTACACATAAAAAACATAGGTCACTGGGTCAAAATATATGTCAAAGTTAATTTCTACATCTGAAACTACATGTAGTACAAAACTCTTTTTACAACACTACCAAGGAGCAGCGCCATCCAATTTTCTCAGTGAAAGATAGTTAACGGATAACCAGGAGGAAAATGGGTATAACTCTGCTGACTATAATTTCAGAACTATCTGGCCTAGTGATATCGTTTTACATTATGATTATATCCAAGTTTATATATTTTGAAGTGAATGGCTTTGATTGTTTTGAAAAAAAGGAATTCAACAAAATACATATTACAGGTCCCAGTGAGCTTGACCTTTGAATCTGTGACAAAAATATGGGTTTGACAATTAGAACTCATCAATATGCATAAGCATATAAAGTTTGCAGTTCCTGTCAATGCAGTAGTGTTTAATGGAAGTTTTTTTGTTTTCTACTTACATATAACAGTGACCTTGACCTTTAACATTCTAACCTTAAAATGAGTATGTCTGCTAGACCTAATCAAGATGCATCTCATACAGATCTCAAGTTTCTGGGCCAATGCACTTTGCTAAAATGGCTATTTGTATGTTTTGTTATTACATGTCATTTTAACTTGGACATTTGGTTAGATCAATTTAGACCATAGTGCTAAAATTGGTCTAACCAAAGATCCAAGCTATATACATACAAGGAGAACCCATTACCGTCTGTTAAGCAATTTTTGACCCTTGAGCTATAATTTGAGCAAAATTGGTAAAGGTCCACTAGACAATGTTTTATGTCAAATATCTAAGCTTGAACCTAAGTGGTTTAAGCGAAGAAATTTTTTTAATTAAACAATATACATATAAGACAACCCATGATCTCAGGGCCGGGGTCAATTTTTACCTCAAGGTTTTAATTTGAACACTTTTAGTAGAGAGACTTACTAGAAAATGTTACATACCAAATAGTATCTAGCACCAGCGTGTGTGCTAAGGTGAGTTAACAATATTTACAAAACAGTAAAAACGCATTGAAATTTGTGAAACCTACTTTTACAGTCAGATACAGTGTTCCAGGACTTCTAAAATCCGGAAACTTCTGAATTCCGAACATTTTTCAGGGTCATAAAATGTATCCTTCTGTTTTCTAAGAATTTTCTCTGAATTACGAAACTTATAAATTCTGAATTCCGAACTATTTTCTGTCAAAATTTGGGGCATATCAATTCAAATTTACTTTCAAAATCCGGAAATTGAAATAGATGTTAAGGAATATTATACTTATGGTTGTAAAACTTTCAAAATTTCAGTGTCATTCAATAAGCAGTTACCAATTATCTTGACGCCTATTAGAATCATATTCTGTCTTGCATGTCAAAAACTTGATTGAAGTGTGAAAAGGGTATAAATAAAAAAAATACAGATTAATAGCAGGTATTACATGAAATGAACTTAAGGATAAATTGTGATAATTAATATTACGCTTTTGTATCAACCGATTCAATGATAGGTGATAATGAAATTCAAAATAGTTATCAACTTTTTTAAAGTCCTATAATTGTGCCATTTTATGAACTTAATCAGCTTCTTATATTTTTAACATGTCTTACTTAACAATTGATTTTTCATGTTTCTACTTGTTCAGACAATTCCGAACTGCTGAATTCCGAGCATTTTGGCTAGTCCCATAGGTGTTCGGTTTTCAGAAGTTACACTGTAATATGATTATTATGAAACCTTAAGCAATTACTTGCCTGATTAAAAAATGGATAGGATTATATATAGTGCAGTTATTAGATGTTCTTTAAATTCTTTTTACTTACCTTTACTATGAATTCTCTCTAAACTTTTGCACAAAGGTTCCGAGCATTTTCTCAACAATTTCCCTCTCGACTCAACTAGTATCTGACAAACACTCTCTGAACAGAGAAAAACAGGATGTTCATTCTTATCAAAGCGAATCCATTCCCCAGACGCCAAAGGAAGTAATTCAAGGCCTTCCAAATTTTCGTAGCTCCCACAATCGGATAGGATGTATGCAAGAATTTTAAGTTTATCTTCATCATTTATATTTTTGTACTGGTGAGTTTCTAGAAGACATATGACTGCTCTTGCCGGGGAAAGATCTTCTGCATCAGGAACATACTTCTGAATAGTGCTGAACAATTTAGTTGTTACATTCACATAAGATTTCCCAATGCAACTCATTCCTCTGATGACAGCATCTTCAACAAACGTGTAACTTTCAGGCAAGTGCCTAAATGTAGCAAAAAAAGCATCCTTTAATGAGACCCAAGTTTCTTTATTCAAAGAATACAGAAAACATGTTTCTGACAATTTTTCATATAGACCCTTTTCTAGTACTGACCAACGTTTATGTGTATTCTCCGAAATTGGTAGACACAAATATGTATTTGTTACTGATTCATGTGTGTTTCCTAGTTCAATGGATCTGTCTATGAGAACCTTAATAAGTTGACAGTATGCCAAAGGCAGTGCTTCCCGTAGTAAATATGTATTCCAAAGTATGGATTTATCGTCAATTTTGCAGTCATCCTGCTCCTCAGTTGGCCATTTCAGATGGTGTCGGTTTTGACTTAAAGCAAAAAATCCATTGACATGAACGGGTAAGCCAGTTGATTTGTCTCCTTCCCTAGGTAGTGGAAGGAAGCAAAAAACATGTCCTTCCTGGTGTTCAAAAGAAACATTCAAAGGAGTGGCCACACCGACGTATGGGCTATAACCAAGTTTTTCATCATTTATAAGAGACATAAAGTCTCTAGATCCACTTTTACCAACAAAATAATTGACAACGAGCCATTCATGGCGTTTATTCGTCCCGTTCGATGACACATCTACGGTCATGAAAATATCGTTGTGTAGATCAACGGGTTCAGACATCTGTTGAAAGGATATTATATTTTCTTTAAACTCTGATCTCTTTTGTTTGACTAATCCGTAAGTATCATAGATAGCAACTTTACTATACTCTCTCAAAAGTCTATCCCCACCTCTTGTCCACATAGAGATACTTTCCAAATTCTTCAGAAATATAAGTATACTTGATGCTTCACCCTCAAATCCTTGAAAAAGACTTTTTATTTTATTTTCATTGTACAACGTTTCTGAAATAGAGGAAACAGCCTCTCGAAGGGGGAACCGAAATAATGTACCATTGAAATACCCGTGTTGCACATGCTCCATCCTCAATCCAAATGTATCTTCAAAAGCTACCTTAAAAGCTTCATAATTCAGACCTACCTCTGCAAGTGTCTCTATCTCCGAAAGGTCTATAAGTGCATTGACCATATCTCTTGGTTGTTGAGGATCTATCATCAGAAGTTTGTGACCACTCAAAACACTGGGATAATCTGTTAGTTATAATAATGTCTGAGTAAGACTGTGTAAAAATAAAGGATTTCCATAAAAAGAATTTCAATGGCAAAATATTTATGAAAACGGCTTTGTTTATTGCATAGATAATATTTTACAAAACTTTCAATATAATTTTTTACACAGGAATATTGCAACAAACAAATTTCTCCTACAATGTAAATTAACCGAATCTAGTCTTTACGATTTTTGCTGCATGGTTGTTGAAAGTATAGAGCACCTATTTTGGGACTGCCGAACGGTACCAATATTCTGGAATAATTTATTCAAATGGCTTAATGAAATAGCAATAAATGTTACGTATGACAATTTTACACCATTCTTTCATGCTGAAGATAAGACAACATCGTATTTTTTCTCTTTTCAAAATATTACATTTATACCAGTAAATTAAAGAATGAAACTCCAGATATATGTATTTTCAAAAGAAAATTTTTAAAAAGATTAAAAATTGAAAGATTTGTTGCGTTACAAAATGATACATAAGGAGAATTTGAAAATTGCTGGATAAATCTAATCGAAAAATGTTTTTGATATCTAAATTGTAAATGCAGAGAGAAATGCTACCAAAGCAGTATATATACTTTTTTCATCATTTTGCCCCTTTTCTTGTGTAATTGTGTAAATGAATGAACGTCTTAACTTTTATAAATGTCTCATATATTCTGATATAATACCTGACTATAAACATAACAAAATAAAACAAGATTGCATTTGAGAAAAATGCTATGCCACCGCATTAATACAACACTAAATAGTAGTGTAGGAACAGATTTTTTTTTGTTTCTATACAATTGAAGATTGTCATAATGCATAGATCCCCGACCTATGTAATTCTTATTATCAGATTAGTGGTTAAATCTATTGTTAAATCAACAAGAATTTGTAACAGAGTTACCAACGTCCCCCGCCTCGGGGAAGTTTTATATGAAGCAAAAATTGTGCTATATCAAAAGATTGAGGCAGGGATCTATGGATTTTCAGTCCAAAATTATGATCAATGCTAGATCTGCAAATGCAACAATAAATATATTAAAGAAATAAATTGAAACACTGAATTTAAAAATCTATCATGTTAAGCTTTGACCTCTAAGTGTGACCTTGACCTTGGAGGTAGGGGTGCAGGTGTTGTGCATGACATATCATCTTATTATTGTGACTATTTGTGCCAAGTATTTTCAAAATCCCTTTAGCTATGAAGAAGTTATGGACGGGACACAAAATATACCATATAACAGACTCTGTTACCTTTTTACCTTAGTTGTGACGTTGACCTTGGAGGTAGGGGTGCAGGTGTTGTACTTGACATATCGTCTTATTATTGTGACTATTTGTGCCAAGTTAATTCCAAATCCCTTGAACTATGAAGAAGTTCTACATTGGACACAAAATATACCCTTTAAAAGACCATGTAAATTTTTGACCTCGAAATGTGACCTTAACATTGGTGGTAGAGATGCAGGTGTTGCGCATGACACATTGTCTTATTATAGTGAATATTTGTGCCAAGTATTTTCAAAATCCTTTGATATATGAAAATATTATGGACCGGACAAAAAAAAAACCCTATAACAGACTATGTTAATCTTAGACCTTCAAGTGTGACCTTGACCTTGTGGTTGGTGACCGATTGTTGCGCATGACACATCATCTCATTGTTGTGAACAATTGTGGCAAGTATTTACAAAATCCCTTCAAAGATAAGAAAGTTATAGACCGGACACGAGATAAACCCTTAAATAGACAATGATGACCTTGAATGAGCAAGTGCGACCTTGACCTTGGAGGTAGGGGTCTGGTTGTTGCACATGACACATCGTCTTATTATAACAAACATTTGTGCCAAGTTATTTCAAATTCCTTCAATAAATGACAAAGTTATGGACCGGACACGAAATATACCCTGTAACAGGCTATGTTAATCTTTGACCTCCAAGTGTGACCTTGACCTTGGAGGTAGGTGACCGGTTGTTGCGCATGACACATCTTCTCATTATTGTGAGCAATTGTGGCAAGTATTTACAAAATCCCTTCAAAGATAAAAAAGTTATGGACTGGACACGACATATACCCTCAAATAGACAATGTTGACCTTGAATGAGCAAGTGCGACCTTGACCCTGGAGGTAGGGGTTTGGTTTTTGCGCATGACACATCGTCTTATTATAACAAACATTTGTGCCAAGTTATTTCAGATTCCTTCAATAAATTACAAAGTTATGGACCGAACACGAAAGTGTGACGGACGGACAGACGGACGGACGGAAAGACGGACGGACGGACGGAGCCTATAACTATATCCCCCTTTTTTCTTCGAAAAGGCGGGGGACAATAAAAGATCAGAGTAGGAATATATCAATGCACTTGAGTCTAGTGAATTTGGTGGTGAAGGTCCTATTTCACACAGCCTTAATTTCATGACTGCATCAAAGGACAACATGTAATACACTTTGTCAAAATCTAGGTCAGCTGATATCAAAGTTCACTTTTAATTTTAACACTAGAGGCAATTTAAACAACTTTGGTAGAGTACCTATAGATGATATCATTTAACAAATATTAAAGCTCAAAGCATTGTACCTTCAGACAATAAGATTGTTTGATTTTTTACTCTATGTATATATTGAAAATCAATGACCCCGCGGCGGGGGCAATTTTGAGACAAGGGCTATTATTTGAACAATCTTGCTAGAGTTTCACTTCACAATGTTTCATGCAAAATATCTAACCTCTAGCATTTGTCAATTGCTAGAAGAATTTTTTTTAAAGTTTTTACTATAAGTTTTTACTATGTAAATATGAGGAAAATCAATGACCCCCTGGGCGGGGCCGATTCTGACCCCAGGGCTATAATGTGAACAATCTGGGTAGAGGTCTCCCAGACAATGCCTTATGCAATATATCTAAGCTCTAGGCCTTTTGGGTCTTTACAAGAAGGTATTTTAAGTTTTTACCATATGTACATATAGTGAAAAACAATGACCCCCTGGGCGAGGCTGATTTTGACCCCAGGGCTATAATTTGAACAATCTTGGTAAGGGTCTACCAGAAAATGCCTTATGCAAAATATCTAAGCTCTAGGCCTTTTGGGTCTTTACAAGAAGTTATTTTTAGGTTTTACTTCCGGTATATGTACATATAGTGAAAATCAATGACCCCCGGGGCGGGGCCGATTTTGACCCCAGGGCTATAATTTGAACAATCTTGGTAGAGGTCTACCAGACAATGCCTTATGCAAAATATCTAAGCTCTAGGCCTTTTGGGTCTTTACAAGAAGATTTTTTAAGTTTATTCTTATAATTCCTTTTGGTTGCCATGGCAACCAGATTTCTGCACGGAATTAAAATTTTTGAACACCTTTGGAAGCCCTTCACCCAAGGATCAATCCTGCCAAGTTTGGTTGAAATTGGACCAGTGGTTTTTCACAAGAAGATTTTTTAAGTTCACTATATAATCTATATAACACACACACAAACAAACAAACACACGCACACACACGCACACACGCACGCACGCACGCACACACACAGGTGAATCGCTATATGCCACCGCATCGCAGATGCTGCGGTGGCATAAAATTAATAATGTCTGAATTAAATAATGCTAATTGATCCTAATATTACACTATATGATAAGCTGTAATAATGAATATAAACCATACAAGTATTTTATACTAAAAATTGACAGTTTAATGAAATCACTATAAGCTACTGCAAACGGATATTAATTGTTAATTATCATAAAGAAGTCAATAGTTGCAATACAAAATCAATGGATGTTGAGGAAATCAGTGGTTGCTTTGAAAGTCAATAGTATATTAACTGGTTCCTATGGAAGGTCAGTCGTTGTTTTTAAAGTCAACAGTTGCTTTGCAAATGACTAATTGTTTAGGAAAGTCACTGGTTACTATGGAAAGCTATTTTCGTCTACGAAGTATGGAATTTACTGAGAACTATAGAAGGCAATTTGTTATTCAAAAATGCAATGGTTTCTATAGAATTCCCTTATTGCTTTATATGCTAATATTGGTAAAGAATGTCACTGGTTGCTGTGGAAAGTCAAGGCATCGGTTGCTTTTGAAAGTCGCTGGTTATTATGAAAAAATCACTGGTTCCTTAAAAATGTCATTGGTTACTACAGGAATTTAAAAGTTGCAATGGTTCTCACTGGTTGCTGTAGAAAAGCTATGTTTGCCTTGGAAGACAATGGTCGGAAAAAATCAGTGGTTGATAAAGAAGTGTCTGGCTATTTTGGAAAGTCAAATGTTGCTATAAAAATCGCTGGTTAATGAGGAAAGTCAATGTTTGCTAAAGAAAATCAAACGTTGCCAAGAAAAGTCATTGGTTAATTACAAAAAACACTGGTAACTATTGAAAGTCAATGACTGCTATGTTAAAAAAATCAGAATTAAGTGTGATCACTGGGAAGTATTAGTCACAACAAAATTGCATGTAAATTGAAGACTCAGTTTGATTGAGCAAGTATATTATGGATAATGAATAATTGCAACAATTGCATTCACGCCCCCTAGCACCGAGTTGAGTGGTACTCAAATTCTAACACTTAATGGTGCAAGAATCGATGAATGATCCTGAAGGACAAGAAAACACTGAAGTGAAGTACAAGTGTGATCTCTTGGAAGCATAAATAACAACAAAATTACACGAAAAATTACAGAATCGATTTAATTGAGTCAAATGCTATGGAAAGTCTATGATTGCTTTGGTAGTGATTTATTGCTAAGAAAGCTAAGAAAAATTAATGGTTGATATGTGATTCACTGGTTGCCTTGGAAAGCAATTGAAAAAGAAAATGCATTGGTTACTATAGACGTTACAGGTTGCTATAGAAAGTTTATCGTTGGTTTGGAACACACTAGTTGCAAAAATGGTTGTAAGCTAAGGAAAGTAAAGTGTAGTTATGGAAGTCACTGGTTGCTAGTGAAAGTCAATGCCTGTATGGAAATCACCGAATGCTATTGAAAGTCAATGGTTGTTTTTGAAATTATAACTGGTTGCTAAAGAAACACATTTGTTGCTGTTGAAGTCAATGGTTGTTATGGAAAGTCAGAGGCTCATTTTGAAGCTAGTAGTTGCTATGGAAAGTCAATGGTTGCTAAGAAAATGTATCGTTACTTTGAAATGGAAATATTGAACTATAGAAATAACTGGCTGCTATAGGAAAGTTTTTCAATTTTTACTATATACATATAAGGACAAGTCTTAACCAACACCGGAAGGAAAATAAAATAACCACAGGACTGTAACTTCAACAAACTTTGAAAAGAAAAATTAGACAAATGTCTAAGCTCTAGCATTTGCAGGTTCGAAGAAAATGTATTTAGCACATTAGGAAAACATGTAACCCTTTAGCCCTTCATGTTTTAGTGTTTTAGCCAATGTTGACCCTAACACTATGATTTGGACACACTTGGTAGATGTAAACTAGTCAATGTTTCATGCCATTTATCTCAGCTTAAGCCTTAGTGGCTTAACAGTATTTTTTACACTTTATACATATGACCCCATGGCAGGCCAATTTAGACCCCAGGAATATAATTATACCCCCACAAACGTAGTTTAGGGGAGGGGTTCGTTTGTGGGGGGTATATAGGAGTAAGCTTGTCGGTCGGTTGGTCGGTCCGTCGGTCCGTCGGTCCGTCCATATCATTTTTTTCGGACGATAACTAGAGTTTGAAGTGAGGTATTGTAACCAAACTTGGTATATAGCAACCTTATGTGAAAACCCCGGTTGGTATTGCATTTGGACCCCCTGGGGCAAGGTCAAGGTCAGGGGTTACTAAAAATAGAAAAATGGTTTCCGGATATTAACTTAAGTTAGGAAAGAGATATTGTAATCAAACTTGGTATATAGCAAGCTTACATGAATACCCCGATTGGTATTGCATCTGGTCCCCTTGGGGCAAAGGTCAAGGTTACCGTTATTAAAAATAGAAAAATGGTTTCCGGACAATAACTTAAGTTAGGAATGAGATATTGTAATCAAACTTGGTATATAGCAAGCTTACATGAATACCCCGGTTGGTATAGCATCTGGACCACCCAGGGCCAAGGTCAAGGTCACCATTACTAAAAATAGAAAAATGGTTTCCGAACATACCTATAGTTAGGAATGAGATATTCTAATCAAACTTGGTATATAGCAAGCTTACATGAATACCCCGGTTGGTATTGTATCTGGACCCCCTAGGGCCAAGGTCAAGGTCACCATTACTAAAAATAGAAAAATGGTTTCCGGATAATAACTAAATTTAGGAAAGAGATATTGTAATCAAACTTGGTATATAGCAAGCTTACATGAATACCCCAGTTGGTATTGCATCTGGACCCCCTGGGGCCAAGGTCAAGGTCACCGTTACTAAAAATAGAAAAATGGTTTCCGGACAATTACTAAAGTTAGGAATGAAATATTGTAATCAAACGTGGTATATAGCAAGCTTACATGAATACCCAAGTTGGTATTTGCATTTGGACCCCCTGGGGCCAAGGTCAAGGTCACCGTTACTAAAAATAGGAAAATGGTTTCCGGATAATAACTATAGTTAGGAATGAGATATTCTAATCAAACTTGGTATATAGCAAGCTTACATGAATACCCCGGTTGGCATTGCATCTGGACCCCCTGGGGCTAAGGTCAAGGTCACCGTTACTAAAAATAGCAAAAATGGTTTCCAGACAATAACTATAGTTAGGAATGAGATATTGTAATCAAACTTGGTATATAGCAAGCTCGCATGAATACCTTGGTTGGTATTGTATCTGGACCCTCTGGGGCCAAGGTCAAGGTCCCCGTTACTAAAAATAGCAAAAATTGTTTCCGGACAATAATGCATGTGGACCCCCTGGGGCCAAGGTCAAGGTCACCGTTACTAAAATAGAAAAATGGTCTCCGGACAATAACTAAAGTTAGGAATGAGATATTGTAATCAAACGTGGTGTATAGCAACCTTACATGAAGACAGCGGTTGGTATTACATTTGGACCCTCTAGGGTCAAGGTCATAGTCGCAGTTACTAAAAATAGGAAAATGGTTTCCGGACAATTACTAGAGTTAGGAATGAGATATTGTTATCAAACTTGGTGTATAGCAAGCTTATGTGGAGACCCCAGTTTGTATTGCATTTGGACCCCCTGGGGCCAAGGTCAAGGTCACCATTTCTAAAAATTGAAAAATGGTTTCCGGACAATAACTAGAGTAAGGAATGAGATATTGTAATCAAACTTGGTGTTTAGCAAGCTAACATGAAGACCGCGCTTGGTATTGCATTTGGATCCCATGGGGTCAAGGTCATGGTTACTAAAAATAGAAAAATGGTTTCCGGAAAATTACTAGGGTTAGTAATGAGATATTGTAATCAAACTTGGTGGCTTATATCAAGATCCTGGTTGGGATTGCAATAAATTGAAATAATTCTTTGTTCACAGTGCTGTTGATTCTTTATTTACTGTAGGTTGAGTTCAAATTTTTCTTCAGACCACTAATTTTTCAAAAGTCAAAAGTTGCTGGTGGGGGTATTAATCACCTTCAGTGATAGGTCTAGTTTTAAAAGATTTGGTATAAGTTCACAAGATAATGTTTCATGCCAATTATCTAAGCTCAAGGAAAAGAAAATCTTTCTTACTAAACTCGTATAAGGAATGTCAAAAATAGATTTCACACTTAATATCTAAGCTTTAGCCTTCATTGTTTTAGAGAAGAATTCTTTTAAGTTTTTTCCTATAAACATATAAGGAAAATATATGACGGGGCCGTTAAAGGCCCTCATGACAATGTTTCGTAACAAATATCACGGATATAGCCTTTAGGTCTTAAAGACTGAAGGTTTTAAGTTTTTAGCCTTTAGGTTTAAGAGACTGAAGATTTTAAGTTTTTTAAAAAATACATGTAAGAAAGATTCATTAACCTAAGGGCAGGGCCAATTTAGACCCCAGGACATTTGATTTGAACCATTAATAACGCAGGACGCACGAAGCACACGGCACGATGCACGGCGAACGCAGGGTGATAGCAAAAGCTCACCACTTGGCACTTTGATAAAGTGTTGGTAACTGTAAATTGAATTTCTTTTAATAATGGGTTAAAGTTTAACATAACGACGACAGAGACGATAACGACAAGGCAACCATCATAATAGATCGACCTTTTCTCCGAAACAGCAAGCTAGAAAAGGTCAACTGCATTTCAGCATTGCTGTTATAGCTTATGTTAATAAAAAAAAGCTGCACATGTATGACAGATAACCATACATGTGAAAGACATATCAGCTTTTTCGACTGAATGCAATGTGTAATGTGATTTTTGCGTACCTGTTAGATGAAACACAGACTTGAAGCCTAAGCCAAATCGTCCAACCTTAAGAGGGTTATGTTCCTTTTTACTGCTGTAAATCATTTGAATTCCTTCCCAATCCTCTTCCGAAAACACAGCATTATTATAAACACACAATGCAGGTCCCTGAAAATTTTTTTTTTTTTTCAAATTGACTAATGTACATAAAATTGGTTTTGCAGTTTCTTATTATCTTGTCCTAAAAGTTACATACTCATTAAGGGAATATTACATACATGCGTAAATCAAATGGGGTGTGTTACTCTTACTGTCTAATGTGCATTCAACATTTACTGTAAGAAATGAACAAGGGTGATATAATCTAACATAATAGCACATCTTATGTTTTCTGGTAGATGTGAAATAATAAACATTATTTTCTCATCATACAAAAATAACTGCCCTCTTCAATTACATCTAAAGTCATGGGGTAGATGTACTTTCAATACATATTACTCCGAGATCATTATTAAAAATTGGCAAGGTGTTTAATATGATAACTTACTTTGAGTAAGTTTTTTCCCCATTTACGTCAATTCCTTGCCGCAAATATATATATGATATATCTAGGGTGCTTTCAAGTGGAATGCAAACTTACACAGTCATCAAATTAGTATTTAACATACGTTTTTTATACAGGCATTTTTGAGCTATCCTTTTTCCAAACTAAAACAATACTTTTGGAAGTTGCAGGTAGCAAATATAAAGCTTTGTAAACTTTAAGCCCTCAAAATACTACCATTTTATTTTTCAACAAGACCTTTTTATTTTTTTGTATCTTGTTACAGTTTGCAAAAAGGTACATATTGGGTATTTTGATACACTGTATTTTACTTATGTTCCTCTTTGGCAATTGGTATATTTTAGTGATTGAGTATTTTGTATGAAAATCATAATACTACTTTGTTAACATTTCGCCCCCTTTACGACATAAACACTGCCTGTTAATAAATGTCATCAAAATATAATTTTTTACCACAGGGTTGTACATTTATATGGAACTAGATAATTAATACATGTCTTGTCAAACGAAAAAAAAGTCTAAGAAAAGTATTTGCAATTTTTATCGTGCTGTAATTCTAAACCATTGCAACGTTTTATTTTGAAATTATTAACTTAAATTATAAACACACACATTAACTGGTTGCAAGTTGATCATTTTTTGCGGGTAGAACACTTGTTGGCTTGGTAAGTTTTTTATCCTGCAATCGATTGCTAAACAATATATCATAGAAAATTATGACTACAAAAAGAGGCAAAAGAGATAATCCGGTTAAAAACTGAGATTTACATGGTATGTTCCTCCAGCACCAAGCTTTCCTTCTCACTACATATTAACGCGTGTGATATTACAGGGGTGTTAATACATGTGTCAAGGGAAACCTATCAACTGTTAGGTTACAGTTATCTCATTTACTTCTATGCATATTAAATAATTGTTAACAAATAAGTTGAAGTCTTTTAAACTCGTTTTTTTGTGGTAAAGTAGCTTAAATTGTTTACTATCTAACATGCTCCAAAACTATTATTATCATTATCTCATGCTTGACCTTTCTAAAGAATTTTTCTTAAAGTGACATTATGCCCATCCAATGGTATTTAGTTCGTGAAGAGGTCAAGGTAAAAATCAGTTTAAATTTTCCCATAATTACTTTTAATTTTATATTTCACTATATAACGCACATAACCAAAGCACATTTCTATAAATAGCCATTGGAAATTACCTGTAATGTCAATTTATAAAAAGAGTGGGGCATTCTTTTTATATTTAGGTCATGTCTATATTTTATCCTAAATACTTTCAAATATCAACTGTTGGTCAATCACCATTAGAATAATCAAACTTTTGAAATATATAGAAAATTCAGCTCAACTTGACAGTGAAAAATTGAGCATAATGTCACTTTAAGCATAATGTGTGCCTCTCAAGGTTAAACATTTACGATAATATGGAAAGTTATTCATATTACTTCATGAGATATACATTTCACGAACAAAGGCTTCAATCATATCAGTCAGTTGAGTTTTTGGAAGAGGTATTTCCTTTGTGTGTAAGTAGTCCAATCACATTGATTTTGAAATAGGTATGGTATTCCCTTTATCATTTAGTAGTCCAATTATATTTATTCACACTGACGCGTTTGACATAACATTTTATGTCTGGCTTTATAAAAGTTGCCTGCTATGTGTTAGATCAATACTTTATATATTGTATAAATTTGCACCTCAACATTTAAATTGTTCACTTAAATACGCAGCTGTTTTTTCGCAATATATTGTATCATAGTTTAGAGACCTTTCTGTTGAAAATGTGTCAGGGTTAAATCGTATACATATACATGCACAGTGCGTTAACTGGAGTGCGGGTATTAGTTACCCGCACTCCAGAGCATATTAATTGATTGGCTCATTTTTGCTGGGGTTTACATATTGTGACGGCAGAGAAAGGGAAAGCGACAGAAATGTCATATTCAGATGTTCGTTCATTGGTTCATTTTTGCCGGGGTTTCATGTTGTGACAGCAGGGAACGTGCTTTTATGTTTGACTATGATACAAAAGAGAAAGAACACCAAAACACTCGGCAATCTGATTAATACTCGGGGGCTACGCCCCTCGTACAAATCAGATAGCCTCGTGTTTCGGTGCTCTTTCTATTACTTATTATTCTCTTTTATTCATTTAACTTCGTCAGCTTTTGGTCACTATAGACAATTTTAATTTTGAAATATCTGGTTTAACAAATTTCTAATTTAAAGTTATAAATTAAAAAGGAGTTACCTTGAAAAATTTGTTGAATGTAGGAGCTGACTCGCTTGTATCATTATTTATACGTCTACTGTCATAAAGTATTTTGACGTCACTGGCATCGGCATCCTCGGCGTTCTGTATCAATTCCTATATATAGAAAAAACAACATTTATATTTGACAACAATAATTATACAGGTTTCAATTGTGAATTCTGTAACCGAGTGCTAAGGGTGTTGTATTGCATTGTCATAAATAATCTGTTTTTTTTTTCAAATTTAATCATTTGCTTACTTTTAGAAACTAGGAAGCAAGTAAGCAAGTTTGTTTTGAAAAAAATCTAAATTGATATATCATTTTCAGTTTTTTTTCTGTTTTTTTTTCTGTTTAGATGAATTTGGATGGTGCTGTGTCGTCATATAGTTCTGGCTTCAAAATTTTTAATAAATTATATGGTAACGGGCCTGATGCCTTTAATGTCTTGTATACTATGTCTATGCTCAAGTTTGATGTTTAATAGTTGGTCATTTTATGATAAAAATTTATATATCTTTAAATTGGGATATAGTTAAGTAAAATCCAAGGCATTATGATAAACAGGTACGAGCGTGTCAGCACTGTTTGAGCCGCAACATGACAAAACCAACATAATGGGTTTGCGACCAGCATGGATTCAGACCAGCCTGCGCATCCGTGCAGTGTGATCAGGATCCATGCTGTTCGCTTACAAACCCTATTACATACAAGTAGAGAAACTGATAGCGAACAGCATGGATCCTGATCAGACTGCGCGGATGCGCAGGCTGGTCTGGATCCATGCTGGTCGCAAACGCACTATGTTGGTTTTGTCGTGACGCGGCTCGTTTATATATAAATAAGACTCATGGTGTCGGATGCCTGGCACAATACGACATTGACTTCAGAGTACCCGTCCTGTCGCAGTATAAAACGAGGACGTAAATGGAATTTTCGTTTCGCAACGCTTTCCCTATGATTTCAACATCTGCGCAGATCTAAACGGACAGCCTGGGTAGCATTTTATTCAGCTCTTCTAAAGGTATATAGTGCCCAGCAATTTTACACGAGCGTAAAACTTCGGTTGTTCTTTACACAGTCTATATTCATGCATAACATTGAACCCTCGTCAAGGTAGGATTTATGTATTTCGTATTAAATTTAGACATAAACGAATGAATTCGATTTGTTAGAATAAAATTTTAATGTCAAAAAAGCAATTTACCTTTAGAATTTGACCTCCGTCAGGGTACTCTGAAAGTATTCCTTTAAGCTGTTTTACAAGGGATGGCTGTTTCATACAAGAGTAGCTGATCCCTTGTCTCGCTCTTCCATCACTCATTGATGCTGTGTTTCATAAAAAGTAACAATTTTACAGAATGAAAAGTATATATTATAAACCATGTTCATCATATTATTAAATATTAATTAAAATATTATTTCATCTTCATGATCCTCTAAATAAATGAAATTTTATTTCTAAAATGTCAAGTCGTATGGTTTTAGCAACTGGCTCAAACGTTTAACTAACCGGTTTATATTTAATAAATATACAAATAGCATTATATAATATATGAAAGGAGGATATTACCCATTTCTGACTTCAATGCTTTACTTTTTCATCAATATGTGCTGTAAAATAAATAAACGGTCATGATAATATCATACACATTTTACGTATCTTTCCCTAAGCTTTACATATATCAGATACTTTGCCATACGTTGACCATATGTAAAGGTTCAAACATTAAAGCAGCTCCGCTTCATATATTTGTCACTTATGTAAACTTCTTGAGGTGCCTGGCTTTAAGAGCAAAACTGGAAATGCAAGCCACGCATAATTCGGACTATGTTGCACGAAAAAGAGAATGTTGCTTATGAAAAGAAACAGCAGAAAGAGTCATAATTTTACAAGAAACTATTCATCTCTAAGTTTCAGGCTAATATCTCTTTAAACATTTTGATATCTTGGACAAAAAATCAAATATGCAGAATAACTCTGAATAAATAATTAAGGACAATAGCATCAACATAATTAAAGTGGAGAGTTGACACTCTAATGTCAACTGCAGTCATTTGAACTTTGGTTCCTCCAATGACCTTTTGAATCTTTTTCTGCAACCCAAGCCAGTTCAGATGGAGTAACTAGGTAAACTATTTATTAAACATGATTATTATCTAAATTTTAATTAGGTCTATAAGATAAAAAAAATAAGTGAATGTTTGCTTTGCATCTGCATAAACATTAGAACAAAAATTTTAAAATTTTATTCAACACATTTCCCATTTGGTAGATCTAGATCTACATTGCAAAATCATGTGTTGTGATTCTCATTGACAGACTCTGCTACCATGTTTAGTAAAAACGATTTCTTTTGTTTGGTAATAAATAGTTTTGGGTAGCAGTGATTTCTGTGGGCAGCTGAAGGGAGGAAAAATTATAATATTTCACTATTAAAATACGTTATAGCTTTTTATATCAAATAATAGCAAAAATCAAGTATATTTCAGACATTTAAGGTCAATATCAAGCTCCTAATAAACATTTTACACTGCTTTTAAATTTTCATTAATTCTCTAGTAGATTGTTTATTCAACAAAAGAATACTGCGTTATCGCGCACCTGCTAAATGCTCCAACTCGTACCATTTTTGTAGAAAAAAATAGGAAACATACGATTTTATTAGATCTATAAGAAATAGTAAGAGTATCAAAATATAATGTAGCGCACCAAATAATGGTAACAGTTCTTGAGGTAATTGTAAAAAAAATTTATAAATTTATTGGCTGGTTTAGGCCTGAAAATTGAATAAGTGTTTGCCTCTGAATGCTCCCACTCCGACTTTTCTCACAACCTATAAGAAATTAGATTGAAAACCTAATTGAATATTATATTACATGTACCAGAACATTAGCCGAGTTATGTTGACACAATTTTCTAGATTGGTTTTAAATATTTCTATTCAAAAGACACCAAATAAAAAATCCAAGCTTTTATGGTACATTCATTAGACTATGATCAGTGTTAATGAAATATCATATGATTATTGATGTGTTTAATTGATATAAATTTCAAAATCGTGATATATTTTTGCATATTATAATAAAGCATGGATACGTGAGTGTAAGTATGTAAAGCTGCGGTCTAACTTACTCCCGGCAGAGCCCAGGACCACCCCGGTAAGTTACTGGGATGATCCGGGACGATCCGGAAATTATTGTTGCGGTCACACTTACCACGGCAGCACTACGGTAATTCCCAACTAACACACAGGATGCGTCCGGACCAACCAGGCAGAACCCAGGTGAAGCTAACGTTCCCGGATGACGCCGGCAGAGCCCAGGTTGACCCAGGCAGAGCCCCGGTCGATCCAAACAGAACCCCGGCGGAGCCCAGGGCGATTTCCGCCGGGCGATCTTCGCAGAGTCCCAGTAGAACCCCGGTGGATTGAAAATGCGCGAAAATAAAGACGCTCAAACATAATTTTTATTTAATACATTTGTGACAATTTTAAATGATATTTTATCCTATTTTAATATTAAGATTTCTGAATTATCCTTATGCAAGACTGGACAGAAGGGAAACAAGTGCAATCATCGTAAATTGCCGTGATTCTTTTTAAATGATCAAAAATGATTTTAAAGGATCAATCGTAGCTCTATCGTCATCCTCAGGGGCTCTGTCGGCATTCACCGGGGCACTGCCGGCATTTCCCGGGGCTCTGCCGGCATTAACCGGGGCTCTACCGTAGCTGTACAGGCTATGTCATACCCTGGATCATCCCCGGTTTGTGCCGGCAGAGCTACGGTGCTACGGTGTAATTCCGGTCGTTTCCGGCAGAGCTAAGAGTGAAGCCGGCAAAGCTATACCCTCCCGAATCACCCTGGACGACCCCGGTGATATTAGATATTTTATTCCATCTAGGGTCGAATGCTGGATGTTCCCGAATCATCCCGGACGTTGCTGGCAGAGTTACGGATGTACCCCGGCTGTTACCGGTCGTTCCCGGATCACCCCGGACGTCTACCGGGGCTCTGCCAGGGTTTTGCCGGGATGTAGGTCAGACCGCAGCTTGGTACACTTACGGAAACACGACATTTGAATTACGAACATATCTTGTAGTGTTTCCCGGATCTAAAGATTAATGCTATGAGAAAACTCCGAAATAACCTATGCAAAAACCAAACAAAATGTGCGCTTGAGGGCGTTTTATTATATAGACGATGGTCGACATCTATGTAATACCAGATTGTAAAATCGATCGGTCTTGCAGTCTAGATATTAAGACTACCTATGTAAGTAAAAGCAGTTTTACCTCAGTCGAGTATCTTTTAAAAGATACTTCTTGTTAGTATTGAAGTTAATGACCATAAACGAAAGCATAATTAGAAAGGTGAACTTGCCTTATAAGTTTGACGTGAACGGTTAGTTGATTTTGCATACCGTTGAAAAAAGACAACGCCGAATGCCAAAATTGTCTTAGTGTCTCATTTGAAAGTGTAGTTAGTTTTATCGACGCCAACAAGGTCATAACAACAACACCCAATGAAGCTTAGAATGGAGGGAGGAGTTAATTTGACATGTTTGCACTGCACTCCTTAATGAGATCTTATTACATACAATGCTTTAATGCTTTAAGTTAATACTTCTCGAGTTATGTTCTGGACAAAATGTAGTCATAAAAATTAGGGCAATTGCTCAAAAATTACGAAAAGGAGATATTATTCTTAAGCAATGTACCTCTTTTTAATTTTAAAGATCTATTCACGGGTCAATGAAGTTTCAACTTGATACACTAATGACTCACCATAAACTTTCGATAAAAGAAACAAAAAAATGATATGTCTGTTGCCGTTTTATGTAATTAAGTTTAAAGTTTGGATTCAATCTAGATATCATATAATATAAAACATGAAATAGCAGTTACATAGTTAAATCATTAATGTGAAATGTATACAAATTTATAATAATTATAAATGATGTCAATGAGCTCGCTTTGAGGCTTTGCCTTATTCATATTATGTTACAGATTTGTTGTATATATGTTTAGATATTGAAAGTTCAAAATTGTGAAGTTTAATTTAATGATATATGGGGTTTTGCTCGCAAAATTTAATGGTAGGATTGTGTTCGCTTACGACGACTCGTGTAATTTTCCATGACATTTTTATCGACTCAATATTTATACCCATCCAAGAGTAAGCGGGCAGTTGTTAAGTAAAATCTAAATAACTTTATGTGACATTTGTTTTAATCCTTTAATATACGTCACCTGAGTGATCAATAATTAACCCAGTGACCCACATCTTTATCTATTAATTTATCTATAAATATCTTTTGGAAATATCTGTACTGTTCAAATATATAAAAGAATTGGCGTAGTCTTTTGATATTTAAGGCGGTTATATATTTTGTCACTAGCATTTATGATTATCGAATATTACTCAATCGCCATTAAATAGTCAACCGTTTCAAACATAAACTTCTTTGTATAATGTCACAGATTGGCAATTAACACTATTCTACATTTAAGTAATTTGAAATAAAGTTAAAGAAATTTGAAGAAAAATTCAGATTTACCTGTAATATAAAAATCCTTTATATAGTTTACAACTGCAACCAGTAAACAAATGAATATTGTTTACAACAGCAACCAGTAAACAAATGAATGATTAATCTAGTACATGCAATTTTCTGAAAATGAAGAGGCCATAATTTACGTATTCATGGCAGACAACCAGGCCAATTTAGATCGATAAGAAATACTAAAATAAATTTTGAAAGAAAGAAAAGTTGGTAATGAATTTGCACAACCATTCGGCTTATTTAATTTGCAAAAAAGGATAAAATTATAATAAAATAACCTCCAATTGATCATCAAACAACACCCTTTATAAAGATTATCGAACGGTTATTTGCAAATATAACCGAACCGCCAGGCGAGGGTTATGCTGCTCACACCCGTTTATATTATTAGATATAAAGATCGTTGACAGGTTATATACCTGTCAACAATCTTTATAACGAATTTATAATACAGCAAGCATCATTTTTAGAGAGAAAAGTAAGATTTCTGGATGAATCGACAGCAGCCATGTATATAAAACTTTATAAACGTCACGATTATCCAATGAAAAATGACGTTACAAGCGTGCAGTATTATAAACGTTTATATAACCTGCCAAGATTTTTTGTTTATAATCCAACAAAAAAAAGAAAAAAAGAGAGATATTAACGCCACGATCATCCAATGAACCAATCGCAACTTTTCGGCCCTTTCCGTCAGTCTTCGGATAATGACCTCGAACACAATAGTATGAATACACAGAACGGATAAGGTATCTACGCTTAGAAACTAGACATGTAAACAAATAGTAATTTTAATTTAATGCTGAGAGTTGTTGACAAGTTTATTTCCAATATATCAAGTAAATGCCCATCTATAATAAGTGAATTCATACAATACATTATTTGTATATTTATTATTATCGAAACCGAAAGTACAAAATGCCAACCTTTTGACATTTAGTCACATTTGCTTAAAATTGTATATCAGTGGGCATATTTATATAAAAAATGGATGTCAGACATATTTTCAATCGTAATTGTACCGAAACAGACTTAATTTTCCTTTGGATGTCAATTATATGTACATTCGTTTTACATTCTCTCTTCATGTTTACACCTGAAACCACGTGGTATAACTATTTTCATTCCGTATTGTTTCTGAGATTATTATAGATAATAGCCGAGGAAGTTCCGATTGGTTACTAACTTGCAAAATTATAATTTATCACATACCCGTGCCGCTTTTGAGACTCCGTAAAAATGGTATTGAACGGCCCTGCATATACGTCGAGTATTTTGACATTTGCGTTTTATACACGTAGCGCTATACTTTGAAATAATACATAGTTTCATATTTTCACGTGTAATCAATAGACAGCAGTTAAAATATCAAGTCATCTGGCTATCGTTATTTATATTATCTGGCTATCGTTATTTATATTATCTGGCTATCGTTATATATACGTCGACATATTTCGATCCAAACAGAATACGAGTATGCGTACCCGAAATGACTTAAAATGTAAAAAAAATGGAAGAGTAAAAAAATCAGTGCTTTACCCGGTTTAGCCGTCATCGTCGGGTGTTTTTACTTTTAAGGTAAAATTTAAAATGTAAAAAGGATATAAACTTACATAAACTAACATAAACTGATTTTATTATACGGCGATGTTTAATTTTGTATCAAGCAGCGAAAACATTCAAATGGCGTCCACAGGTGCAAGCATAAAAATTATTCCAAAGTACCTATTTAGATAATGATTAGAGAGTTTATGTTCCCAATGTGTATGCATTTAAGTCTAGATTGAAATATTTAAAGACCCATTAAGCCCCTTTAATACGATCTGTTTTATTTCAAAATCTTTTAAATGACTTTGTCCTAAAACAGTAAGTTATGATGGAAAATAAGCATGACTGATTAAGTACTTAAGAAGTACTTGTGCTGATTCAATAGGAATTGATACTTATGAACTGATTATAATAATTAATCAGCTATTACGACTAGTCTATAAAAATGGAACGGACCTTTAACAAAATGATAACAAAGAAGTGAATATATTACTTAATTAATCTGTTGACTCCTCAAACATCCAAAGGCTCTTTTAGATCCTCGCAGTCAGCTGTTGGATGTTATATACTTCCATTTCATAGAAATACATGTAAGACTTTCTCAGATAAATAGAAGGTCTAGTACAAGAGGCCCAAAATTGTGGGATAAACTTCATCGAAACCGTAGACAAATCAAATATGTAGAAATTTTCAAGAGACAATTAAAAACTTAATTCTTAAAGGACTTCTCTTCCTTATTCTAAGCACGGAATTACGGTCAGATAGAAACTGTGATTTAATTAAGAACTGTATTGCATTTACAGTAAACTTCACTTATAGCGAACACGGTTATGGCGAACTTCCGGTTATAGGGAACAATTTATTTTGGCCCGAATTTTGGCCTTCTTCATTTAATATAAAAATATATGGTTATAGCGAACACGGTTATAAGGAATTATCGCTTATAAGGAACTCATTTCTAAGTCCCAATTTAGTTAATAGTACAGAAAATTACACTTTTATAACGAACTCCAAAATATTGGCTATCCGTAAATAGATCCCGCATTTTCAACTTTCGTTTTCATTCGCACGGATTAAAACTCGGGCGAATGTACCGTTTATCGTTGTATGTACTTCAATACATCTATTCAAATGAATTTGTATAGTTTTCTATTTTGGATATTTTTAGCATGAGCTCTTTTCACCAAGATAAAACGGTTATTTATTTATTTTCTTCAATAGTTTTGCTCGAGTAAAATAATTATAATAATTTATAATCGGTTTTCAACAAAATCATGCATGCTTGCAAGCATGATCCATTGCAAACTGCAAAGTACGCTTGGTTTAAATGAAAAGAAATCTATATCTTACATTAGTAAAGTCACCCTTAAATTATAATAGAAGATATTCAATATAAAAGGAAGGAAAAATCGAAAATCTTGTTTATTCTCAATCATGGAAAGAAAACGAAAATAGTTTAGAAACTAAATATTATATTTTATGTGAAATTGAGATAAGGAGTAAAACTAAAACTGAAATAGCAATCAAATTCCAAAAAGTACGCTCTCGGGTAGTGTGTCTAAAATATAAATAAATGACTAAAATTTCTATTTCTTAATCAAATTCTCTTCAAAAATGGCGGACAATGGTAAACAATCGTTCGTTATATGTAAATCTGTTCGCTATAAAAACTCCTGATACAACGAACTAATTCGCTATATGCTTACAAGGAACTCCGGATATAAGGAACAGGTTTTGAATGTCCCAGTGAGTTCGTTATAAGCGGAGTTTACTGTAATAGGCTATGTCTATCGTCTTATGACTTGGAGCAGTTATGCAAATATCTGAGCTTTTTTAAATTAAGAAGATAAAATTGTAAAATAATTGCAAAACATCTCTCGAGTATTTGCCAGCATTGAGGATGATAACACATTTACAATTAATAGCAAATAAAGCATCAAATAGTATTCATGAATACTGTGAAATCATTAATTTTGACAAGACATAAATCCTTGACATGGTCTTAAATGGAATGACTGTTTTGTTTTAAAATAAACTGGGGAAATATTCAATGACAAGTAAAATATAAAATAAATAAGAAAATATTCAATGATTGTGTGTTCTTTGTGATATAGTATTAAATAGGCGACTTCAGATGTATAGTAATATGTAATTATGAAATTGTTGTATATAATCACTGGACTGTAAATATATATATATCAAATTTTCAAGTTCAAAGTATGAACACAAAGCCAAATCACATAAATTTAATTTACACAAAATTTGTCTCTTTACTGTCATATCTATTATCATCTATTATCATAAATTTTGATGACTGATTGTATATTGTATAATTGATTTGAAGTAGCACTTCCTTACTGTGATGGTATAAAATATTAATATACACTCCTTGTTAGAATTTTAGGGGAAAGTGTCCCTTTTTCCCCACTTTCTTCTTTTGAATGCAACTTTAAAATTCTTTTCATAAGTTGGATATTAATTTATGGGTTACGTAGAAAATATAAACAAGCATGATAAGGTGTTCCGTTTGGGACATCTTTTTTTTCCGGATCGGCGACCTTTAATATACTTTTAAATCCTAAAGATACGAGACCATACAACGAATCGACGTGGCGATATCTAGAAATGTCTTTCTTACAGTTTGTTCAGCTTTGATCAGAAAAAGTGTTGCGTTTTGTTAAGAGTCCATTTTGATGACGAAAACAAAAGTGTTAAAATCTCTAATGAATTTTCTCTGATGAAATTTTTATTTAAACAAATTACATGTTGAAGCTAAATACGATTTGATATTTGACCTCAATGTAGCCCTTGACCTTGAATGTGGAAACAGTGGTTTTCAGGCAACGCATCGTCTGACTGTGGTAAAGACATATGCCAAATTGACAAGACACAAAATCCATTTGCACTTATGACTTTTTGGCATAATGCTAAGTTACATCATTTGCTGCAGTCTTGATTGTTGAGCCTTGCAAACAAAATATCTTCTTGTGGTGATCAAATTTACCAGTTTATTTCTCCATCATGCATACCAAAGCAATGGTCCGGACGCGAACTCTTTGACAAGTTTAATCCCCCTGCTGTGACATTGACCTTGAAGCCAAAGGTCTGAGTTTTGAATGAAAAACATCGTCTACTTATGGTAGTATTTTGTACTAATTAAAATCTCACAATACATGCTGAAGTTATTAATTGGTGAGAACATCTGCTTTGAACTTAACCACGTCCTGTGGTAGGGACCTATGCATTTCACGTCACACCTCGTCTCCATATAGTGTGATAATGTGTACTTATTTGGAAATTCCATCATGGATGCAGAAGTTATGGACCGAACACAAGGTTTATACTTTTTTGATCAAATACACAAATACGTACGCAAGCAAACACACACATAATAATTCTAACATTACGATGATTTGCACTGGTATATTTTTAAATTTCAAAACTGGTTTTTAAGAAGGAACATGGGAAAATATTGTTGATAACCAAAATAAAGTTCATTATTTGTACTGGAGACAGTCAGGGTCAAATTGTAATTTTCTTTGCAATCTGAACTTTATACAAGAAATGAATATGCAAGGGTCTCTATATAATAATTTGCAGTGGGTAGCTTAGTCGGTTATGCTGCCGAAGGGGTAACACTTAGGTCTAGATTCACGTCCAACAAAGGCTTAAGGAAGATTGGGTATTCTTTACGGAACATAGAAAGAATAAAAACAATAATATATCAAGTTGAAAAGCGATTATTTATTGTTTATTTTCTCGTAGTTAAGTTTCTAATCAAAATATAAGGCACACCTTTTGTTATAATTAAACAAAAGTACATCCCTACGATATATTCAGCAGTAAAAAGATAATCAAGTTACATATATAATAACAAACCTTTTTGATTTTGTAATTAAGTTTCAAAACGTTATGTAGGGCACACCTTTTGCTTCTACAAAACAAAAGTTCATCCCTACTATTTCAATATTTCTAACAACAATAAATAAATAAAATAAAATGGTTAAGATAATAAATATATTAATTATTTTCCTTACTGTAATTTGATTGTAAATTAATAAGGCACACCTTTTGCTTTTTCCAAACAAAAGTTCATCCTTACGATTTGAATATATACAACCTTAACAGTCAAGTATCATATTTTCGTTATTGTTAAATATCTACACAAGGCACACCTTTTCTTATTATTAACAAAAGTACATCCCTATGATTCCAGTATTTTGATAAAGAAGATAAGCGCAAAATTCACAGGAAAAATAAACACGTATGTATTATATTTTCTTCAATGTTTGTTATTAAGTATATATAAGGCACACCTTTTGTTATTTTGTAACAAAAGTACATCCCTATGATATAAGTTATTTGTAAATTTTGTACCTTTGTTGATATTAAGGTAGCTTTACAAAGATCTCTACACTGTCTTCATGGTGTTTCTTTAAGCATCTTCACACTGATGTTACAAGTATATATTTAATTTAGGGCACGCCTTTTGTTATTTTCTAACAGAAGTTTATCCCTATAGTTTTTTTAAATAACTGATCAATTTAATTGTATTTATTCCACTTCAACAAAGTATTATTTGAATAAACACATTGTTAAATGTATCAAGATACAACTTGATGTAACAACGTTCTTCAGCTATGAACATGTATGTATTGTATAAAAGTACATTTATGTGATTGACAAATTGTGAATAATTGCAAACAAATAATACATAAAAAGGTGGAATTTACAAGGCCATAAAGAAATTATAAATCCTTATCATTTTTGCATGATATCATACACTATACCATGAATTGACCCTAAAAACGTGCAGTTCTTTCAAGGTAAGTATCACATTATAGACATATATAAGTTTTGCTACATGTATATCATGATAACATTAAAGTGGTCTGGTCTACATAACTATGTTTTATCAGACCATGCATCTCACACTTACCAACAACATCTATATATAATTCTTTAGTGGTTCGTTGTTATGTCTGGTACTTAACTCTATAAACATAATTGTTTACTATATTATATGCCTTGCATGAAATACCATTTCACTTTAAAGACGACTGTAATCAGGCCTAGTTAAATTGTTGAGAATTGAACATATTGTTTTTTCTTTTTCTTACAATGAATTTTAATAATATAGCAGCGTTAATACGTGCAAACATCTCAGCAAAATGATATAAAAAGATTTAAATATACTAAAGAATTCTAGTAAACGTGAATAGGAATCTATGCCTGCAGAAATGAAGTGCTCTTTTTACAAGTTGGTGCTCATATATTTTAAATACATGCATGTTTTACAGATATATACTAAGACATTTAAAGTAACATTATGATAAATATAATCTGAATTAATTTGAATCAAGTGAAGAACATAAAACAAACTTTATGTACATTAATGGTCATTGTGTGTTAATACTATGTAATAATTAACAACAATAAAGTTAAACCACATATTAATAACACTTAAAAAACAACACTTAAGAAGTATTTATATGGACAATGTTTCTATATTACAATTTAAAAACTCTCATGTCATACAAAAACATTTGCTACATTAAAGTGATAATTGCGTCGTATTGAAGTTTTAGCTAGTGTACATGACAACTATTCTGTTTTACTCAGTAGAGAAAAAATTAAGTGGTTCATTCATATATTGATTCAGTCACACACACAGGTAAATAGCCTATACATAATATAAGTATTTGATAATGTTCAGATATATTTACTTTCAATGTTTGTGATCTACAAACATTATGTTATCACTTCTATAAAAAATGCATGTAAAACACAAAAAGTTGCAATCTGACTATGTTCAGATCTTCTTAGGTTTACATGTAGATATGATCGCCGCCTTCTTGCCGTTTTGGATTATACGTTATACGATAAAGCTATTTCTAGCTCAACTTACATGAACTCAGACAAATCAGCAATTTCGCCTCAGAAAGGAACAACAACTTTAAGTAGATATTTGTAATATGTTTTATTCTATCATTTTTTGGTATCTTACCGTTTATTCTGGATTTATATAGGCGTCGCTATGTTTTCTCCCGTAATATGTTTACGTCTACATTTAAACATACAAAGACCTAAACTGTACTCAGACAAACAATTAAAAAGTTTCTATGTACAGTATGAATATTTACAATCAAATTAAAGCGCTCTGTGCAAACATTTGAGTACAGAAATCCAAAATATTACAGACACAATAAGGTAAACAAAATTCGAGAAATCCAAAATATTACAGCTAGACATTGTGAACAAATTCGAGAAATCCAAAATATCGACACAGTTAACAAAATTCGAGAAATATAAAATATTAAAGACACAGTAAACACAATTTCGAGAAATCCAATGTTTTACATACACAGTTTACACAATTCGAGAAATCCAAAATATTACATAGTTAACAAAATTCGAGAAAAAAAAATATAATGATAATGTTGTGAAATATGTTGAAATTATTTACATACCTAATTATAAATTAAACACGATAATTAAAATAAATATAAAATCATTTCACTTAAGGAATCAACACACGCGCACCGATGCAAATTAAGATAAAATCATTGCGAATAAAAACAGGCTAATAATAAATGATCACTATAGTAAATATATACACATACATTTAACAAATATGTATGATTTACTGAAGCACTGATATAATCAAACACTGAAAAAAACTACTTATACTTATAACATGAAAACATCACATACATCTTTTTTAGAAATAAAAATTACCTTAAGTCTACACAAAAACTTACTTACTAAGCAAATATTAAGATTTAAAGGGAGTTTCAAAATGAATGATACTTAAACGATGGTAAGAAACTTTGTTCCTATTATGCTCATCTGATCCAAATATACAGAACTAAAACATGAAAGAAAGATGTAAAAGGCTGGTTATCTTCAGAAGTATATGTCCATGATTTATAATCTTATATAATAACAATGCAGTTGCAAATAAAATATTTAAAGAATCACCAAACTAAGTATCAATAAAGATAATTATACATGTATATTCCTTTCTTTCTATGTGTAATAAACACAATTCTACAGGTGAGGTTTTGCTACATTCGTCAAACATATATTTAATTATGCAACTTTATTTACATAAAATTTATACACAATATAAATGACTACGAGTTATTCATTAATCTTAAACATGAAATAAACATGACATGTATACGACATATTTCAAAATACTTCGTTTTGTCGAAAATATACATATATCAAAACAGTTAAGATGCTTATACTTAATTACACATTAAGCGAATTAATCATACATACTAAAAATAATAAAAAGATGCTAACATCCTTTTCAAAACAATAACAAATGCTATCCTCATACACAACAACTTACTTCCCTTTCGAAGGTATATGCACAAAAGCAAAAATGTATTGATAACTTGTTCTATTTACAAATAGACGACAAAATTTTATTTCACATGATTGTATATAATGTGAAACAAAACAGCAGTAAAATATTATATACTAAACAGAAAGATCAAAACATCAAAACATAATTGTTTTAATATTTGTTTATACTTAGTCTAATGTGTTGATACTGGTTGAATAAAACAAATTAAACATCAAAATACTTGTACATGTATTTACAACACTTGTAAAAAGGTATCTGTGACAGATGATAATAATATTTTTTAACTAGATTTGTCACAGCATTAAAAAAAAAATATAAAACAATAAAACAAAAAATATAAAATAAAATAAAAACATTCAAAATCTAATAAATCACCAATTATTATGTTAAACGGACAATTGTGATAAATCTGACTCCTTAGAAAGGATCCGTGTGCATTTTGGGATTTAGTAATACAGTAAAATAAAAACACATATGTATATACACATTTGTTAAATATTAAGGTAAACCTACACGCATATAATACTCTGATCAATATTCACTTACTCAAAAGCACAGTTTTTACAACATTATATCAAATGCGACTGATTCAGCATATATAAACAATAGTGAATTATGAATTTCAAGTATTTACAAAACTGATAATAAAAATGAGAAATATGGTTATACGTTTTCAGCGCTAAGATAACATATTCATTACAATATAAGCAGAAATGTTCAATGCACAAACTATGTATGATACGAAACTATTCTTCACAGTCATCAAATTAGCTTGCCTCATCAGGTTACACACATCACGATATATATTCTTCTACAATGGTAATCATTTTACAAGCTACTTCAATAGAAAATTCAGCATCCTCTCTTTGAAAGATGTCCGATGGTATTCGAGGACGACTGACAGTATCTGGATATCGTAGTCTAGCGTGATCACCAAGTCGTGATTCCAGCAACTGAGCCTATATTTGTGTGTAAAATCGAAACAATTTTTTTCAATACTTTGATTGCTATTTTGTATATCATGATTCCGAATGTACATATATAATTGTTATATAGAAATTAAAAAGTTTTCATTGTTTCACGCTTTGCCTCCCACCTTTCAAAATCATTGATTATACATGTAGTTATACTCTATTTTTCCCAATAAAAATATGTTTTATTTTTCTTCCTTTTTTTTTCTCCGAATGATGAGTAATTAATCATAATATCGAATATATATTTTTTCATAACACTGAACAAACAAACAAATAGAAAAGCAAACCTGTTCAAGCATTGCGGGTTCACTCATTAAAAAAGTAAGACGATGACTGTAACTTCTTCTTGGAACATTGTTGGCGTCCTTGAAATATCTTGCCGATTTAAGAGCTTTTTCACACGACTTAAACAGTAAAAGAAAAGATTTCCCTGATGCTTAATATGTCTGAGAAATGGAGACATCATGGTTTTATCTTAAAAATGTCCATTGTGAGTAAAAACGTGGTATTATAAATCAATAGAAAAATGCTAAAAAATGAATAAAAGTCAAATCTTATGAAACAACACTTTTGTATGTCTGTGGCTATATACTAGTGGCATATTTAGGAAATATAAATCAATTTAAGTGCATTGTGGTAGAAAAATGCACAGTTCGAGTTCAAATGTGCAAGAATATACTCACTTCGGTTGATAGGCTTGTGTGATAAATTACAAAGCACTTGAACGATAAGCCGTGCATTTTTATACAACAATGCAAGAAAGAGTCATATGTATTTCAATTCTTACATGCTAATAAAAATGCGAATTGATAAAAATATGTTAAAAACTAAAGTGAGCGTAGAAGTAATATTCCAGAAGTCATTTGCTTTATTGACTTAATATATATGACGTCATATGAAGTGTAAGCATTCGTGTTTATGCCGTGCATATGTCGTGTAATACATGCACTTGACTGTCCTATCTGTTTGATAAGAAAATTTAGTGTGAAACATGTTAGAATATTAAATCGTTACTTTACTAGGATACATATTCTACATACGTATTTAGAACAATTTCTGTTGAATGAATAATTATTTTCACCTTGCTTAATATGGTGACATGAAAAAGACTATGAAATTTAACTGAATAAAATCAAAAACACAGGATACTTAGCTTCAACTTTAACAACTGATAACAAGCGTTTTAAGGTCAAACTTTCCTACGTAATAAGTAAATCAATTTAATTTCAGCGAATCTAAACAAAAAATATCTTAGCGACAAATGAGAGAAACAAAACTAAGTTTTCTTTCCCTTTATTTGATAACCAAGATAATAGATAATTAAAATCATCTTGGAAACATCCACATGTTTTTACCTCATGTGATTTTTATAAAGAATACAAGAAAGTTGCTCACCTGGTGACATAGGTAACAAATCCAATTAAAACCTTCAACACCGTCTGCAATTTGCAGCATAGCTTGAGCTGCTCTAAAATCGTTTTTTGCCTGCCGTAACCATCTTTCAGCTTCGGCAACATCAGGTCTTACTACTTGCTGTGACACAGAATGGGAAAAACGACCCGTGTTGTAAGAACAACAGTAATCGTCATAATTGTCATGATAGGCACGTGCATACGCTCTGGCACTTTCATTCAAATTGCTATAATACCTGGATGTTGATGGTGCAAATTCAGATGGCCCTCTTGTCATTTCATTTTCTGCATCATCCGTTAAATATTCTCCATTTTCAAGACGGCTTATCACTACTTGTATATATTGGAACACCCTTTTACTATAATCTCTTTGCTCTGGATTTTTATCTGGATGCCACTTAAAAAGAAGCCTTCTTATAACACGTTTTCGGTCAGCCGGTGGTAATTTCCATGCTTCTATTAATTGTTGCCTGATAAAACGACAATGTTCATCAAAAGGTTTTGAATTGATTGGTTCAGCATCAAACTGTTGGATTTCTTGTCCAGGATCTTCTTCTCTACGGACAAACCTATACAAACGATATATTGGTACTTGTTCTGAATAAATGTCAGGATTGCCCGTTAAGACAGTATACATCCTTCCCAAATCACCAAGTAACAAGTTTGATGCTGGACATTCATTCAAAATTTTAACATATATATAATTTGGATCATCTCTATCAAAATCAAACTTTGCGTAGTCAATTTCCATAGCAACACAGTTGAATTCATAGCTTTCAAATGGTTGGATTCCTTGTTCAAGAAATGGGATAAATCTTGGCTCAACATATGTTCCCGGCTTAGGAAAATAGTCTCTTCTTTTTAAGTTCTCCAAAAAATGAGGTTGAATCTTGAGTCTTTGAAGCAGGTCTGGTATTTTTTCAGGGGTTGTTATATTTTGAAGGAGTGGCATTACATAGATCATCGAACTCCAACGAAGCTGCTCAACACACATACGAATTAATTTAATCAGTCCATCTAAAATATGACTGATGTCTGTTACATCTTCAGCATCATTAGAAACAAAAAAGGTTATTTCCTGTGGAATAACACTCTTATTTACTTTTATATGATATGGTATAGCTATGTCGGAGCCGCTGACGACTTCATCATTATATCTCAGAACAGTTTTCAGCGACGGAATTTCGTAACATTTGACAGACTGTAACTTACTTCCAGCGTCCATAACTAAGGAATCATTAAATGTAGCTCCTTTTATTGAAAACTGTACATTTAATATGCCACCTAAAGCAGACAGTAATTCAGGGGAATGGAAAAAGTTTTCTAACACTAAAGTTTTACTGCTACGCAAGTATGATTGATTGGCGTCATCTGGTAGGTACACAATTTCTTCAAAAAGATCTGTTAAAAATAAAGGTTTTAAGTGAGCTGGCCAATTTGTAAACATGTCTCTCATTTTTTCAGAAGTTTCCTCTATATCAAGAAACTGATTTCCTGCAAACAGGTTTATACTGACATGTCCTTGTAATCGGTTTTGGAACCATATATTATCCGACACAACGATTTCGTTTGATCTCTGCAAAATGAGATCCTCATTCGGAAGATATATAGAGTTTACTTCATTTATACTATTGTCTTTATCATGATTATGCTGCAATAACTCCCTAATTGCTTTTCTTGCTATATTTCTTTCAGCTGGGTTCATTTCAGAATCTTTACATCGATCTTTTATCTTTTGCATAACGTAAGCATAATGGGAGAACATAATATGTTGCTTGCTTCCTAATTTCTCAAACATACCATGGTATCTTCCATAATACTTTGGAGCCGAGTACAAGTAAGGTTTAATCTCAAGATCAGTAGGTAAGTTTGTTATTACCTCACGTAGTAAAACTAAATCTCTATCTTCTGGGAGATGAACAAAAGGTTTGTTCTCCAGCCTTGATCGTATCGTTTCAAAACTGCCGATTTGTTTATCAAAATATTCATAAAAACATGTCATCTGATCTTTGATAAATTCTCCACCACATAAACTAGAAGATCTCAATTGTGGTTTTAACACATCACATATATTTTGACAGTGAAGAATAACTTTGCTTAGTTCTGGCTGTTCATAAATTTGAAGGGTGCGTCTGACACTTTTAGCAAGTTTATTGAAAACATTGCTTGGCAAAATGTAGCAGCTTGTCCAGCACAAATCTGAATGCAAACTTGACACTGATTCTTCAAAGCAAATGATTTGTCCGTTACCATTAAATTGTGGAAATATATCTAGTTTATGCTTCTCTACAGAATGGGATAAGATAAATTTAATTGATTTAATTCTATAAAGGGTTCCGGTTTGCCATATCCTACCTTTATTTGTTAGGAACGTTTGAAGAAGTGTGTTTGACTTTTCACATAAATCGCTGCTTGAGCGAAAAGTACTTTCAAATTCAATGTTACTTGCAAATTGGATCATCATTTCATCAGTGACTACACAGATTAAACCAAGTTGCTTAAAAAAATATCTCCATTGGTCACTTTGATAATTATCTGGTGGGAAATCATTATGACTTTTCATGCATCTAAAAACTTCATTTTCAATGTCATACAACTGGTTGACTCTCTTCATGGTACCATCAACATTTATAAACGCTATAAGTGTTAATTGCTGTATTATTTGGGCACGGACAGGTTTTTCCGGTATATCCATACTAAGTCTATCACGCAGAAATGTAATATGACTAATCCAATATTGCTTAGGCATTGCGGTGAAATTAGGCAGGACCATCTCATTGTAAACAATTTCTATATCTGCCTTACGTAGTTGAAGAAAATCATACAATTCATGTAGTAAATCGTTTTCTTGAAGCAATGTGATGCTACAGTTGTCAGCCCATTCTTGAACCCCTACAAATGGCATTCCTCTTGGAATAACAATTATGTCGTATCCGATGTCGATGCTTGTGAGGGTGCCCTGCATCGTTAAAAATAATGGTAACTCTCTTAGTTTTTGTGCAACTACATATGGATCTTTATCCTTACAAATTAAAGTATGTTTTCTCCCGAAATAAGCTAAGATTTCTGTACTTTCTCCTTTTATTAGCTCTTTGAAGGTTCGTATTTTCTCTTTGTGATAGACCAAACAGTCAAGTATATCAGAGGGCGATTCCAATGAAGGTACGCACTGTTTCAGAATCGATTTTATGATAGCTTCATTTCGTGATTTATCGAATACGCTCAAGTCAATTGTTGGCAGATTCAACTTCCCAAGTCCATTTCCAATTTTCTCCTGTTTTTGAATGTAAGTTAAATGCAACAGATATGGAAGCTTATGAATAGGAATTAGAGCGCGGTGCGTTTTTTGTTGAACACAGGGCAAGAAACTCCAATCATTTAACTGTCTTAAATTTGTTAGGAATTTCTTCATATCAATTTCTATTTTTGTTTGTGCGTCCATTGAATTATTTTTAAATTCTTTTCGCGACTGATCGCAAAGAAATTCATACAATAAAAATAACCATTCCTGAGAAATAGCGTTTGGATTATCTATTGTTTCAGATTGCAATTGTGTTTCAAGTCCAGCTGCGTATAAACTTTTCTGCATTGTATCTGGAAGCATGGTAGTAAAATCATTGAAACTAAATTTTTTGACCACATTCGATTCAAATATTTTAACATTTGAAAATATCGGAATCAACATAAGATTCATAAAATGAGATGATGATCTAGGTAAAAGTGTAGCAAAATCGGTAATAAACACTTTGTGATCCTCACTGAATCGTCTTAATTTGTTGTCTTGTGTCAGCAGAACAGGGAGACCCGATAATTTGTCTGCAAAACAGTCATCCTGGCAAATAAATTTGACGAAAGTCAGCAAATTTTGCTTTGTTCTAAACTTTGAGACTGTAACGTCAACATTTACCGGGCCTATATCACAACATGTCCGGTTTAAAAACAATATTGTTGTTTTTGGTGAGGAAACAGGAATGTCTTTTACGCCAGCTATTTGCATTTCGTTCATTATCGAATTTGGCGTTTCAATCAACTTCATACCAATATTTTTTAGGAATTCCCCGACCATATTAGTTCTGTTTTGTGTGTCCGATGAGATTGAGTATTTGGATAAATAATTGAAAATGTCGTTGAAATACCCACCCATGTACAATTCAGATTCAGAACTGACATGAGTCCATGTCAGTTGAAATCTATTCGAACTTCCAGAGGTGTCTTGTTGTTGAAAGTTGTCATTCTGACAGTCAAATACGCATGGGAAGAGGTCTACCTTTTGGTTAGCAATTTGTAAATAAAATTGTGAAATAACATCTCTCCAAATCCTAGATGGCGAATTATCATGTAGTGGAAGGAACATATGGTATTTCTGTAGAACATCGTTGACTTTATACCATGCATGTTGTGTTTTTAGAATCTTTGTTACATCATTTTGTATTTTAAGAATACCACAAATCCATGATGGAATAATTATATGTTCTAAGATATACCGATTCCATTCCATTCTAAAACCATCCTTCCATAAGTCCCTTCTGGACTCGTGATCTAGTGCAAAGTGTCCATTTACATGGACAGGTAACCCTGTTTCCACAGGAAGCGGTAGAAAACAAAAGGCTTTACCTGCATCTTTAACTTCGTTGGAGAGAAATAAAGATTGAGAATTTGCCGAAGATTTTGTATTCAGGAAATGCATCCATTTAAATATATTTCCAAATGTTGAAGTGCCTGGTGATTTTTCAACTTCTGCTTTCTGTTTTTTAGCATCAGTCACATTTAGAATACTGTTCAGAGGTAATGCTACACCACCGATTGGTATCAGACCAAGGTCACCATTTGAAAATGGGACTTTCATTTCTTTAGTTCTACTGGTTGTACCCTGATGACCAAATTGTTGGATTATCAAATACTTGTTCTTGCCTCCAAAGCTATCATTCACCGTCATTGGATAAATTACTCTACTGATATCTTCATCTAAATTTTTCTCCTTGTTATTAATGTTTTTCTTTACCACAGTATGAACATAATCGTTGAAAGCTCCTTTTTCTTTCATTGATTCATCAGAAATTTCAACATTAACCGAATATTCCTCAATCAGTTCACCATTTGTATTAATTTTAGATATTTTTAGACTCCTGACGTTTTTCAGGAAAAGCACTGATATATTTATTTCTTTTTTAAACCTATTCAAAATTGAATCCATTTTTGCTGTATCAATAACCTCCCCCTGTATATCTGAAGGAGTACGCCGCAGAGGGAATCGAAATATTGTTCCCATTTCACCTTTCATTAGTTGGTTCTGTGAAAATCCGAGTAATTGGTCTGGAAAATTAGCTTGAACATCCGACAGTTTGCACATTTGGCCAGGTTCGGTAATTGTTGCTTTAGGTAAACAGGAAAGTAGCGGATCAAACGTAATTAGATAGTCATTATTATCGCCGGCAGAAGATTTAGTTATAAACGATGGAGTGTCTGTTAAATGGTAAACTGAGTTAAATCCTACTCCATACTGTCCAGTTTTTGTCGGATCTTCACCTTTGCTTCCCTGACCAAGATTATGAATACCCTCAAAGTCTTCTTTTGTGAAGTAGCTGTTGTTAAACACGCATAACGCTGGTCCTTGAAGTGATGCACATGATTTACTGAAAAGTCTCTTTGTAGAATGTTCACGATAGTCCTTTACAAAATGTATTTCTGTCGCTCGAGCATCATCAGCATTCTGTAGGAGTTCTTTCATTATACTCTCATCACAGGGATAGGCCTTAAGAAGGCCCTTGATGCGGGTAACAAGCTTTTCCCTTTGACCAAATGATACAGCAATCGACATTGATTCGAAACATTTTAGTTCTTTTGTTTTTACACCTAATGATTCACCAAGAGATATTGGTATATCTCTATGAAGAATTTTTATTTCAGTGTTTGTTCTAAAGTCGATATTCTCAGCGGCTAAATCATATGTAGGCCAGAGCTGACATAAGGTATCTGGTGCTAAAATTCTGTCATGATATTCATTGAGACTATCGTACTCTGTTTTGGACATCTCTATGCTCTCCTTTAGATTGACAAGCAAAACACGGATTTTCTCTACATTGCTGCTATTGTTTATCCAATTGTCTTTTAACGAGTCGATAGCATTTATTATGAAACTTATGTCGAAGTAGTCTTTAACACCTAAGTACTTGCAAATATGTATCCATTTTATGTTTGCAAAAACAGGGAGCCGATATAATGAAGGTACACACTCTTCCTTTAAATTCAATGCAACATTTTCTGCCTTGACTAGAACAGTTTCAATTGGTATAACAGGGACATCACGTAATTCGATAAGACACTCAGGTACATTTTCTGGGTCACTCTTTATAACACTATTGAAATGTTGAAATACATTGTTATGTATTCTTTTAAATTCATCAAATTGAATAGATGTGTCTTTGTATTCCCGAACAATAAGCAAGATTTGCTCGACTAACAGTCGAGGATCCAGATCGTCTAGATCTTTAACATTCATTATTTGCAAAAATCTCCGAACATCATTTTGCCTTGCCTTTGCAATCGAGAAGAATGATTCATCTACTAAAAACTTAACACTTCCAACATAATCACAAAGTCTCTGACGCACCAATTCTCCTGATTGTCCTAGTAGTAAAGGTTTAGCATCTTTGTGATTTATACAATGTTTCGCTCCATATAAATGTACTAAATCATTTTTAGTCGTCTTATCAGCGCCCCATGAAAATGTCCAAGTCTTTGGCCTTTGTAAAACAGGCATGATACAGGAGCTTTGGACAAACTGTAATGCTTCCAAGTCATTGTAAAGCGACGTCAAAACTTTAGCATTCGATAAATAATCTATCACAGATGTACACCTTTCACGAGCACAGCTGCAGCAAACATGGGCTAAAGTCGTAACAGAAACACACCTATCAATCAGAAATGCATTGGGCATTACTTTATAGTTCATTCCAAGCCTTATCAGATTCTTTAGAGCAATCTCGTTACGGAACATCGTTATATCGTAAGGAAACCTTTCGTCGGCCACGCTGAATAGTTTTGAAAGTGATTCATACGGATGAATAAGGTCAGACGGCCGACGAAGTCTTTGTTGTGGTGACGTCGGAATACATTCAATTTGTTTCATGATGCTATCAATATGCTTGTCTTGTATCTTCAGAGCTAATGTTATCATATTATTACGCTCTTCAAATCGATTCTTCCAAAACGTATTATCGATATTTTTAAAAAATATCTGAAAAAAGTCTTTCTCGCCAATAACAGCAGAACGTAGCAACTCAATTTTGTCAACGTTACTTTTCTTTATATTTTCAAAGATGTATTCTGGCATTTCAATGACTGTTTTGTCCTTTCTTGGGATGATGTGTTTTAGAAACTCAAATGCTGTGGCTCCGCACGATTTCTGACGAAACTTTGGGTCTAAAAATACCGAATCATGGAAATTTACCCACGATCCATTTCCCTCAAATATTTTGCATTTGCTAGCAACAATATGCTTGTAAAATTCATCTTTAAAATGTAGAAGTACATCGGAACAGTTTGATGGCCAAAGTGTGTAATATTTGTAAGTCTTGTTAACATTCATCTCTTTCTCTGAAAGTTTTTCAAGCAGTTTGATGAATGCAATTACCAAAGCATCTTCTTGTACAGCATTATTCCAATCATTTCTGTTACTGCTTTTATCATCCTCCGTTATAGTAACAAGCTGACGTCTATCTGAAGTCACAGCAAAACAACCGTTAACATGAAATTGCAATTTTGTTTTAATAGGAAGTGGAAGAAAACAAAATATATGACCTTCTGAATAAAAGCCAGCTCCTACATTTTGTATTGCAATCGGTGTTCCGTCTGTTTGATCTGCACAAGGAATAGCTACAGCTGCAAGAGGAACTGCACCCTCAGAAAACAATTTTTGCGACATTTTCAATGACCGGCTATTTCCTCTAGCCCATGACAATAGCCAAACTATTTCAAAATTTTCATCCATATTGGCAAGGTTATCAATTAAAGCCTTGCATTTTTTCGTTGTTATATAATGGATAACAGTTTTATGCATTTCGATAAAATTTCTTGCTTTAATCTGTATCATTCGTGATAAAACTGACACAGACAGTGGTTTGAATAAGGAATGTGCAATTTGGAACACACTCTTATGAATGTTGAACAACAGTTCCGGTTTTGAAGCGTTTGTTGACTTTTCATCAAGATGAAAAACTTCAATTGTTGTGACATTTTGCGAAAATAAAAGCATATTTCCCGCTGTTAGAATTAGCATTCGCAAAAGTTTAATCATTTCTTCATTTGTATAAGACACAGAGTAAATTTTACTCTCCCTTGCCTGTTCTTCTGTGCGAAGCGGAAGTCTGAATAATGTTCCGTTGTATGATTTGAAATCCTTATCACCTATCTCGCAACCAAAAACACCATTGTATGGTTTGAATTGGTCACTATGTCTCAGTACTAATGTTGCATTCGGTAATGTATATTTCAATCCCGTTCCGCGTACACTTCCGAGATATTTTTCATGTGGGTCAAAGAAAACAATGTTAGATCCAGTGATAAAACTTGGCAAGTCTGTAAGGTTGTAAACAGAACAAAATCCTAACCCGAACTTTCCTATTTTCTGTACATCAGTTTGTTTAGTTGCCGCGTTCAACTTAGTTATATTTTTTAAGTCATCATCAGAAAAAACTGCATCATTGTAAACCCATAATGCTGGCCCTTGAAAGTCTTTCATGCCCTTACAAAGAACTCGTTCTCTTAGTTCTCGATTTTGTCGTTCATCGTAAAGGAATCTCACTGTAGTAGCACCTGCATCATCTGCATTCTGTATTAACTCTTTTGGGACTGATAATCCATCAGTATAACCATCCCTCAACAAAGCATGTATCCTAGTCGTCAAATGTTCTTGTTGTCCCCATTTCTCAACACCAAGTTCCTCTGCATCCAATGCCGCTTTCCTTGATATTGACTTTACTCCCAGAGCTGTAGCAGTCTTTACTGGAATCATTTCATGTACGAGATAAGAATCCCCATTGTCTACGCAAAATAATGTTGGATCATCATCATACGTACATTCCGACGCCGGTCGGAGGGTAAAACCACTTGGATAACATGTATCATGTACCATCATTAATATTTCAAGATCACCAACTGAAACAAACCCATCAAGAACAAGACTTGCAATTTTCTCTAAAATATCAACTACTATGCGCTTATCTCGATTCATAATTACTTTGCTTTCTACTTTTTCATTACATGAATTGATACATTTAATGGTATTTTGCAATGTACATATGTCTTGCTTCGGTAGACAACCAAGCGAGATAAATAAATGCTGAATACACATGTATTCTTCTGGAAGATAGTAATAATGAGGGTGCAAATCAATGTCTGCTTTCTGTTTTTCAACTATAACTCTTTCAGGGGTAACAAAGTCTTCTCCTGTCCAAATAATGTATTCGACAGCCAAATCATCTTTCAATTTTCGTACTTCTTCTTGACGTTTACTAAGATGGTCATAAATACTTTTGATTATAGGCATTACATCAGATCTGTAGTGCACTGAATAGCAGTTTCTAACTATTTTAAGCTGCTCAAATATATTTGATATAGCTGGCGGATCTTTCCACCCGAATACCCCAGCAAATGGCTCTGACGTGCATTCAATAATTGGCATTATTCCTCCTACAAGGAGGCTTAAACTAATATCTTTTGCATCGGAGGGTTTACAAAGCGTGTCATTACTCTTAAACCATGTAATACAAGGAGGATATCCTGGCACTCTCTTTTCAACTGGAATACACGCAAACGAATAGATAGATTCCCCTAAACTAAACCCGTTTCGACAGGCATCTTCTAGCAAAGAGGGTTTCCTAGAGATGATATTCATAAACGCTTTTGCTTTACGAAGAAGATCTTTGTTGTTTTTTCTCTGACACTTTCTATTCAAATCGTTCAAAGTGGTAGCCACGCTGTAAAGAAGCATGCAATCTATATCTTGTATACCTTTAAGTCCAAGTATTTTAAGAATATGAACTGCTTCTGTATCCTTTGTATACGTAGAATCTGGTAATAAGCACTCTCCGTACAGTAAATCTTCAATAACTTTTTCAGAAGGGTCAAAGAGCTCCGAGGCAATATATGAGCGGGAGTTAGGTCCTGTTTTGAGGAAACGCAGGTTTTTTGCCAATCTCACAATTTTTGAACTGTTCTTGAAATAATGGAAATTAGTAATTAAATACTTGATAAACAAATTGAATTCTTTATTGTTCTCTTCCAATCTTTGGTTAGCAATTTTGAGGTACTCTTCAACAATATATTCAACAGAAATTTTTCTTCCGCCTAACTTTGCAACGAATGATTCCAATGATACGTTCACTTGAAGGCATGTAAACGGTAACATTACGGACGTTGGAAATGATTCCTTTCCATTTATAAATGTAGGCGTTTCCGTTAAGGATGCTGCTTTTCTTTTCCCATCAATATAATTTACAGCTTCAAATATCTTGAGTTCCTTTGTGAAGAGTTTAACATTTTCTGACATTTCAAACTGACATTTTACCAGCATTTTCATAAACGCCCTTTTTTCATTCAATGAACAAGAATTGTTGAAAGCAGTCACACTCTGATAAACAGTTTGCCCTTTACTTATCCGAGACAAAAGTGAAATCACATTTTTATGACTAGGGGAAAGGCAGTACTGGTGTATGATATCTTGTGGAATCCAAGGCGGTAAACTTTCTAATATGGTTACTCCAAGTAAATGGAAGCAGCTGTATACTTCCTCTGGAAAACCATCTTTTGATCTAAGAAGGAGGAGATCAGTTAATTTTGCCAAATGGATGACTTTAGGGCTTTTCCAGGATCCTTGTTTCAGTACTGGTACAATTGAGAGACCTGTTGAGATTGAAATGTTTCCTTTCATGATAAAGAACTCCCACACATCATGCAACCATTGAATGGTTAATTTATTTGATCCAGTTAGGCGTAGTGTTGTAGACGCTCCTAATTCGGTCTTCAGAATATCTTTTAAAAACGAGATTATTGTAGATGCGTTCATTTCTTTAATTTGCGAAGCACCTGAAAATTAAAGAAAATTATCATTTTACCCAGTTCAATGACACTTTTGTACTACTTTATTTCTTAAAATCTTCTAATCATTCTAATGATGCATATTAATATGTTTTATATCGAAGCAACAGAGATGGTTTTGACAAAGGATTTTGAAGATCTTTTCATGTTTTCGATGAAAATGCTTTAGTTATATATCGTAGTTATTTACCAAAATGCTCGTAACTTATTAACCGTAAACTTTAATTTTGGTTTATGAGCTTATATCATAATTCTAATAAACACACAACCAAGTTTAAGATAATTTCATTGTATATATTTTAAAATTTATAAAAAAACATTTTTTCTAAAATTGACTGGTTAAAATATAGATTCAAATTATGGTCTATTTCGACCATATTAAAATTAATAATATGTTATTTAAAAAGGTGATCATTTGAGCGCAATGAAACATATAGTTGTGAATTTTAAGACATATTTGACATATTGCACACTTTTGTTTGGTACAAATATTATATCAAGTATATATATTTATTATTTAAATGTATAATTAAATTAAACTCACCAGAACAACACAAGCCTTCTATCTGACATACTAATGTGCTTCTAAGAGATGACTTGTTCTTCAAAAGAATGTGCTGAAAGCCAGGAAGTATCCTTAAAATATCTTTAGAGCAAATGTATACTGTCGCCTCGCTCTTGTTGAAATTTGTCCATTCTCCAGAAGACAGTGGAAGAAGCTCCAGTCCATGTACCAACTCATATTGGCTCTCCGATAAGATATATTCTAAAATATCCATTTTGTTTTCACATGTTATTTTTCTGTAACCATTGTTCTTATGAAGGTATGTTGTGAGCACTTCTGGAGTAAGATCCTGAACCTGAGGATAATAAATTCGTAAAGTTTCAAAAAGCCCTTTTGGAATGTCTACGTATTTCTTTCCTACAGAAGTGAGACAGTGCTTGATGGCATCTTTGACGTGTTGGTGTTCAAAAGGTAGGTTCCTTAAAGTTGCAAAACATGCATCATTCAGTCGTATCCAAGTGTTAACATTGCCACTGTACAAAAACGGTTGTGTTTTAATATTCCTAAACAATGTATATTCAAGTTTAGCCCATGTTTTATGTGTTTTTGATGAATCAGGCAGACATGCATACACATGGTGAATTGAATCAGATACATTTTCACAACCAATCGACCTTTGTATCAATGAGTTTACAAGGATCTGATAAGCAAGAGGAATGGCTTCACAAATAAGATATTTGTTCCATAAAATTGACTTGTCATCAATTCTTTTATCTCTTTGCTCCTCGGTTTCTAGCTTTAAGTGGTGTCGATTCTGACTGAGGGCAAAGAATCCATTTACATGCACTGGTAGTCCGGTAAGACGTGATCCCTCTTTCGGCAATGGTAGAAAGGCAAACACATGCCCTTCAAAAGTACGCTTCTTAGATTCAAGTGGAGCCGCAACTCCTACATATGGACTGTAACAGAAATTCTCATCGTGTATTAGTTTTTGAAAATTCAAGTTGGAACTGCTACCAACATAATAGTTCACAACCATCCATTTAGATATGTTAGACTTTCCATTCTTTAATATATTTATTGATATCTGTACATCATTCCATATATCTTTCTCTTGATAAGCTGAATTTAGTTTTTTTACTTTTTCTTTAAATTCAAATCTGTTTTTACGGACGCTTCCATTTGTATCATGTAGTTCTATTTTAACAATTTCTGAAATAGGATTTTCGTTTCTACGTGTATATATATTTATACTTTCTAAATTCCTCAGGAAGAGTAAGATAGAAGACGCCTCTAGCTGTAATCCTTCGAACAGGTCCATAACTTTTTCCTCATCATATAATGTTTCTGACACCTCTGAACAGTACTGGCGGAGTGGGAACCAAAACAATGTACCTTCATAATAACCATTGGCAACTATTCCTGGTTTGATTCCAAACGCTCCGTCAAATGCTTCCCAAAATGCCTCAGCATTCAGACCATGCTTTTCAAGGGTTCCAATTCGGGATAAATTAACCATTGCGTTTATTTGGTTTGAAGGTTGCTGTGGATCTATCATTAAAATTTTGCTGCCGCTAATAACACAGGGATAATCTGAAAATTATTCAATCGGAATGTGGTGTGTGTTGACGCTACGTGACTTTTTATATTAAGAATTATCGCTGAATGCAATTTATACCCAAACTTTTGTTAGAATCTGACTTTTATAAGTAGAAAGGGGAGACCATAACAGTATAACACACGTACAAAAGTCTCTAAAAAAAATCAGAACTCCGCGATACGGATATGTCGTCTTGTCAACAGTACAGCTGTCAGTTGAGCATTTTCTTCTTTAATAAACCTTATTTATATACACTGCTCTTGCCATATATAAGTACCTTTAACTTTTTTGAATCGATTGTAACAATATTACATCAGGATTAATAACACAGTTATATAATCAAAAATAAAAAAACTAATGGAAACGTTTTTCACTGACAGATTAATTGGAAAACTCTGTGCACTGCATTTCAGGCCAATGAAGAGAGGTTGCAGTCAATCAACTTATAGTGACCAAGTTATGTTCTGGACACACCTATTATGTATGGAAATTAACAAAGGGCAATTACTCAAAAATTATGAAGTGTAGAGTACAAGTTCTTGTACACTGCACCTCTCAATGAGACCCATAACCCTATGAAGTTTCAAGTCCATAGCTTTTATAGTTTAGGAGAAATGTCCCAGACAAAAAATAAAGACTGTATGAAAATTATCAAAGGACAATAACTCATTGTGCAAGTAGCTATTAAGTATGAAAATTAACAAAAGACAATAACTAAAAAAATCAAAATGTACTGAGTACTGGTTTTTATGCAATGCACTTTTTCTCATTGAGATCTATCATCCTATGAAGTTTCAAGTCCGTAGCTTTTATACTTTAGGAATAATGGCCTGGACAAAAATAAAGAATAAAAATTAAGAAAGGGCAATAACTAAAATGATAAGAAGTACAGAATAACGATTACTAAGTTATGTTCAGGACAAACCTAAGGGGACGCCATCACCGACCGACGCCGACACCGCCGACAAAAGTAGCCCAATATGTCGCCTTTTTCAATGCGACACAAACACAGCCTGGTACAGATAAACATGGAGGCATATTTCCAGATAAACAGTTTAATAGAACTAATTATATATCCCTTAACAACCCTGCGATACGATAAAAACAACAAAAACTTCTCAGATAAATGTATTTCATATTAAGTGGTTATCTAAAATAATTTTCAGTTATTAGTTCTATAACCGATAAATGTGCGTTGTACAGACTCAATCAAACCGAGTCTGCAATTCTTATGTTATTTTTTTGTGATTAATGCTTCCAAGGGATCACTTTGTTTCCAGAATTTTTTACTACAATATATATATACATATAGTTCTTTTCATCTTCAGACAAAAGAAAAAGTTTTGAAGTCGCCAACGGCCCGTACTGTCTCGGTGTGATAAAAACAGACAAAAGCTTTTACAAATAAAGAGATAACAATTTTATACTTAACTTAAGTATTGCACCTATTGGCAGGTTTTAATACATTTTAACAGAAAACATACATGTATCTTTTTAACCAGATTAAATATCTCTTTTCTATATTATTTACACAACTATTGAGTATTAATATGCCTAAAGTTATATACCACCATAAATAATAATATCAGTTGTGTCGTCTTAAACGTAAAAGCACTAAAATAGTCAAGAACTTTTCCTTATTTCTAATTGATTTACTTCGGAGGAAGAAGAAAACATAATTTTCTCGTGCAAAATATAATTAAAAGGTCATTTACAGATCAAGGTCATACTTTAAAGATTCAACTTGCTTAAATTGTCATAAATCTCATTTTGTCCAAGTTTGACTAAAATATATGTCAATCAAAATTATTTATGACAAATTAGCAGGACAAAAGCAACAGATTGGCAACGGGGACACCATTGTTGTAGCAATAGCTCGAACTATTTTCTTCAAAACTATTAGAGCTAAAAATAAGAAAGTTATAGAAATGGACGAAACCACGTAACACGAGGAACATAGTGACCCTTATTCGCTCACCCGAGTATACGGTACACATAAACAAGATATCATTATTATTGGTATTGATGGGCGAATAGCCATTTCCAAAACAGGTAAACTGTTGAAATGGTGTCGTGATTTAAATGTTATTATGTTTCAGCATACTAGTAGCAATGTTCTTTATTTCCACTAAAAGGATCTGCGCAATGTTTTTATAATCACAACTCTAAATTAAATTCAAATTTGTTTAGCAAAAGGGATGTTTGTTTAAGGGTTATAAAATTTGAGATTGTTGAGCACATTGTAATAAGTTAAGCATACTAGTTAAGAAATTTTAAGTATACAACCTTTATTTTCTGTTTAACCAAACTAAGGAAAATCTGATATTTTTACAAAATAAAAGTTCAGTATCGTGCTTCCCCTTTCAAATTGTAAAGAAAAATAATACAAAAACCTTCAATTTTTTAAAGATAAAATTATGTTTCTCTTTCACACTTTAATCCATATTGGTGTAGGGGTTGGGGAGGAGATATTCTTTAACAAAAAATGTAGCGACGGACGACAGACAACAGGCTAATGACACAAGGGTATCACAATAGCTTACCGTGAGCACGTTGTGCTAAGGAAAGTTAAACTTTTCAATTAAAAGAGGAAAAATTGTGCCTGCTGAGCTTACTTGATTGTGTTTATATTTAGTTCCAAGTGAATATTTTATGGCATAGTTTCTAAGATTTTAAGTTAAAAGTAAATTTTAGCATACATTTTAGTTAAAAGGGGGCATTACTATATTAATTAACAATAAAGACTTGATACGCTTGCGACCCTTTGAGTTTATATCAAAGTCTGAGTGAACTAAAGCGTAGGAACACCGGTCTTAAGTGCAACACATCATAAATTTATGATAATTTCATATGTGAAATAAAAAAATAAAATCATTTCATGCATATAAGTTTCAGAGCAGACAAGACCATCTCTGCCTATATGTATATTAACATAAAAAATGACAAAGTTTGAACCCCCACAGTGACCTTGACCTAAGTCATAGAAACCAGAGTCTTGTTCGTGACTGACACACCATACATCTATGGTTATTTAAAATGTGAAAGAAAATTAAAATCCTTTCATGCATACTGAAGTTTCAGAGCAGACACGACCACCACCATCTATATTTATATAACATAAAAAATGACAAAGTTTGAACCTCCACAGTGACCTTGACCTAAGTGGTAGAAACCCGAGTCTTGATCGTGACACACCATATATCTATTGTTATTTTATATGTGAAAAAAAATTAAAATCCTTTAATGCATACTTAAGTTTCAGAACGGACACAACCACCACCATCTATATTTATATAACATAAAAATGACAAACTTTAACCTCCACAGCATCCTTGACCTTAGCGGTAGAAACCTGAATCTTGTTCACGACACACCATACATCTATAGTTATTTCATATGTGAAAGAAAAATTACCTTGTTATGCATACTGAAGTTTCAGAGCGGACATTACCACCTCCTTCTATATTTTTATAACCTAAAAAATGACAAAGTTTGAACCCTCACAATGACCTAGACCTTACTTGTAGAAACTAGAGTCTTGTTCGCGACACACCATACATCTATGGTTATTTCATATATGAAAGAAAAATTAAAATCCTTTCATGCATACTGAAGTTTCAGAGCGGACACGACCACCACCTTCTATATTTATATAACATAAAAAATGACAAAGTTTGAACCCCCACAGTGACCTTGACCTTAGTGGTAGAAACCCGAGTCTTGTTCGCGACACACCATACATCTATGGTTATTTCATATGTGAAAAAAATTACAATCCTTCCATGCATACTGAAGTTTCAGAGCGGACACGACCACCACCTTCTATATTTATATAACATAAAAAATGACAAAGTTTGAACCCCCACAGTGACCTTGACCTTAGTCGTAGAAACCCGAGTCTTGTTCGCGACACACCATACATCTATGGTTTATTCATATATGAAAGAAAAATTAAAATCCTTTCATGCATACTGAAGTTTCAGAGCGGACACGACCACCACTGTCTATATGTATAAAGCGGGACGGACTGACGGACTGACTGACAGACGGACGGTTCGATTTTAATATGCCACCCTTCGGGGGCATAATAAAAATCTATTCTGGTTCGATAGATATATAGTAAATGTCAAGAGAATGACATTTTATGTACAAATGCAAACCATGCCTGATGATCTTGCTTCTGACCTGTCACACATTTAAATATTCGAAAAATACCTGATCTTGTGTAAGCAATATTTATTTATATATGTTCGAATATAAAAACGTATACTTAGTATACGACTATTATGCACATGTTCCATAAAAGCCTTTGATAGATCACCTGCTCAATAAAAGCATCGTTTGATCGTTTAAACGAAATGATTTTCACAAAAAAGAAACGAATGGAATTTCAAATGCTTCGTTGAAAAGTTTCGTTCAAAACAAATTGATTTTCAATTTCAATCGTTTCAAAGTCGGTTAAATTCGTGAAAAAGACCAACTTTTGTAAACTACCATAACCAATGCTAGAGACAAAAAAGTCTCAAGGTATAATAGCTTAACAAAAAAGACTAAACTGTTCTTTTTCTATGTAAGTCTTTACAAAATATGTGACGACAGGGTTGGGGCAAATTTTGAATTCAGTTTCATGATTTATATTTATTGACATCTTAAAGGCTCACAAGGTGATGTTACTTGCTTAATGTATAAGATCTAGGTATGTAAAAAAAGACAAGTTTATGCCAACTAAGCTCTGGTCGTTTCTAAGAAGAAGTGGTTAAATATATATTTACAATAGAAATTTATTTGTTCACACTGACTCTATAAGCGGGGCCAGTTTGGGCCCGAATGGAATGACTGGTATGAATATTCTGTAAAAGTTTGCGGCATTTGGGCATTGTTGTTTCGGAGAAAAAAAGATTTTCTTAAATTAGTCAATATAAATTGAGTGAACCTTAGGGCCGGACGAATTGTGATCCAATAGGTATGATTTATATATCTAACCTTTGTAGGTAATTCAGAATGATGTTACATGCCAAATATCATAGCTCTTGTCATTGAAGTTTCAGTAAAGAAGTTTTTTTAACATTTATACAAATTTATGCAAACTAAGTAATACCAGGACAGGAACATTTTGACTTAAAGAGCATGAATTATATAACTTATCTATTGGTCTAATGCAACTGGCCGAATAACGAACACCGCCCTGACGCTATGTCTGCCTCGAATGGGTTCAAAATCAGAAATGATATTGAATATGTAATACATTATAATCATATCAGCGAGGATGTTAATTGTTAATGTTTATGTTGATCTTTAAATAAATACCTGTGATATGGAACACGGACTTGAAGCCTAGACCAAATCTGCCAACTTTCAGAGGATCATCTTCCTTCACACTGCTATATATCATACGAATACCATCCCAATCTTTCTCTGTGAATATCGCATTATTTGCGACACAAAGAGCTGGACCCTGTGTTTCAAATGAATCAGCTAGATAATTATGTGTTAGTAAAATCATATCTAAAAAAACAAAAACATAAGCTACTAAATGTTTAATATATACACCGACATAAACAAACCAAGACAGCAACAAATGGCAAAAGTTTCAGTAAAACGGGTTTTCATGTTTCATACCATCAAGCAAGAGTGACAATTTCGATTCAAACCTAGAACTGGCTCTATAATATTATTTGAAATCATTGGCTAGTAAGAAAAATCAATAAATGCCGTGAAAGTCATTGGTTGCTAAGAAAGACCGATGACTTATTCACTGGTTGCTATGGAGAGTCAAAGACTACTAAGGAGCTGGGAGTATAAGGAAGCCCAATGATTGGTATGCATGCAACTGGTTGCTATATTTAGTCTATGGCTGTCTTGGTAGTCACTGATAACTTAAGAAAGTTGCTTTTTAAAATAAATAAATGATATGGAAGTCATTGGTTGTTGCTGTGAAAGTCACTAGCTGCTATGGAAATTTATAATCGCTAAGGAAGTTATTGCCTACTTTGGAAAGTAAATGAACGCTGTGGGAAGTCAGTGGTTGCTATATAACGTCAATGATTGCTATGGAGGTCACTTTGTGCTAAAAAGACAGTAAATGATTGATTTGTAACTCACAAATTGCTTGCCACTAAAGTCACACAATCCTATTGAAAAGCAATGGTTGCTATGGAAGACACTGATTGTAATTGAAAGTCATAGGTTGTTGCAAAGCAATAGTCAATGGTTAATTAATTGGTTATAAATGAAAAGTCAATAATTGCTATGAAAGTCAATGGTTGCTTAAGGAATTCACTGTTTGCTATGTTAAGACAATGGGTGTTATGGTTTCATTTCTTGATGGAAAGCCAATAGTTGCTATCGAGATCAACTGTGACTAAACATCGTCAAATGTTGCTCTTGATGTCACTTGTGCCTATTGAAACTCAATGATTGCTAAAAAAAGTCACTAGTTTCTATGGAATGTAAAAATTTACGAGAGTCGACAGTTGAGGCCATGGGAAGTCTCTAATTGCTATGAAAATCAATGGTTGTTAAGGTAGTGATTGGCTGCTTTGAAAATTCAACGGTTGCTACGAAAATCAACGTTTTGTAGGAAGGGTAAATAGTTGCTATTGAAGTCACTGGTTTCTACGGAAGTCCCTTGTTGCAATGGAAAGTCAATGATTGAAATGAAAGTCGTGAAGGGAGAATAGTTCCTATGAAAGAGGCTCGCATAATATGATTTTATTTAACTTGTAAAATAAATTTAGTACCAAACCTACACTCATTCAATATTCTCTATTTGTTTAATGTGTACAAGACAAATTTTTCATTTTGAATATCGCAATTTTCAAAAATAACATTTTTGAAGTACTTACTACATAAGAACAAGCCATGACCCCTTGAGCGTGGCAAACCTTAACCCCAGTCAGTCATATAACAAATATTTAAATTATTTTAAGATTAACTGTTGGTGTGTTTAATTTTACACAAGGCTGATTCCATATTAGCAAATATGCCCTGTTGAATTTAACTATTTAGATATTACTAAAACAGTTTTCTGAGTTTGCCAAATTATCTCGAAACGATACGAAACAGATGTTTTCAGAAAACATTAATATGCCCAATTGGCATACTAAACCAGTGGCTGAACGAAGATACTTGGATATTCTTGCTGTTACACCTATAACTTTTCATTGTCTTGTAAGTGTATGCTAGCTAAGGTATTCAAATGCCTGTATGTAGTATAAAACAAAACAAAACGGACTAAACAGGCTCGATCCACATACATTTTGCGTGTAAACGCTGCACTTCACCACGAAGATATTTCGACTTGTTATTTGCCTGTGTAAAACAGATGTAAGGACATTTTAGCCGCTTTCGTGACTTTGCTCAAAATACCACATTTATTTACCAGATAATGAGTGCAAAATGAGCATGTTAATATTTCAAGACAACAGCAAAACATAAAAACACAGCTTACCCTGAAAAATCTGTTATAGTTTTCATTTGTAGCACTCGTATGATTAATTTGTCTGGCATCATAGAGTATATTGATCTCAGTTGCCTCAGCATCCTCGGCATTCTGTATGAGTTCCTTTAAAAGGAAAGTGATAACCCATTTATCATAATCACACAATTACAAAACTTTTTGTGCTTGATAATACTGTAAAAATACCTTCCGTTTTATCACATAAGCAATAACTTTTTTCCAAGCCTAACTGCCTTCCGCCTTATCGTATGAGCAATGACTATTTTTAAGCCTAACTGCCTTCCGCCTTATCACATGAGCAATGACTATTTTTAAACCCTAACTGCCTTCCGCCTTATCACATGAAAAATTATTATTTTTCAAGCCAAACTGCCTTCCGTCTTATCACAGGAACAACTATTATTTTTCAAGCCTAACTGCCTTTCGCCTTTATCACATGAGCAATGACTATTTTCAGGCTTAACTACCTTCTGCTTAATTACATAAGCAACTACTATTTTCTCTACATATAAACCTAAACAATATCGTTAACAGATTTTTTATGGTCGGTATCAAACAGGGGGGAAATATGCGCATGCATGAATCACTGACTGAATTTTAACGGTTCTCAAACAAACGTCGAGAACACCAACATTTGGTGCGATAATGTGATAACAAACATTTTTTTCATCACTATATAATGATGACGCAAAATCAATCGAAAGAGAAATGCGCCGGTGTAATGTTGTAAAGTGACCCAATAGAAAAACAAGAACTGTCGGAGGACAGTAACGCTCGACTTTTCGAAAAGTTGTCACAAGGGTGTTTCATTGAGTAAAATAATGCTTACCTGTATGAATACATAAAATTGTCCGAAAAGGTACAAACCCTTCAGTAGTTATGGAGATGCCAGCTTACAAGCAAATATTTACATAGAATTTCTAAGTAGAGAAAGGGGCATAATTATGCATAAAAAGAAAATCAGAGTTATGGGACTTATGCAAATCATCTTCGATAATCACAGAGAGCAAGTGTGTGAAGTTTCAATCCATTCCCTTCAGTACTTATGGAGATACCAGCTTACACGCAAAAACTTAACCAAGAATTTCTAAGTCGAAAAAGGGGCATAATTATCTAAAAAAAGCAAATCAGAGTTAGTCTATCTATCTATCTATCTATCTATCTATCTATCTATCTATCTATCTATCTATCTATCTATCTATCTATCTATCTATCTATCTATCTATCTATCTATCTATCTATCTATCTATCTATCTATCTATCTATCTATCTATCTATCTATCTATCTATCTATCTATCTATCTATCTATCTATCTATCTATCTATCTATCTATCTATCTATCTATCTATCTATCTATCTATCTATCTATCTATCTATCTATCTATCTATCTATCTATCTATCTATCTATCTATCTATCTATCTATCTATCTATCTATCTATCTATCTATCTATCTATCTATCTATCTATCTATCTATCTATCTATCTATCTATCTATCTATCTATCTATCTATCTATCTATCTATCTATCTATCTATCTATCTATCTATCTATCTATCTATCTATCTATCTATCTATCTATCTATCTATCTATCTATCTATCTATCTATCTATCTATCTATCTATCTATCTATCTATCTATCTATCTATCTATCTATCTATCTATCTATCTATCTATCTATCTATCTATCTATCTATTATCTATCTATCTATCTATCTATCTATCTATCTATCTATCTATCTATCTATCTATCTATCTATCTATCTATCTATCTATCTATCTATCTATCTATCTATCTATCTATCTATCTATCTATCTATCTATCTATCTATCTATCTATCTATCTATCTATCTATCTATCTATCTATCTATCTATCTATCTATCTATCTATCTATCTATCTATCTATCTATCTATCTATCTATCTATCTATCTATCTATCTATCTATCTATCTATCTATCTATCTATCTATCTATCTAATCTAATCTAATCTAATCTAATCTAATCTAATCTATCTATCTATCTATCTATCTAACACCCTCTTTCGAGTATTATGTGCAGGCATGTGTCTGTGCGAGAGTTTAATACTGTACATGTATTTTTGGGTCAGAATTGATATAAAAGTTGATAGTTTTACTTAAGAAAAGAAAATTAGCAGCTAAAACAGATGAAAATAATATTTTTATTTTGTTGTTGTAGTACTAGTTGCAGCGTCTGGTACTGCTGCTGCTATAGCCAGGACAATATCTGACAAAACAACGGTAAAGCTAAGAGGTTTGTGTTAAGAATAAGCAACTATCTTATAAAAAGAAATTTAAGATATTAAATGTTTAAATTAAATGCAATCTTCCTTTCTGGTAGCTTTAAGAGTGTTCATTTTCAACGAGAACACAGAGTCTCGGTAAGGTGTGAGTTCAAAGCCCAGAGGAGGCATTCTTTTTTCTTTTCTTTTTTGTTTTCATCTAGTGTTCCATTTAGGCATACATGTATTTAAAACTAGCCGTGATCTGTTCCTACAAAATGTGGTAAAGTGTATCGACAATAAAAAAGCGGGCTCGACAATAAAAATCACTAGAAAGATAAAGGAAGTTTATTCAGGAAGTTAATATTGAGGTGTTGTTGAGATAACGTAAGGGTACACTAATCCTTACTATGATAAATACCCTAGACTTTGCGACAACCTTTTGTAAACATAACCGGTTTATTTATTGACATACTGCTAAGAGACATACGAATGTTGCTATTTTAAAATATATGTCCTGTAGTGCCAAAGAAATTACATCAAAGGTTTCAAGGGAATGATAATATATACTAGATAAAATATCAATTACACTTCTCAATTTGTAAATTTAATATTTCTTCACCGTAACAAAGACCGATTTATATGATTCTGTTTAAATGTCCCATTCTTTAAAATTGTACGTACATACAATATAGTAAAGCGAAGTTTGAGATACTTGCTGAATAAGACATTAAATGTTTGTCGCGCAAAGTAAGTTAAAGTTCGAACGATCTTATATACTATCAGAAGATAAATACCTACCAAATAACCATTACAATCTTTTCTAACGTGAAAGCTCTTTAAACTCAAATAAAATGCCAAATGAAAATTAATTGATTGGATCAGATTTCAAATTTAAGTCTACAGTGGCACTGGCCTATGACCTACAGACTTGAGAATTCATGAAATGATATGTGAGCTTTAAAATGAATTTGATCAGACTGAAATAATGTACAGTAAATGATCCTTAGAATATTGAACTTATATATTCTTTCAAATTAAAAATCAATATAACCGTGACTTTTGACCTTTATTCTAAACTTTTAAACACAGTTTTGTTATCAAATACCTGTTATCATCATATAAATATTTAAAGTTTGTGGGTTATACATAATTATTGAGCAGACACTTATATCAATAGCTTTAAATCACTTTAAATCTTACGGTCTGGTTTGTTAAACGTCGCACTAACACATCATAGGTCATATGGTGTCTTTTTGGCTTTACTTTACTGGTGAAGGAAAATCTCCGGTACCCTTTCGTGCATTATTTCAGACACGAACAGGCACTTGAATAGAACCACTCAGCTAGTTGTAAACTCCCTCACATGTACCCGAAACCCCTATCGGGGTTCAAAGCCACAGCGGTGAGAGGCAAGTGGTTCGAAGTCAACGACGATATCCACTCAGCCACGTACGCATTTTAAAATAATAATGCAGTTCTGAACAAACATAAAGATGGCAAAACCGACAAAAAGGAAAGCAACAGCATATACACACATGCATCTTCAAGATTAGATCGATGAAACATATATATTCAAAGTTAATTCTATAATGGCACATGTACATTCCAATTAAAATCCCAACACTTATTTACCTTCAGAATTTGACCACCATCCGGGTACTCTGAGAGTATACCTTTTAACTGTTTGATGAGTGGCGGTTGTCTCATAGGGGAGAAGCTTATACCTGGATCAAACATTCCGTCGCTTGATGGCTCTGAAAGTATTCAATTATTTTCATTATTACTTAAACCAAATAAGTGACATCAGTCTTTTGATTGACCAACTTTAAAAGAAAATAGCATTACCAATACATTATGAACGATATCTATAACATATTTAGTCAAATATAAAATTGAACACAAGTATGGCAAAATGTCAAGTTATTTTTTTTTTACCTATTCAATGCCAGATTAAACGTGGATGGGCATTATGCCACGGATGGGCATAATGTCAGTTAAAATAAGAAATAAACTTTTAGAGAAAAAAAGTAATAAATGATATTACTAGTTCAATACTTTTCTGGAAAAAAATGTGAAAAAGCTTAGAGTGTAATACAGATAGAAATCTAACTTACAAAGCAGAGGCATTTAGTGGGGGTTATACCATCCGTCTATTCCCAATTAAAATGCACGTTGGCACTCTACCAAGTGATTGATTAATCTTAAGTTTAAAACATCCTAGCTATATCTCGGGCTGGGTCCAAGGTTGCAAAAGATTGGTGCACAATGCACATTAGTCCAACAAATTTTACTGAGAGTTCCGATATTGAAGCTGATTTTTGTGTGAGCAAAATCTCCTTATAAAGCGAGATTCTGACAAGAAAAGCAAGAAATTGCATTTCTTTTTTCCAGTGTCACCACAGGTAAGATAACAGGCGCTAGCCGCACTATACCTGTATATAAAAACTATATACTATATAAAAAGAGTTTCAAAACACTTGCACGTCACCGTTGTAGTTTTGAATCCCGACATGGACTTTATATAGTAATTATCCAGCTAGCTTACGATACGTAGTTGTTCTACTCAGATGCCCGTTCAAACTTGAGATAATGCATAGAAGGGTACCTGATGTCTTTCTCCACCAGTAAAGCTGCAACGTCGCCATATAACCTTGACTGTGTTGAAGTAACGTAAAACCCAATCAAACAAACAAACAAACAAAATATATAAAGAATATTCTTTATGCATTATATAGTATAAGCGTTTATCTATTGTGTCTAGCACCTATATGGGTCAGATGTACAGATCTATTCCAAATGGCAGTTATTTTGTTTTTTTCCAATCTTAAAAATAAATTCCTAACCGAACTGATAGTGTAAACATTCAAACTGACACATTTTCAGAAGTTCATTCCGGTATCGCAACAAGACAAATGTAGCCCTCACATTTCATTGTCAAATTGTATTTTATCTTAATGAGCCGTTAGTTGAATGCACAATTCATAATACTACGCTTACAGAGCTTTAGCATTCTTGCGATGCCAGTTTTCCAAAACTGAGATATTTTCTCTAATAAAACTTGCTAGGAAATGGGCTGATTTGTAATAGAGTTTGCCAGCGTCCCCGGCCAAAGTGAGGCTGTTGGGTTTATTGTAAGCACAAACTAGTAACTATTTTATTTATTCATTTTTTTAAACTTTCATATATAGATCTTTCAGAAAAAAAGTCTTGATAAATGCTACATCTGCACATGCAACAATAAATTCATCAAAGAAATATTATTCCTGTGTGTGTGTGTGTGTGTGTGTGTGTGTGTGTGTGTGCGTGCGTGCGTGTGCGTCAAGAGAAATTATGATACATTTTCTTAATATGGTTGCTATAAGTGCTTATTTAAAAAACACTTGATGAATCAGTCAGACAGAAAGACGAAATCTGTTTTTTATTTTATATCCCTCTCCGCGGTGGCCAAAATTAATTAGGAATATCAAAATATTTTGACTTCATGCACATAAACAATGTTTTTTGAACAACAAAACTGAAACAATAAAAAGTTCTCTGACACGAATATGAAAATAAATTTGCTACTTACCCATTCTGTTAGTTGTCTTGTTTTGTTTATTTAGCAATCTCAAAGTATCTCCCTCTCTGGTTTTTACAATGTTAATACAAAATATTTAAATATTAAAAGGTAATATTTATCCACAAACTGCACAACGAACCATTTAAACTGCGCAGTAATAACACTACACTTAATACTGCGTAGATTAAAATATTACTTTATTTGTAATATAAACTCGTTTGTAATATAAAACTTATTCACAAGTTAAAATGGAATAGGAGTCTAGTTACATTTGAACTAACATGAACAATGCAAAACAGTTTAACCTGAATCATTGGCAATGTCAAATGGTTGGTTTTCCGAAAATGACCTGCAAATGATTTTTCAGAAATTAGACACGCATTGTACATAACACGTGATTGTTTTAAGAAAATAAATTTACACTGCCGATTAGATAATAGCCACAATGCTGTCTTCACTGTTTACATTCAGTTCGTGAAATTGAAATTATCTTTATCATTAAGTAATCGATTTTATAATTCCAATTTCAAAAGAGTTTGATGTGGTTATTTATTTGCTTTATATAAAAATCAATGTTACTAGGAGAAACATCACATGCAATATATAAAAGTTATTTATAATGTTTTTAATGTAATATATAAAACCTTTACAAAACCACTCGCTCTAGTATCTATAGATTAAATACTTGTATTGTAAATATATAATAAGCTCGGTTTGATGAAAATGTGCATTATGTCGCCTTTATAAAATTCTAATGGCATCGAAGCTTGACTGAAAGCATTTTCAGTAGATCAATGCACACGGTATTTCATATACATATTTAAGTTCGGTATTTATTTTTCTGTATTGAATTAAAAGCATGAAAATACAGTCTACCCCTTTCTTTTACATATCCATATATCGTACAACTCCAATTTAATGTAAATTTGAGAATGTAACATATCACACCGCATTACCGGCGCCAGTGATGACATATTTCTGCAAATATTAAATAAATCTAAAAATCACTGATTAATTCACGATCGCTATAACTTTTGTTTGTATATTTCTTATGTTTCTAAAGCCTCGGGCTCACTTACTCCCGGCAGAGCCCAGGACCATCCCGGTAAGTTACCGGGATGATCCGGGACGATCCGGGATGAAATTATTGTTGCAGTCACACTTACCCCGGCAGCACTACGGTAGTTCCCAACTAACCACCCAGGATGCGCTCCGGATCATCCAGGCAGAGCCCAGGTGAAGCTACGGTTCATGCCGGTGCTTCCCCGGTCGTTCCCGGATGACGCCGGAAGAGCCCCGGTTGACCCAGGCAGAGCCCCGGTCGATCCAGGCAGAGCCCCGGCAGAGCCCAGGAAGATCCAGGCAGAGCCCCGGCAGAACCCCGGTTGATTGAAAACGCCCGAAAATGATAACATTGATACATAATTTTTATTTAATATAATATCTATTGTTCCAGAATAGTAATTCATGATGATTTTCTGAAAAATCCTTATGCCATACTGGTTAGAAGGGAAATGGGAAGGGTTTTAAAACAAACAAGTGCAATTATCGCAAATTGTCGTTATTCTTTTGAAATGATCCGGGCTTTGCCGGGGCTCTACCGGGATCAACCGTATCTCTACCTATATCCTCCGGGGCTCTGCCTGTAGTTATCGGGGTGCTGCCAGCATATACCGGAGCTCTACCGTAGCTCTACCGGCTATATCATACCCGGATCATCCCCGGTTTGTGCCGGCAGAGCTACGGTGCTTCCCCGGTATAACCCCGGTCGTTCCCGGCAGAGCTAAGGATGAAGCCGGCAAAGCTATACCTTCCCGGATCATCCCGGACCACCCCGGTAATATTAAATATTTTATTCCATCCGGGGTCGAATGCCGGATGTTCCCGGATCATCCCAGATCATCCCGGACGTTGCCGGCAGAGTTATGGATGTACCTCGGTTGTTCCCGGTCGTACCCCAGTCGTTCCCGGATCACCCCGGGCGTCTACCGGGGCTCTGCCGGGGCTCTGCCGGGATGGAAGTGAGACTGTAGCTTTAAGTTGCTATGCAAAAATATTTATACATGTGTGAAATCTCACACTTGCAAACAAAAACAGTGTTTCAGTCAGATTTATGAACATTACAAACTTTGTATTATACACAGCATGACTATATTAATGGATTTCTTTTATAAAAATATGTACATTTTGCAAAGCACCCAATAACTCTGTTAAAAGACCAAACATTTTGCTACAATACTTTAAAGATTAATTCTAAGGATCTTCACACGACGGTACAACGGCGTCCGTGGCCGAATGGTTATGGTCGTTTGGTTCAAACCACTTTCCCCTTACCGCTGTGGGTTCGAATCTCGATAGGAACCTCGGATCATTTCATGTAAGGAAGCTATACAGCTAGCTTACGGATCGTCGGTTGTTCAACTCACTCAGGTACCCGTGCCTGAAGTAATGCACGGAAAGGCATTTGAAGTCTTCCTCCACCAGTAAAGTTGAAAAGTCGCAATATGATCATTACTGTGTTTGTGCGACGTCAAACACAACCCCCAAAACCCCCACTAAAACACTGCGATACGTGTATATGTACTCATTGAAAACATCGACGAAAACATCATCTATGAAAACTTTCTAGCTCATTATAAATATGCGCGTGTGTGTGTGTGTGCATTTGTCTTATTATTTCTGTTTCTTTCATGTGTTTAATACCTTTTGCATGTTTGGGGGGGACTTTAACTTTATAACTTTGTGAAAACTGGATATTTTTATAGGCTTCGTAACCTTACTTTAATACGGTAGTTATTATTACCTTTCAGATAAATAAAATATTTTTTTTTTGCTTGAAACGAAATTAAGTCAAACGATCACCATGTAAAAAGTATATGCTAAAATCAGAATATTCATTAAATAAGAAATTTATAATGAGCGGTGCTAATTTTGTTATCAAGCTACTATTACCCATTAAAATTCTCTGTAATTTTTTTATCCATGGAAATTAGACATATGCTATATGAGAATAAGCTTTTTACAAAGTAAGTTATTATGGCCTTGTCAGATTGTTTTTTTAGGTTTTGTAACCAAATTGATTACCAGGCAAATATTATTTGGCAGTTTCCAAAGCAAAAGCATGATAAATAAATTTTAGTACCTCCTTTAGTAATCAATTTTCTTTACTCTATAAATGTCGTCATACTTGTATATGCCTTATGATTGATAGACATTTTTAAAATCGAAATGAGTTATGCTGAAACAAGTTATTGTAATGAAACTGAAGAAATATACGGAACAGTAGTAATAAATCAATGGAACAAATACAATTTTATACAACATCTGTGACAATATGTGACTGTGACACAATAAGTACATTATTGGTTAAAAACATTGATGAAAGTTTCAATAATAATAATAATGATAATAATAATAATAACAATGATAATAATAAAACATCAACAGATGAAAATCTACAATTTCCCACTGTCTATTGAAGTTTATACCTACGATAGCATCGCCTTAAATTTTGGAGTGTAAATTTAGCATTCTTTACAGACAACGAACATGGCTACTACATAAGTTCTAATTGAGACTTCGTCTGCTCTTCAATTTGCTGTATTCCTTTTGATAATGGCAAAGCTAAATATGTACGCCTGGAAGGTACACTTAAAGCATCTCCCATGACCATACCCAATGCATGAACATGTCTCCTTCCAGGGTCTTCTACACATACAACGGCTCCACTGTCGCCCTTCTCTGCAAAGTGTTTAGAGCTGCTAGCAATGTCCTCAATTTGAATCAATGGAGAAGTCAAACCACTTAGTACAATAGGCATTGTAATTTCACCCACACCAGGTTTTGACATCGCACCATGAATATGCACTGACTGTCCACTTCTACAAATATCATCCTCCTCATTAACATTGTATCCATGTAATCTACCCCTTAATGGTTGTCCGCGGGTATCTTTAAATTTCGTGCTTTCTTCACCAACTGGCTCATTTATAACAGCTGCTGAGATATCTAAACCTCTTTCATAATGATTGTTTGTCTCTGGTTTCATGACACCGAAAATTATCTCGTTACCATTCTCAACATAATATACGTCGTTGCAGTCTTCGGTAACATGTTTTGCGAGGAGACAGTATTGTTGGTTTCCTTCCTTTGTCTTTGCGAAGCCACCAAGTGTTCCGCCTTTTGAAATTTTAGATACGGTCTTTGATCTCAAAGAAATGCATTTTTCAGATGATTTTGCCTCTATTTTTGCACCCGTATGCATAAACTCTTGTATTTTCTCACCACATTGTGCTATTTTAAAAGGAAATATTTCATACTTCTCAAGTACCATACGGATTTTATTATTTCGGATCTTTTCTTCATTTAATGTCAATGGCTGAACTGCATATATGTAAAATGTGCGATAGCGATACCCTATTCTTTTGACTGTTGGACAAATCTTAAACAATTCTTCCGTCATCTAAAAATAAGATTAAAATTATTTTAAATTATGATTTGTTGTCTTCAAAAAGCACGCATTACTCTTAGCTGTAAAATTTTACATTCAATTACTGAAAATTTCACACCCTAAACCATTACTAAATCATAGGAAAGAAATTATCACTGTATGATGATATAACTTACTCTAGCACTTAAACGATTTACCTGTTCATTGATCTTTTTATTAAGTTTTGGAACTCTAGGTCTGTATACTTCTGCAACATTACTCATTCCATATACAGCCAGAATCGCTTCTAGAAGTTGCTCTGCATTCTCTGCTATGTTCGGATGATCCTTTCTTTTATAATCTGCACAATTTTTAAAAATAACAGAACAATTTATTAGATGGATAAATTAAAGCATCCATAAAAATTAAGAGAACGTTACAGAAACTCTAGTAACTGTAGTAATATTATAATAAAAGCGTCATGTTTGTATATGAATAACCTCACCAGTTAAGTGTCAAATTGCTAATCAGCGACGCATTTTTTTTTTGTTTTTGATGTTTTTAAATTTTGTTTTTTTTTCCCGCTAAGGACCGTTAACGACCGTCTGAATAATCCTGATATGTTGGTCTTAACAACTCAAATTTGTTTTATGTAAATTGTTTGTTTTTTTTTCTTTGTTTTAACGGCTTTTTTTACTGCAATCAAGAATATGTGGAACAGTCCAATGAAAATATCAACAAGGAAGTAGTGCAACTTGTATTTAAAATATCATGCATTATATTTTAACCTTATTACCTTCTTTTAAGATACTCCCATTAGTGTCTATGGGCCTCTTTTTAGACTTCCCTAGAGAGAACCGTGTATTTTCGTCAACGTCTGTACCCAGGCCGCAATCATTGAAACCGTTAGTATTGCTAGCAATTCTAAGATGTGACCTTGTTCTCGTATATATGGCTGTCAAAGTTTTAAAAGATATGTCCTTTTTTATTACATCTGTACATTTTGATGTCGAACCGTTAGTAATTCTCTCAGTTTTATCATTTGTACTTGACCCACTAGTTACAGTAGAAATTCCAAGCTTGCGTTGCACTGGGTTAATCATTGATTGTTTGTCACTATGAATACCATTACTTTGAATGTTTTGTTTCTTTTTTTTATTATTTTTGACAATTTATTTGGTTCATCCCCATTTTCATGAACATGTTTCTCTGTATTGGTTGAGATGTTCTTATGGAACATATCATAACAATGTTCACAGATTGCTTTCAATGGTTCCAAGGATATCCGTTCTAATAAATCATCAATTTCTCCCAATAAGTTTTCTCTTGTAACAACCGTAATATTCATTTTACCAAAATATTTATCCTCAATTTTTGTTTTAGCATCTTGGTTGATAGCTAAAAGTATCATGGGAATTTTATATTTGCTTAGAAACTTTATTTCACTTTTTTCTTTATCATTAGCGATGAACACATACACAGAGGCCTCATTTTTCATCCCTGCCTGTAGAAAACAGTCACTATTGCTGGAATCAAATATGTGTCCTTCAAAACTATCTGAGGAATTATAAATTTCAGACATTAAAGAATTTAGTCTTACAGGAAAATTAGTATCACTTTTTCTCTTACACAACACTATCGTAGCGTATTTCTTTTCTTGCACACATTTTCCCTCGCGCATTAAAGTAATGTATCTAGATTGTAATTTTGTAGTTTTTGCAGATGCGTTGTCGAAGCGCGGAAACTTTTCGCGAGGAATTAAAACACTTCTAAAATCCATTTCATATCATTTATGTTGATCTGTGATAGCTTAAATTTGTATGAACTATATAATTATATGTTTAACTAAAGAAGACTTTCATGTGAAGCTGTAAAATGATTGTAAATTAATACACACATACTTTTTATTTAGTTCATAACCACTATCTTCATGTTATCAATTGTACAAAAAGCTCATTGTACACTAATACATTTAAGCAGTTGTGTTTGTATTATCGTCATACAGATCTTTTTAAAGCATATCTTCCTTGATTATATCTAAGTTTAAGCTATGGTGAACCAAAAGAAAAATAACAAAAATAAAACATGTTTAAAAAGGAAATTAAATCCATCTTGATAACAATTGAAACACCTGGTTATGTTTTGTTGTTCTAATCTAGTAAATAACTTTTGAACTATTTAATACAGTGTACACGTTTAAACTTCGTGCAATTTCTCATACATTCAAACTATGTACTTGATGTCATTTTCATAACAATAGATAAAGACAATAGTAATGCAACTAAATGACATTTCATCGCTTGGATATCCCCTAAATCCCTGCCATGTTTGATATAAGTATATGCCGATCATTCGGCTAAAGACCTCAAAATAAGCCGAGATACGCCCCTGGTGACTGCCTAGAATTTTTAAAAACATATTTTTTTACCATGTCATGTGTTCGATTTCACTGCTAGCATGTACACTCTACACTCGAATAATATTTCTTCTAATTGTAATTTTAAATTTCTCAAGATAACATGATCATGTTCAATATAATTTTAAAGCGCTTCAAAATTTGAAACATATATAGTGCATGCGCATCAATATCAAATGAATGTTGTTATGTAAGATTTATCTTAGCATTTTGAAGATAAAATTTAAATTACGAATTGCAATGTGAAATTGACTTAAGATTTTACTTACAATTATCGTCAGTTAAAAACTTAAATAGATCGTTAGATATTTTGTGAAAATGTCTGCAGGTCCCTTGATTGAGCAGCCGTCGCAGAGTGGGCAAGGCCGTTGATTTCAAAATACTTGCTCCTTACTGCTGTAGGCTAGAATCCCGCCAGGGACTTTGGGATCTTTTATGCGAGAAAGCTATCTAGCTGGCTTACGATACATGATAAAGAATTATCATTTAGTATATGACGTACTTACTTTATAGTAAGTTTTTTGTTTCATCTTTCAGACCTAACATTACTTTGCAACAATAAAGCAGATTTGAGGTTCGGTCATGCTCGCTCATATTTAGAATATGTGAAGTAGCTAATATGGCTAGCTGCAATAACATAACAAAATTGGTAACAGTAGCATATTATTCTCTAGACAAACTCATAAATCCGTTCCAAGAAATATTGTCGATTTCTGTAAATTATAGTAATAATATAAATTTTCTTTGCTTCTGACTTTTGAGTTCGTCTTGAAAATCTCTTATAATTATCTGAGAACTATAAACGTCATTTTGCACATTTTGCACCATTCGAAAGGTAGTGAAAATTGCATAATAGCCTACATTTTGTCATATTGGAATCAAAAAACTTTGTGAAACTATAAATAGTAATGTTGTTGCTAACCTATGCCAACTGTAAATAAAATTTCATTCAGTTTTCAGAAGGGTGGCTCAACGTGCATACTTCGTGCTAGATTTTAGGAGCGTCCGTGGCCGAGTGGTTTAGTTCGTTGAATTCAACCACTTGCCTCACATCGCTGTAGGTTCGAGACGCAATATGTGTCCGGATTCTTCTGGTGAGAGACTATCCAGGTACGTTGGTGGTTCTACACAGGTGACAGTTTGTGCCTGAAATAATCTACAGAGGTATTCCTCCAACAAACAAGCTGGAAGGTCGCCATATGACCTATACTGCGTCGGTGCGAAGTTAAACCCAATAAAAAGTGCTAGATTTTAATGCATTAACCGCTTCAAATGACAACTTATGAATCAATCATAACAATTTGTTATGATGTAATTTTTAACAAAAAAACAACAACAAAGTAATTTTTAACAAAGACAACAACAAAATGCAAACACTCATTCTATGACCAAAGTGACGTCTAAATTTATGTAAGATTGATGTAAGTTTTCCGCAGAAACATATTGTAATAAACACATTTAGTCCCTAAATCTATCTTAAGAAAGAGTATTCATGCTAAAAGTGTGTTTTTCAAGGAGAATGATATGCCATAAAATGACCATGTTATACAGGGTTGACCGACCAGCGTTGTTGCTTTAAGTTTTATTTACTTATTCTCTGTTTGCATACATACAAATACAAGAGAAACTACATGTTAATTACATATGTGCATAGCAGAGAACAATACAAAATTTATAATATAGATCGTACATTTTCAACAATAGATTATGGTAAAAAACAACATATAAATATATAACTATATTACACGCATTTTAATTATACAATAACTTAATTAGTAGGTAGATAATCTTATGTGCCTGAGATACATAGTGAGTACAGCTATAAATAGACTGGGCGCACTATCAACTTAGGTCGTTGGAATCGGCAAGGTGTGTTTATGTTTCGAAGACATGTAAGTTTGAATGTTTGTACGGTGGCATAGAGGTGACATTTGCAGTGTTATTTTATCTCGTGGTATCAAGATTATAAGTTGTAGCTGCAAGAAAATAAGTCATCGCAACGAGATAATATCTTGAGACCACAATATAATAAGTTATGGCCACACAGAACAAGTCATGACCAACTAATATTTTCAACCCACAAGATCCACAAAATAATTAGTCCTGACCACGAAAAAATTATGATATCTTGAGGCCACAATATAATCAGTCCATCAGATAATAAGTAATGGCCACGAGATAGTATCTTGACGCCACGAGATTAAATGATACTACAATTGTCACCTCTATTCCACCGTATTTTTAGCCGAATTAAAATAAATCACATGTCCACATAGGCCTACATGCTTTTTTTTGCTTTTTTGGATAAGCAGATAATTATTCTTTTTTGTTCAAGGTATTCAACGTTAATATTATTATATTATTAGAAAATTTGGATGATTAAACTTTAAAGGAAAATGTTTGAATGAAAATTTACTCGACTCAAGAGGGTTGACATTTATCTTTTGCCAGTGCAACTCTTTTTACATTCATAGTTAGATTTTAATTAAGTCTTACGAAATGATAAGTACCTGATGTAGTTTTGCGTATTATCAGGATTTTCCACTTGACCTGTTTTTTGTAGAAATTATTGCAGGTTATTGACTTTGTGGAGGGATACATAGGTTTTTATGCTTCAGTATTTATCCTAGTTTGTTTCAATTATTTGACACTGTTTTGAGATGTGTCAAGGCACTTTCAGTCTTAGTTTTCCATTGGTGTTTAAAAACGGATCATTCTAGTCTCATAATGCTAAATAAAGAAAATAAACCATGATCATACAATGTCAATATACTCTTCATGTTAAGGTTTAAAAAAGACAGTGTTTATTCTGAGTTGTTTAAAACAGGAAGTAAACATTTCTTTTGATTTTCTATACATTACAGAAAGTGTAACTGTCGAGTCATCCACTTCTACTTAAAACAGTAAAGGTAATTTATTGCACATTATTATATATTGTTACAGGTGTGGATCCAAGTGAGGAGTACAAGATGACTGACTAGCAAAACACTGTTATAAAGTCCATTTTTAATATGTCACAAAGTATTTGTGAACCCCTCATGTCAGTCATAATGACGACATAAATGACCAATACTGATCAAGCAACAAGTTAAGGTCTCATGTAGCCCCATCCTTTTCTAGGCCTGGTCCTACTTTTCATATGGTGTAGACGACGAGCAACAGTAACATTTATATTTGCTGTCCCTCTGCTGTCTATTTATGTTCATCTGCCACATTGAAATGTTGGAATGCATTGTTGCATTTAGTTAAAATATTCATAACCTCGGGATACTTGTAAATCATACAAAAAGCTTTCATTCTAAGCTGCGTAATTTTGAGCAATCATGGGCATCTTGTTACCCATTCTTCAGCAATTTTCTGATATCTTATTTAAGATACAGTAGAAGTAGCAAAGTAAATTGAAAATATAAGGAAGAAAGCCAAGTTCAGACGTAAGTGCTTGATTTAATATCTAAGATCTCATTAAACATTTGTTGCTCATACTGAACTGTTTTGATCACATTTATTTTATCCGGTTGTCTGTGGTTTAACAGCAGTTTCTCTTTATGACATCTACGTCTATGTTCTTTTAGCTGGACTTTCTTTTTTTGCTTGTTAATTACTGGTTTTTATTCTATTAGTGGCTATCACTTTGTTATTGTTCAATAGATTGTTTTCAAACTAGAACATAATTATCTTATAGGAAAGACCTTCAAGTTAAACAGACATTCCTTGACCTTCACTAATTAATAACCTTGACAGTAAAGGTCCAATTCATTAAAATCCCTTGTTTCCATTGTAACTGGCAATAAATTTGTTATAGATGAACGGACAAACTTCGTATTTAGACACATGCACTAGGTCAGAACCTTCATGTATATTGCAAACAATGACATTGAAGGTCGAGTTTTCACTTACTATCGCTATAATTGGCTTTAATTAGTCAGTTGATTATTTTCATTCTTAAAAAAAACCTGACCTTTACTTTGGACTTAAGATGACCCGACCGTCAAGGTCAAAATATTAAATTTTGATTAAGTTGTCATTGTTTTGTTATTTATGTACGGATTTGATTAATACTTGAAAAACAAGACTTGTTACCAATCAAACATTTTGGATAATTTAGAAGTGACATTGACCTTTAATTGACATTGACCGTCAAGGTCAAACTAATAAAAGACTCTTATTCTTTTCTATAGCTATGACATTTGGACCATGTGCACAGTTTTAGATGTAAAATTGAACTTAAATATCAGCTGACCTACATTTTGACGAAGTGACATACTACATTGTCATTTGATAACAAGCAATTATCATAGTATTGCAAGCAATCCATAAGTCCCCTACCGGTTAGAACCCCGGCAACATTCTGATGGGACATTGGCCATTCAATTTTACCAGTGAATGAATGAACTTAAATCTTTTGAGTTCTAAGTTTG